AAGGGACCTCTGGTGAGTGTACCTTTTAAAATGCTATACATGGTTTAAAAGCAAGCATGTGAAAGGATTACTTTGCCCTGGCATTTGCGGTTCTCCTAGATGTAGTCCTAAAGCCTTTGCAAAAGGTTTCTGGGGAGGGCAGCCTTATTTCGTCCTTCATGGTAGGACACTTTACCACTCCAGGCCAGTAACACGTACTCGGGAATCACTGTAGAACAAAGCATTGCAGTGTATGTTTGCTGGCATTCAACCAAAATCCGTTCTTTATCTCTCTGTGTTATCCTCAGGAGAGTGAGAAATAATTCATGGTCACCTGGTTGAAATAGAGTGCTTTTCTTCAGGGGACACTCAGAGGAGCCCATTCCTGCTGGGCTGTTTGCCTGTGGCTAAACAGAAATGTTCCCCGCTGTTAGCCACAGGGAGGGGAGAAGGTTGAGGGGGTAGTCACGCGGTGGGAGGAGGCAAAATGCGACCTTGTAACGAAAGCACATGTGCTATGTATGTAATGTTAACAGCAAGGTTTACCCTGAAAGAGTGTAGCGACTGTTTTATAAAATGTGTCTTTTTAAATACCGCTGTCCCTTTTTTTTTCTCCACCAGCTGCATGTGTTTCAATGATCACAGGATCTTCTCCTTCCCAGAGGCTAGTGAAGCTTAGAAAGAAAAAAAAAACGCACTCGCGATGAAATGTTCTCCGAGCTCATGCTGTCCTCCCACACTGACAGAGCACAGACGAATGCGTGGAGGCAAATAATATCAGAGTGCAGGAAAGCACAAAATGACTGGGAGGAGAGGTGGAGGGCTGAAGAGAGTAAGTGGCGGGCTGAAGACAGGGCTGAAGCTCAAATGTGGCGGCAGCGTGATGAGAGGAGGCAGGATTCAATGCTGAGGCTGCTGCAGGACCAAACCAGTATGCTCCAGTGTATGGTTGAGCTGCAGCAAAGGCAGCTGGAGCACAGACTTCCACTGCTGCCCCTCTGTAACCAACCGCCCTCCTCCCCAAGTTCCATAGTCTCCACACCCAGACGCCCAAGAATGCGGTGGGGGGGCCTCCGGCCAACCAGCCACTCCACGACAGAGGATTGCCCAAAAAAAAGAAGGCTGTCATTCAATAAATTTTAAAGTTGTAAACTTTTAAAGTGCTGTGCTTAAAGTGCTGTGTGGCATTTTCCTTCCCTCCTTCACCACCCCTCCTGGGATACCTTGGTAGTCATCTCCCTATTTGTGTGATGAATGAATAACGAATGCATGACTGTGAAGCAGCAATGACTTTATTGCCTCTGCAAGCAATGATTAAAGGGAGGAGGGGAGGGTGGTTAGCTTACAGGGAAGTAGAGTGAACCAAGGGGCGGGGGGTTTCATCAAGGAGAAACAAACAGAACTTTCACACTGTACGGCCAGTCATGAAACTGGTTTTCAAAGCTTCTCTGATGCGTACCGCGCCCTCCTGTGCTCTTCTAACCGCCCTGGTGTCTGGCTGCGCGTAACCAGCAGCTAGGCGATTTGCCTCAACCTCCCACCCCGCCATAAACGTCTCCCCCTTACTCTCACAGATATTGTGGAGCACACAGCAAGCAGTAATAACAGTGGGAATATTGGTTTCGCTGAGGTCTAAGCGAGTCAGTAAACTGCGCCAGCGCGCCTTTAAACGTCTAAATGCACATTCTACCACCATTCTGCACTTGCTCAGCCTGTAGTTGAACAGCTCCTGACTACTGTCCAGGCTGCCTGTGTACGGCTTCATGAGCCATGGCATTAAAGGGTAGGCTGGGTCCCCAAGGATACATATAGGCATTTCAACATCCCCAACAGTTATTTTCTGGTCTGGGAATAAAGTCCCTTCCTGCAGCTTTTGAAACAGACCAGAGTTCCTGAAGACGCGAGCATCATGCACCTTTCCCAGCCATCCCACGTTGATGTTGGTGAAACGTCCCTTGTGATCCACCAGAGCTTGCAGCACTATCGAAAAGTACCCCTTGCGGTTTATGTACTCGGCGGCTTGGTGCTCCGGTGCCAAGATAGGGATATGGGTTCCGTCTATAGCCCCACCACAGTTAGGGAATCCCATTGCAGCAAAGCCATCCACTATGACCTGCACATTTCCCAGGGTCACTACCCTTGATATCAGCAGATCTTTGATTGCGTGGGCTGCTTGCATCACAGCAGCCCCCACAGTAGATTTGCCCACTCCAAATTGATTCCCAACTGACCGGTAGCTGTCTGGCGTTGCAAGCTTCCACAGGGCTATCGCCACTCGCTTCTCAACTGTGAGGGCTGCTCTCATCTTGGTATTAATGCGCTTCAGGGCAGGGGAAAGCAAGTCACAAAGTTCCATAAAAGTGCCCCTACGCATGCGAAAGTTTCGCAGCCACTGGGAATCGTCCCAGACCTGCAACACTATGCGGTCCCACCAGTCTGTGCTTGTTTCCCGAGCCCAGAATCGGCGTTCCACAGCATGAACCTGCCCCATTAGCACCATGATGCATGCATTGGCAGGGCCCATGCTTTCAGAGAAATCTGTGTCCATGTCCTGATCACTCACAGGACCGCGCTGACGTCGCCTCCTCGCCCGGTATCGCGTTGCCATGTTCTGGTGCTGCATATACTGCTGGATAATGCGTGTGGTGGTTAATGTGCTCCTAATTGCCAAAGTGAGCTGAGCGGCCTCCATGCTTGCCTTGGTATGGCGTCCGCACAGAAAAAAGGCGCGGAACGATTGTCTGCCGTTGCTCTGACGGAGGGAGGGGCGACTGACGACACGGCTTACAGGGTTGGCTTCAGGGAGCTAAAATCAACAAAGGGTGTGCCTGTACATCAAGGAGTATTTCAGGCAGGACTGCACGGACGGTTCCAATAAGAAATGGTGCACCTAAGTTATCGTTGTTATTGGAACAAGGAGGTTAGCCTGGCCTCTGATTGATACATGGCTAGATTTACCTCGCTGCACCTTCTCTGTGAGTGACTGCAGTGTGATCTAGACAGGGGAGGAGGGCAAATGAGTACAAAACAAATCTGGTCTATTTCTTGTTCTGACCCACTCCATCTATCTTTTACATCTTTGGCTGGCAGCAGACGGTGCAGAAGGACTGCATGCCATCCACATCTCATGGCTGCTCGGCAGAAGATGGTACAGTACGACTGCTAGCCATCTTCATCTCTTGCCTGCCTGGCATAAGATGGTACAATACGACTGCTAGCAATCCTCATCTCTTGCCTGCCTGGCAGAAGATGGTACAGTACGACTGCTAGCAGTCCATATCGCCTGCCCGCTCACCATAAGACGGTTCAATAGGACTGACTGCAGGACTAAAGAGAATGACCTGGTCAAGTCACTCCAAATTTAGTCCCTGCGCCCATGTCTGCCCAGGCGCTCCCCAGCCGACGTGGCCAGGAGCACCTCAGACATGACGATGACGGCTACCAGTCGTACCGTACCGTCTGCTGCCACAAGGCAAGGGGTTGCTGCTACTGTGTAGCAATGCCATACCACGTCTGCCAGCACCCAGGAGACATAGGGTGACGGTTACCTGAGCGGGCTCCATGCTTGCCGTGGTATGGCGTCTGCACAGGTAACTCAGGAAAAAAGGCGCGAAATGATTGTCTGCCCTTGCTTTCACGGAGGGAGGGAGGGAACGGGGGCCTGACGATATGTACCCAGAACCACCCGCGACAATGTTTTAGCCCTATCAGGCATTGGGATCTCAACCCAGAATTCCAATGGGCAGCGGAGACTGCGGGAACTGTGGGATAGCTACCCACAGTGCAACGCTCCGGAAGTCGACGCTTGCCTCGGTACTGTGGAAGCGCTCCGCCGAGTTAATGCACTTAATGCACTTAGAGCATTTTCTGTGGGGACACACACACTCGAATATATAAAACCGATTTCTAAAAAACCGACTTCTATAAATTCGACCTAATTTCGTAGTGTAGACATACCCTAGGGGTGCTACCGCACCCTCTGGCTTGAAGTAGTAATAACAAACACCAAATACATGATTTCCCTTGTTTCCATGATCAGCACCCCCACTATAAAAATTGTTCCAGCACCCTGGCCTGGAGAACTGGATTTTATCCCTGCCTCTGCCATAATGTTCCTTATGTAAAGCTGGACAAGTCTTATAAACCGGATTTTTCACAGGAGGCCACTGTGTATCCCTCATTTTCTGCATACCCGATCTGAAGTTCTTGGGGTCTGATTTGCAGAACTGCTGAGTACTCACAGCTGCAACTGAAGTCAATGGGAGCAGTGCTCTGAACATATAAAGTGCTGTAAAATGATCACTACGCTGAAAACTCAGGTCCTCGGCTTCTCAACGTGGGCACCCACACTTAGCTAACACTTTTGACGATGTTGCCTTTAATCTCTGTGCCTTAGTTCCCAATGTGTAAAAGGGAACTAATACCACCACTTCTCACAAGGGTGTGGTGAAGAAAAAAAATCATTGATGACTGGTAAGCACTAGGATGCGATGATGAGAGTACCATAGAACAGCTCATGAGGAAATGATAATTATTAGTCCTATATTCAGAGGAGGGGTTGAAAGTAATGCCTTTAACAAGGAGTATAAAAAGTAAAATAGAATAGCTACTCGTTCAGTGAACCGCATTCATCGCGTGCATGGAATAAGGCAAGGGCTCAGTGGGAAAGAATAGTATGCCATCATGTAATTAAAAGGGACAGAATTAAAGTTACACAGCAACCTTAATCCTTACATTTCCTTACTGCTGAATGTGTGGCTTGGCAGTGCTAATGTTCTTTTAAGGTAGTGTTTTAGATGTTATCTGTATATGGGCTTTCCCATGTTATAGTCCAGCACACGGAAAAAAATTAGGAAGGATTTTGGAAGAAGGAAAAGTGTTGAGTGGGGTTCACTCTGAGTATAACATCCACATTTATTGGAGGATACATACAGTATAAACTAAGTTGGCTGCATTGCATCTAGGGTGGTCTTTCGTCTCTTCTCTATCTAGGATACCTTTGTTAATGTTTATGTTTACAGAAGTGGAATCCTTCCAAAATGACAGACAACCAGTCAGACATCAGTATTCAAATGTCAAGTACAAACGGCCTCCCGAGCAGAAAACAGTCCTCTCAAGACCCATCAGTCAGCAGAGGAACCATTGTGACCTTTCACAACATCTGCTACAGAGTGGAGGTGAAGAGTGGCTTCATATGTTGTCGAAAAACGGCAGATAAAGAAATTTTGAAAGATATCAAGTATGTACTTAAACTTCTCTGAAATAGAGTACATGTTCATTTGATTTCCTTTCTTGACAGTTAGGTTCAGATAAGTCACTGAGCCATGAATACCTGTGTAATAATAGTGTACAGAAATTGGTCAAGATTTCAAAAAAACAGGCACTCAGAGTAGGCTCCCCAAGTCCATATTTAGGCACATAAAAAGTTAACCTGATTTCCAAAAATGCTTGCATCTTTCAATTCCATTGATGTCAATAGAAGCTGCAGCGTGTTCAGCTCTTTTGAAAATCAGGTCATTTACTCAGCTGCCTAGATGTGAATGTAGGACCAGAACTTAAGGTATTTTTAATAACCCTGGCTCTACCTTTGAGTTAAGACTCAAGTCTTTAAAAGTAGCGAAGAGTATTATTCTGTAACTAGAACAATGCATGTGAGAGTTTGGGTGCCCACAATTTTATTGCACTGCTTTCTATTAGTTATTGCTTAGTAATTGCATGATATTGCTCTTGTTGTCAAGGATCCTTTGTACAATGTTGGCCAGTTTCCAGTTAGATAAGTCTGAATTGTGTGTCGCGACAGTTAGTTGTATAACCTGCCATTCCATGATGTAATTGTAGGTCAGTTCTCTAATTTCAGCTCTCAGAATGCATGAAAGGTTGGACCTTTATATGTACTGCTCTTTGCCCACACAGCATTTCTTAATACACCAAGCCTTCCATGCTGCAGAGTGACTATATCCACCAAATGTGAAATTTTAAATCTTTATTCTCTGACAAGAGTCTTACTCCAGTGTAATTCATTAGATTTAAACAGAGTTACTCCATATTTGCAGTGGTGTGAGAAGAGCATATGTCCTTTAGACTCTAGACCTAGTGTATGTTGTTTCCCCATAAACAAAATGCAAATGAATGAATGAATAAATAAATAAATCACACTTCTGATTGACTAAAACAGCAAAGAAAAAAAAAAGCAAATATAATGAGTCTGGGAAAGGGGTGAGGGATAGCACAGAGAGATTCAATCTGATATTTTATATCTAAATTGAAACACACACAAAAATCCCCCTCTCCTAAAGAACAACTTCTGTCTTGTTGCCTACAAGAAATGAGATAGAAAATCAAATAAACAAATCCCTCACAACTACCCAGAACTATCATGATGTACTCATGTCTTTACTATGTAGATGTGATATCTCATTATTGTAACAACCATGCGCAGAGAAAAGATTGATAAAAGAAATAAAAGACGTTTCACACAAAGTATAAACTACCCTTTATTATTTATAATATAGAGTGCTGTAAATTAGAGTTGGGCCTACAGGAAAACTTTAGATTCAAACACCCCTGAGCTTTGGGGAAGTTTAGATTCATAGCCAAACATGGTAACTGGTTTCTGTGTCTCTAATGGGCTGCACCAAACCCCCAGATTTGGACATCTTTGGGAGCAATGCTAAAGAGTGAGATGGTCACAGTTTATAATCAGATTGCTGAAAGAGTAGCCACCCTCATATGTGTTAGTTTCTCTAAAATATCAATTTTAATATCGTTCCTATTAATGATAAATGTAGTAGGTGCAGGGATCCTTACACTTAACACAATTAGTCCAGCCCCTGTTGTCCTTTCTCAGTCAAAACTCCTATTGACATCAATGACAGACTTGCCTGAATAAAGACCGCAAGATCCTTCTCATGTTCAGTAGCAAACATAGTCAACAGGCTCTTATTTATAATGGACACCTTTAGTAATGACTCAAAAATTTTCTTATCTTTTAACTTTATACCCATTTTAATTATAACCTAACATTGCTCTGTGGTTCTTGGAATTAACATTTTATCCAACAGTTAGCTGGAAAGACAATATTAAATATCTTTGACATTTCCCAGGGCAGATAGAGTCAGCTCACACAGATTTCCTCACATGATTGGTGGGTCTTTGTATTAATTATTCACAGTTAGACCACAATTACTTTAATGTGATTCCCAGGGTGCAGTCTAAAGACCTTGGAAGGTTTGCCAAACATGGGTATTTAAGAAGAATCAGGTGATGATGATTTCTTACATTGTGAGATTGCGTGTTGTGTTTTGGAAGTGTGCAGGTTTTTTTAATCATAAAATTGAATAATAAAATAATAAAAGCGATGAGTGAATGAGGCACAGGTAAAAAGTTTATAGAAATCTTTATTAATTATTAACAGTTATTACTGTCCCTGGGATGAAGGTAACAGCTTGCTTTTCCATTTAAGTTCTCTGTTGTTACAGAAGAAATTTGATTGGACATGATCTGTTTCCTGGGTGGCTTTTAAAGTGGGGAACATGCTTCCATTGGACAATCCTCTCAGCCCACCTCTGCCCAATTATAAGCATTATTGAAAACATTGTTTTCTATTTTAATTCCCGCTGGTCCCTGTGTAGAACTCCCAGACGCACACTTTATTTGGTCTTTAACTATTTTTGTTGAGTGTTATAATGTAACTTCATTATCTAATTACTGTGTTTTAACTGTTAAAGCAGAACACCCAGACATTTTTGATAGGGGAAAGGGGAAAGCACTGCCTTATGAAAAATAACAAGGATAATGGATCGCAGAAAGAAGGAAGTAACTAGAATCCAATGACACCAGGCAAGAAATAGCAATCGGGCATTGCCATGTGTGGAAAATGTTGACTCACCATTAATTAACCATTGCAAATGGAAATACCGATTGTGAGGGAGCCCTCCTCCTGCCTGGTGCTACTTCAGACATTATTAACTAATAATGTTCATATATGTCAGTCGTATACATTCCAGAGTGGACTTTTTTGCCTGGTCAAAAATCTATTTAGTTATGTAATCACACAGAGCTATGTGTGAGAAGCCTATCCAAGGGAAGTTTTATTCCAGGTGACTTGCAGACATCAAAAGATTCACCCTCATCAATAAGAACACTCTACTCCTATGCTCTGGTTATTTATTTATTTATTTACTTATTTTTAAATCCTTGTGCTGAGACTGAGAGAGGCTAAATCTTCTCAAATTTCCTTTATCCAAAGCCATCCCTGCAGTTCTGCTTTTAGGTCATATCCAACACTGGAAGGGGCCTATTTTCTCTCTTCAGTTTCTATGCACCCAAAATTTTATGTGAAGAGCTCATAAGATTCCAGTCCCTCTGATTTGAAACTAAATCTCTGATAAATTGTTTATTATTAGCTTTTATTTGTTATTGTAGCAACCTTCATATGCTAGGCACTTTGCAGACATGTAAAAAACCAGTTCTCTGTCTGCAGATATGACAATCTAAATTAGACAAAACATAGATGAAGTAGTGTGGGAAAGGAATGGACTACAATATAGTTAAAGTTACTGAGTAGTAGTCATTCGGACATGACTTCTTAGTTACAAGGATATTTTTTGCCCATTCCAAATCCCAAATCAGAGAGATCCTCAGATAGATACTTTTAGATCTTCTCTGCCAGTCCTCTGCTCGAATGCAGATTGGTCCTGCTTCTCTGACTACAAGTGAGTTACCAAGTTTCCATTACTTATCACTCAATCAGCTAGTTTTGCTTTCTTTGTACTGGTATCTGTGAGTTCAGTGCTGCCATTCAAAAGTAGCTACTTATATTGTATATATAAATGGTTGTTTGTGTAGCTCATTGTCCATTTCCATGGTCAAACTCCCACTTCAGTGAACAAAGCCTGCATTTACACACACAGACACGCATTTGCACATGCAAACTGTACTGAAGTGCACAAATGCTTGTCTGCATGTGCAATATGGGGGCCAGCTATGAGAATTTGGCCCTTACCACTAAATCTTTCATCTGTAACAATGACCAAAAGAAGGGAAGTGTTGATTGTTATCTAGGAAACTACACAGTGTAAATAGCTGCCTATTGTGTTTTATTGAAAGAGTTGTTTCCAGACAAAATGACTGGTAACCAAATACATACTTAATACCATTTTCTTCTGGCTGCTGAGCTTGAGATAGTTCTTTGCATCTGATGTAGTCATTAAGTCAGGTTTCCAAGTATTTTTTTAAATATAGATGCCCTTCCTACATGATAAATGCCTCTCTTACAGAGGGATGGCCAGAGAACCATGCTTGCTAAGACTGCATGTATTCTAGAGTGAGTTTGTGCTTAGTATGGCTACATCAACATATGTCTTGCTATTGTTTGATAATTATAGTTTCTGTGTTACTTTTTAGTTAACAATATGGGCCATATCTTTTCATTTTAAGTTAGCAATGTAAACTAAGCAGGAGTCAAGTCATTATTCGATGTAACCAACTAACTTCACTAGCCGCAAAAGGATTTGATGCAAAATACATTTCTGCAGATTAACAGAACTAACCTGTAAATGAAACAATGAATGAGAAACCTGTTGGTTTTGTCTTACAGTGGGGTTATGAGACCAGGACTGAATGCAATTCTGGGACCCACTGGCAGTGGGAAATCTTCGTAAGTGTTGAAGCAGTGAAAGGACCTGTTTTACTTTATCCATGTTCCTCACCAAGAGGAATCATGCCAACAAGAAAATGCACCTATATATATAAAATATTTGTGAACAACACTCCCAGGGAAAGATTTCAATCTTAATTCCACCAGAGTAAATGGATAAATGGAGAATAATTATATGGATTTCAGAGCAGAATTTGACCTCAAGTGGAAATTTTATTTAAAAGCAACAAAAAAGGGGAAAAAAAAGAAAAAGAGCCAATTTTGCTAATTTATTTATATTTATTTACTAATTTATTTCTTTTTAGTAAATAGTTTCCTGACATTCTCCCCTTATGCATCAATCTACAGTACAGCAGGAGGCTTATTTTACTGAAAAAAAGACAATTCTGTTCTTTGAGGGGATTTTAAAAATATATGAACTATAGTAAGTGGCAAATTTTCAATATGGGAAAGCTTGTGCACAGCTGGCTATATACTGTTAACTGTATTTGTTTGCCAGATTTGCCTTTCACTGGCCCCGACTCCTACAGCTTGGTGAAAATATACACTTCGGAGCTCTTTAAGGTGATGGACTTTTCTTCTTCTAGGCTATTGGATATCTTAGCTGCAAGGAAAGATCCTTATGGTCTGTCTGGAGATGTTTTGATAAATGGAACTCCTCAGCCTGCCAACTTTAAATGTATCTCTGGATATGTGGTACAGGTAAGTCAGTCTGCAGTGACTGCATCTGCCTGTGTCGTTTTGACATCCTCTGAGCCAAAATGCACCAGAATTGTCCAATATGAGGTAACTGCAGCAGCTGACTTGTCAAAACTGACACAGGATATAATTCAGAAATCACACATTATAATTTAAAATGTAAATGGGATAAGTGGATTTCCATTTCCAGGATTATTCCCTGAGCTTCTGCATGCTGTGGGGACCTTCCACATGTGGCTCTTCCCCGCCCATATAGAAGAAACCCATACAGAATGTTGCTTCCACAGCACCATTGCTCTGCCCATAGAGCTCCACTGAGTTTAGAGATCAAGAGGGGCTGGAGCAGTGGAGCTGACCCCTCCACAGCACCTTTCTCTGCAGAGTACCTAGAAATCCAGGGAGAAGTTTAAACAGCTTGGAACTGTAGTATGTCCCACTGACTGCTACTGGGCATCTGCAAGGAAACCCAGCCAATAGTAGCACGGTTCCTATTGGTGTACAGTTCGTAAGGGCGAGCAAAGCCATTGGAACAGCTATCATCCCTGTAGAATATCATCTGTTTCCATATGGAAAGAGGCTCCATTCCCTATGGATCCCTTGGATCTACAGAGGTGGAAGGGGGCACAACCTGTCAAATCCACAGCCCTCCTTAACCCCCTACTACTGTAGGAACCTGTCTCCAGGAAAACTCTGCAATGTGAACCTCACTGAGTTCCCCCCCCCACCCCATCTTGTCCTGTGGGTGTAGCTGTGAGAGTGGGTGATCTGGCCCTATGTTATAATTTATTTCCTATCATAACATGCAACTACACCTCACATTTTGAAGGTTTGTCTATATTCTGAATTGACCTTTCTTTAGCACTGCTCTTTGAAACAGGTAAGAATTCTAACTCATGTAGAGATCTGAGAAGGTATCAGAAAAACACATCCGAAATTACAGGCATGTCCCTTCCCTATCAATTGGGGGAGGATGGTTCTTGAGAAGCACCACAGGCCTTGTAAAGGAATATTCAATTTAGCAATTGTTATCACTGTAGTCCTCTGCTATCTGGCTGCTTTTCCACAAGAAAAAAAGAGGGCATGACAGCCCACCAGTATGTTGGAGAGATTCTTTGAGGCCACTCCTGGGAGCCTTATATTAAAATTCTGCCACCAAATGGAAAGGAAGTTTGGGAATCAATCCCTTTCTGGATCCTGGCCAGAGCTGATTTTACCACTGGGGTTCATAAAAAAATGTCAGCAGGGCCATTTCCCCCCCTTTACAACAGACCAGATTGCTCCAGATGGATTGGTATTTTCAAAAATTGTTCCCTCAGCCTCCTCTACAATCACTCCATACCTCCACTTCATGCTCAAAAGCTTGGACACAGCTCTACACTACCAATATAGTCAATACATTTTTCAAAGTATAAAGTTTTCCACAGATGTTCAGCTCATAAGCTTGTTTGGCCAGAGAGGATGCCTCCTTCCTTAGATATGGGAAAGTGTTATTGCTTCAGTGGGAAAAACAAATGAATAGATTTCCCACTATCTCTTGCCTATCTTCAGTGCAATACATATGGTTTATTAGAGGCAAAGGGAGAGAAATTAAAATATGGTCAGCCCATCACTGACCAGTACTCTCTCAAAACAAAGTTAATAGAGAGATGTCTAAACTATTGTATGATCAATCATCAGATAAAAAGTCATTCCCTTTATAAGCTATAAACAAAGCCCAGATAAAATTTTCCCCCTTACTTTTCTCAGAACACATCAAAACAACCCACTCTCCCAATCTAATTTCCCATATCACCTTCTTCTTCCTCCTTTTATACACAGCAGCTGAGGCTGATAGACTAACGAGCTCAGCTGCATATGCTCCTCAGTTCCCTTTACCACTTCACAGTCTTATTCCAAATCTTCACAACTCTGACAGGGAAGACAGTGGCTTGGGTCTTCGGTGTACCCGGGCAACACCAGCTCAAAATGTCCAGAGACCTTGCTGGACAATGTACCTCATCACAGCGGATAATGCTTCCTAAAAAGCAGTGGTCTCCTGGCAGGTGTGGAACTGAAGGCTTGATTGTGGATCACAGTGAATCAGTCCCTTTTATCCTTTTTAATTTTCTGTATCCTGTCCTTAGGATGACATTTTGGTTTTCAAAGATGTCACATAATTGACTGACATGATTCTTCACTTGAACTATCATTTTTAAGTTGTTCTGATCTTATAAAGTGAGAAGCTCTACATTCTGTCTATTGCTTTCTCTATCCACCATGTCTCTCTCTCTCTCTCTCTCACACACACACACACACGTAACATCTTTTTTCCTTCCCACCATCTCCTTTTCTCTTTCAAATTCAAAATGTATTTGGCACCAGGTTTCTCTATTCCATCAGTACTGACTTGGCACTTTCTTGGTTTCCGGCTGCCTGCATGGTGTTTTCCTTTAAGCTGCTGATTCAGATCTAAGAGAGAGAATGCAGGTAGGGCCACCTAAGAACGCAGTTGTCAGGGCCACCTGAAGCCAGAATAGAGTATCAAGGAACAATGATGCATCATGTAATGGGGTCCCACAATGCATGTATTTAGTTAAACAAGTACTGATCCAAGGGAGGTAGTAGGACTGAATGTACTCACACAGAGCTCCAGTTTGCAGTTGTTTTGTCAATAACCCTTAGCCCCTGCATGTTCAAAGTGCTGCCCATACAATACCTAATAATAAATAAGTATTATTATACCCATTTCACAGAGAGGTAAACTAAGACAGGAAGGTCAGGGAGCTTGCCTGAGACCATCTAGTCAACAAGAGTTGCTAAATCCCACAAAGTGCTGAGCACTGTGACCCTGGTCCAGAAAACACTTAAACATACACTTTACTTTTTAAGCATGTGAGTGTTCATTCTGATGAAACTTGCTCATGTACTTAAAGTAAACATGGGCTAATTGCAATGGGGCCACAGTGCTCAGCATGGGGCATAATCTAGCCCCTGGTGCATTCAAACTCAGTGGTTCCTCACTCTCCACACTGGGCTCATTCCTCTTGACCATGCTGCCTACCCACTGCTCTGGTAACCTCAAGAGAGGATTCAGTTTAAATCAGCAGTTTCACAGCACTCCAAGCTTCTCACAACCTTTCTGCACTTACTAGTTTTTGCTTAGCTGTGATCTGCAGTTACCACATTTCCAAACCACAACCTCAGATATTTGAAGAAAGATTTTATTCACATCTGTAGAAAGAACTCTTTCCAGATACAGATTCTGCAGGGTGCTGAGCACTCTCAACCTCCATTAAAGACAAGAGGAGTTGAGGGCACTCTGTTTCCCACAGGTGGTGCTCAGCACCTGGGCAGGACCAAATCCAGAAACATTTTGTTGATAGGTTTTCCTTCATACAGTTGAAAATTATGTTTGAATTTTTCGCTGCGTTGCCAATGTTTAGCTGCTCTGAAAAACACGCTGGGCAGGGAAATATCTGGACAGTGTATATACACATGTATTGATATTTCTGCTTTTTGATACATGTACGATAGTCCCTTGTTGCCATAAATTGCACAAACATGCAGAGACTAATATTGAAAGCAAATATCTGATGGGATGTTCAGGTTTTGAAGATCCAGCCTATTTGATTCTAGCAGTTTTCACTGCCACACAAATGCACTCTGCATGTACAGTACACATGTAAGATGCACGTGCTAGTCCCAGAAGAGGAAAAATTAAGCCTGCAATGAACATTAAATATGTAACTTTGTTACTTAGGATGATGTGGTGATGGGAACTCTGACAGTGAGAGAAAATTTCCAGTTCTCAGCAGCACTCCGGCTCCCCACATCTGTGAAGGAACGGGAAAAGGAGGAACGAATTGACCAGATCATCAAGGAACTGGGTTTGACCAAAGTGGCAGATTCCAAGGTAAGCTGTCATATTATGATGCCCAATTAATAGCAAATATTAAATAATTTTAGATGATAAAATGGCTCCACTTTAGCAGGGGTGTTTTTGATTTAGTGGTTTATTCTAATAGCAGAAAGGCTGATAAACCCCAGCACAGCTGCCTGTTCCCATAGTATCAATGAAGATAAAGGCTCGTTACTTGTGCACCTATTCTTAAACTATCAGACACAGGACAGTAATTACAAGTAGGAGGAAAGCAGGTGACCTGAGTGTCATGAAGAAACTTAGATTTCAGGGTGAAAACTTTTAAAGGGGAGCCCTTTTTTCTGCAACGTTCAGAGTTGCACTATTCCCTTAAACAATGTCAATCCTTGAATCCATATTTGAATCCATAATCACAATATAATCACCCAGAACTCTCCCAGAAGTTAATGTGCTGTTAAATGTGTTGGATGTTTTTTGCTTGAATACTTTGAAGTCAGACAAAATGACACAAGCTGCTTGTTTTGCACTAGGTTGGCACCCAGTTTATTCGTGGGGTGTCCGGGGGAGAGAGAAAACGGACCAATATTGGAATGGAACTCATTACTGACCCTGCAGTCTTGTTCTTAGATGAACCAACTACTGGATTAGATGCCAGCACTGCCAATGCAGTCTTGCTGCTCCTGAAAAGGTGACTGCAATGGAATCACTGGGAAAGAACCAGCTTTGACAGAGATGTACTCCATAAATCTGCAGTTAAAATGTGGTTAGAATGGTTAATGTGTAGTTATTATATTGCTGGGCTTGTTTTATTCCTTTTTGTACCTTGCATTGGATTCTCCAACAACAGGTTGAACTGTGTTAATTTACTGATTTGTATTGCAAGGAATTTGAAAGAAGAAAACTCCTCAAAGAGTGCAGATATTTGATACCTCTATTATTTTCCACTTTACATTCAGGATGTCAAAGCAGGGGAAAACAATAATTTTTTCCATCCATCAGCCCCGGTACTCCATATTCAGATTGTTTGACAACCTGACATTATTGGCTGCAGGAAGAATGCTGTACCATGGCCCTGCTCAGAATGCCATTGAATACTTCAAATCTATTGGTGAGTTTTCTTCTGGAGCTTCAGTCACAACAGTGGACACTAAAAGGAACATACTTAAAATGCAGCTCTGTTTTGAAAAGTGACTTAGTAAAAATGGCTCTTGAATCATGGGATTCAATGGTTAATGTGCCTCATTGTTTCCCATACCAAAACATACTAAAGAATTGTTTTTTTTAATATAACAGTAACATTAATGCAAAGTTAAAGTTGAAAAACCAAGCACTCAGAAATTGAGAAATGCAGAGTTGAGGATGAAGGCTGAACCTTAACTGTTACCCTTTGTGCTTATTAGTAATTACTTTAAAAGTAAAAAGTAATGCAAGTTATATCACAGTATTTAGTTTTGTTTTTTTTATATGAATTGTATACTAGGCCCTGATTCAGTAAAACACTTAAGCACTTTACCCATAGATTTGTGGGTTCAATAAATCCAAACGATTAAACCTGCCATAAGGAGAAGCAGAAAAATGACTTCTCATTAAGTCTATTAGTACCAGCTGATAGGTCAGAATAGAATTAGCAACAACAGACATGCAGTTAGAATTTGGAAGGGCTCATTTGTTAGTTGTCACCTTTGGATATTTTGAATTCTTACAGCTTTCCTTTTATGGCAGCTTTGATAGGGCCAGTTGGCAATCTCCTTCCTCATGTTGATTAGCAGTTTGGGCCAGTTGGACCACATTGTGGTGTAAGTTACTACTCAACATAAGTAAGGGTATCATAGTCTGGCCGATGGCATATTACCTCAAGTGCTTTTCAACACGTTACCATCTGTAGAATGACTTGCCTGAGAGATTGAATACTGTTTCTCTGCAGGTTATGAATGTGAGCCATACAACAATCCTGCTGATTTTTTTCTGGATGTCATTAATGGAGACTCAACTGCTGTGGCAGCAAGCAAGGCTGATGATGTTGATCTAGGTATAAAACTGAAGTTCTTCATACAGTAAGAAGCTGATTTGCAGAGTGACAAAATATATTTTGGATTTATCAACTCTGGCATGAAAAAAATAATTTTCAGGTGCATCAAGTTAACAGTAATAGCTTCTTCCATACGTAAACTCAAGAGTTACTTGGACACCCACATACTGTAGATGATACTGTTCCTCTTGTGTCTATCTCTCCACCATGAAATTTCCTTTTATAAAGCCATCTCGCCATGTACAGTATGAAATGACTTGTGTGTGACATTTAATATCCATTGGTGTTCCGTGAATGGCAGTTATTACATGTGGTTCTTTTTCCTCAAACAGTAAGGACTGTTCTGCCAATGAATTCAATAGCAAAACTCCTATTGTCTTTTTCATGGAAACCAGATCCAGTGCCCTGTTGTGATACAGTAGTGTCAAAAAACAAAATAGTAAAACTCTTTGTGACTATATGCAGTAAATCTTGATATTAGCTTTGCATGTGTACTTAATGCATACAATATTTATCATGTTATTGGACTGATTTTGTTTTTCCATCTCTGCAATGGTAGCTTGTTGCTCATAAATTCACCTGAGGTAATCAATCATTAGTGTCACTTTCTTCAGTAAGTGGACCATACCTGGTTATTGTAATCACATTAACACTGCTATGGATTGTTCTACTACAACCCCATGTAGGGATTGATTCTTTTTAATCTCAACAAAATTATACAGTGCAAGGCCTGCTCTACACACAGACTATGTACAGCTATGACTATTTTAGTTAGGGATGTGATTTTTAAAAATGAAATAGCTTTATTGGTACAACTCCTCGTGTGGATGCAGTTACACTAAGTAAGTATAAAGATTACTTATATTAGTATAGTTTGTTCATCTGCACATATGGGATGAATCTAGACACAGGTATAAGCACTTTTATACCGATATAACTGCATCCACCCTCTGGGGCACTGTACCACTTTTAACTATTCCACTGTGGTTATAGCAGTACAGCTTTTGTGTGCAGACAACCCCTAACTTTTGTGAGGAAAAAGGTTATTTAAGGACTGATTGGCTGGGAGACCCTTCCTTCCATGTGGTAAATCTTTGCTACTGAAAGTAAAATTTCTCATTTGCAGGGAGTCTATTTTCCCCTTTGACAACCTGATCCAAAAGTGACATCAAGAGAAAGACTCCCATGGAGTTCAATAGGTTTTGGATCAGGCCCTATATGCACACATGCTGTAGGAGTAAAACATACCCCTTAAGAATGAAGGGACTCAATCAAGGTTGCAGAATGATCCCTACACAGTATCGGAAAAGTTCCTCAGGGAGAGGAGAATTATTTTTTTCTATTAATTCAATAAAAGGTAACTAAATATTTTTTCTCTTTAACCTGAAGATAACATTAAAGAACACATCAACCGTGATAAGACTTTGGCAGAGAAGATAGCAGAGCACTATTCCAGTTCCACCTACTACAGAGAAACGAAAGCAACATTACAGAACATTTCTTCGGAGAATAAAAAGAAAGTGAAGACAATTTTCAGACAAGTTACATATACCACTTCCTTCTTTCATCAGCTCAAGTGGGTGTCGAAACGTACATTTAAAAACTTGATAGGCAACCCTCAAGCCTCCATAGCTCAGGTAATCATAGTTAATATAACAGTTGTAAGTCTGATTTGATTTTCAGACCATTTCTATCTGAAGATGGGTTAGGCACAATTTTGCACCTGCAAATTATTGGGCCTAAAATTTGCACCTAAAATAGAGGTCAGTATCTGAAAATCTGTGCCATAAAATGCTGGGCTACATGATCCCAAATAATGAGCATGACAGGGATATGCAACAATTTATTAACTTACATTTACCATTATTTTAGGTATGTGGGGTTTGATTCTCCTCACACTTATGTCATTAACAACACAATTCTCCCAAACTGACTCACAATAAGTAGTACCTTACCCTGCAAGTAGTCCCCTGCAATCCTCCCATGCTACTCTGAGAAGCTGATTCTCAGAATCTCGTCTTCACCTCTGATCTGTGCACCTTGCAAGTCATCTGTACGCCAGGATCTGGCCCACTGCGTTCTGTTTTTTTCCCCAAGGGAAAGTAAATTAGCCAGTCTTATACAGTTAATTAGCTCTCAACACATAATTATGTCCTAGTAGCTGAGTCAAAGACAGAGATGATCTCGGTCTGATCCTGAGGTCCTTATTCCAGCAACACTCCCATTTGAATTTTATCTGAGTAATACGAGAGGGGCTCCAACCCATAATAAAAGTTGTACCTTATCACTGTCATAAATTATCTGGATTAAAAAAAAACATCTTGAGTAAAATAAAATCAATAGCAAAGGGGAAATCTGTTCAGAATCCCTCAAGTTAAAAGGCTTTGTGTGTGTGTATATCTGTATGTTGATAGTATGGATATCTCAAATAATTGCATTGCAAAAGCTTGACCTTGTGACAAGAATTATGATCTCAAGAGCTTTCTAATACTCCAGGGTGAATGGTTGTGACTTTTTTCTCACAATCTTTTGTATCTCCCAAACCTCATTAGGAATGGATTTCAAACACAGTCTATAAATTGTACACAGTTCATTAAGCCGTGTTTGCTAATCCTCTCCAAATTGGTCTTGATATGATCCTTTTTCCCCCCACTACAATTGGCTTAGTGGCTGAATTATCCCTGACATTTGGTCCTTTGGGCAGGTTCTTAGTGATATGGTACCATGTATCAAATGCTTTACAGTGTTAAGACTCATGCATCCCTCATGCTTAACCATGACTGAACTGCCTGATACCATCATTTTTGCTGAGATTTTCTTCGCTTCTTCTTAGTCTTAAGAAATTGTGACATACAGATTTAATCATTCAGATTATATCACTGAATCCACTGATAATTTTGCTATTTAACAAAAATCCAAGTTGCACGTTTCTATCTACACAGAGCCAGATTCTGATACCCTTACTTACATTTGAATAGCATTTACTCCACGAGTAGAGTGCTATTTAATGCAAAGCTGTAAGACTCTGTCCCTTAGGGTTAAATCCTGCCCTTCTTTACAGCAAAAAGGACAATCCACAAAAGCCAGCATGCTAGGTGAGGAGCTGCCTAAGCTAGCCAATGGGAGATACTGACCAGAGGGGGAAGTCCTCCCCTCTCTGGGAGATAGGCTCCTAAATCCAGGAGGCAGGGAGGTGCCTAGCTCCATTTAGCAATCCACAAATAGGCCCCCTCTACCTGGAGTCAGTCAGCTTAGCTACCTAAGGCATTTGTCGTGAGAATAAATTAGGTACCTGCTTCACACCACCCAAAAACAGCCACTGGAGGAAGTGGAGATGGTGCTACTTTCCACTTTATAATTTTCAGTCCACTGATTAGAGCACTCACTTGGGATGTGGGAGACCCACGTTCAAATCCCCCTTCTCTGCCAGAGAGCGAGAAAGGATTTGAACAGCAGTATCCTACTTCTCAGAAGAGTGCTCTAACCGCTGAACTATGGAATATTCTGAGCTGGAATCCCTCAGTCTCTCCTGCTGAAGCTGTTCCATTGTGGATTAAAAAATGAAAGTGCGATTAGGGCAGGGGAACTGGACCCAGGTAGGTTCCCTAATCACTGGGCTATTGAGTCATTTGCCGCACCCCTTTTCTGGCCTAATGATTGCTCCACTGTGCATAAATACTTAAATAGTCGTAGTCTGGGATTTAGGCATCTAAGTGCATTTGTGGATCCCACGCAGAGTTTTTGTATGCTCTAGACCTTCTCTGTCTTCCCATCTCTTATCATTCTCTATCTAGGTACCATGAGTACATTTCTTTTCCATCTGTATTCACCACCTAAATATTTTATGTGGTTTTTGCAATTTTGAACTTTTTTTTAAAAAAAGGTTCATTACAATACAAATTTAGATTGTAATTGTTCTCTCTCTTTTAATTATTTATTTTATTTTATTTCAGCTGTGTGTTACACTTTTCCTGGGACTAGTTGTAGGTGCCATTTTCTTTGGGATACAAGATGATTTTACCGGTGTGCAAAACAGGCGAGTCAACTCAGGGATTGAATATCAATGGGGCTGACAAAACCATGCTGTTACCATCATAAAATAATGAAAATTGTTGTGGCTGAAAATGAACTTTTCTTGTCTTTTGTGAGATACCATAGCGACCACTTTAGAGCAAATGCATACCTGTAAATCATAAATTACAAAATAAGCGCTGGTCCTGCCATGAGCTCTCTGTGGCTAGATCCCTCCACCTGCATGGAGCTCACTGCAGACTCGAGGCCTAAGGTCCCATTTCTGCAACCCTTACTCATGTTGTCTACTACCTTGTGCAAGTAGTCCTGGTGAAATCATTGGGGCTACTTGCATAGTAAGGTACTCGTCATTGCAAGTAAGGGGAGCAGCACTGGATCCTAAGTTTGCAGTGAAAGATTCCAGAAAATTATACAAAATATTAAAAATACACAACTGTTCATTAACCACTTCAACAATTAAACAAACAGCATCTGGAAAGACTTCCCTGAGATAAAATTCAATGGCCAAATTTTTCAGACTTTAGTTGCCTGAAGTTTGGCAACTAAAGCCCTGATTCTGCAAGCACTTATACACATGCTTAACTTTACAGAGGTGAACCTAAGGGGTCTGCTCATGTAAATGAAGTTACCTGAGTGTGTGTATGACTGGGGCCTAAATTTATATTTGGTACCTAAATAAAAGTGGCCTGATTACCAGAGGGATTGAACATCTGCAACTGTGGGAGCTGTTGTAGTCAGCACCTCTTAAAATCTGGCCATTTTTATTAAAGTGCCTCAGAATTGGTGTATGCCAAGGGCTTAAATTTGGCATCCACATTTGACAATTTTGGCCTTTCATTTTAGCAGGTAAACCCATCTCCAGTTGCTCATCATTTTCTCATATTCCATGTAGACTGAAATTTTTGGTCTCATATTTGTGCTCAGTCTGAAGGTAATTTAAACAAAATATTGAGTAAAGTCAGTCAAATCATTTTTCATTATTTGATTCTGACAAGCAACAGATGTTACCCACATATTCCAGTAATAAACACTGAACTCAGCTAGCTCAAGATTTGCTAAAGCTCCAGTCTTAGGGCCAAACCTGTTTCTGTTGAAGTTAATGGAAGTTTTACCATTAACTTAACCAGGAGTGGGATGAGTCCCTTAACTTGTTTAGTAGATCTCATGGAAACTTAAAAAATAATACAACTATGAAGAAAATTGATTTAGCAGTTTGAATGAAGATGGTTTAAAACTTTTCTACCTGTTTTCCCAAGCCTATTTTAAGGACACATTTATTCAGGATTCATGTGCTCATGACATCCCACTTAATGACACCTTGCTTCTCTGGCGATAGGTTATTAAATGTTGTAAATTAGTTGAGTAAGTCAACAAGACAAAAAAAGAATAATAAAATATACTTTGTCCATTTCTATTTTGTAAAGAAATCTTAGCTATATAAATCCCTCCGACAGATTACACCTTTAAATCTCTACTGAGAAATAAGAAAAGACAGACAATTTGTGCATGAATTATGGAGTATGTGAAGTAGCAAAGCACATATTAGTGAATGCCAGTAGTTCTTTGGAAGAGTTTAGACATGGTCTATTGTAAAAACTACTGAAAATATGTTCAAAATAATTGAATAAAGCACTAATGTAGCTGATTTTATAAGTGTAAATATTTGTTTTACCCTAGAATTGGAGCAATGTTCTTCGTGACCACCAACCAGTGTTTCAGCAGTATTTCATCTATTGAACTTTTCATTGTGGAAAAAAAGATATTTATGTAAGTAAAGCTTGATGTAACGGGTAACATTGCCTATTGTTAGCAAAGCTTATTGAACTGCTAATCTTTTTTGTTGCCCTACTAAATTGTCATCTAAATATGACAATTTAGTTATTCATACTGGTCAGATTATTCACTGCAAGTAATATTCATTGCAAACGTATTTTTTAAATCCTGTTTATGAGTTGTTTGCAAACCAATCATCATTTCTGTGTATGGTTTTGTCCATAAATGCTGATAGTTTGGATAAATACTATTTACATTGTGAGTTGTTTGTGAACTGTTCACTTCTGTTACCAGAATCATATGGAGTTGATATTAATTGGGTACTTGGAACTTTACAGGCTTTATGAGTCACAAAATGAGAGAATTACATATTTCTATACGTTAAGTGTGTTTTGATGATGTAAGATGTACACTAAAGACTATGGGCCATACTCGGAGAGGTCTGTGGACACAATTGTGTTCAGCAATAGGCATGTATATTTGCATATGTAATTATCAAAATTATAATGACATCTTATTGGTCATTGGCATGTGTAATTACAGTATGTGCACAAATGCATTCTTATTTTTCCATTTGGAATTGTATGCATAACTTATCAAAACCTGTCCATATGTGAAAATGATTTGATTGCTTTATAATTGATGTAATCTGTAATATGCTGTATATATTTCTGTGTTCTAGACATGAATATATCAGTGGGTACTACAGAGTGTCTGCATACTTCATCTCAAAGCTAATGGCTGATTTAATACCCATGAGGACTTTACCAAGCATCATCTTCACCTGTATAGTTTATTTCATGTTAGGCAAGTGCCCTATTCACAAGCTGCATTAAAACTAAAAAGAAAATTGCTTCAGTACCAACAATGCACACTCATTTTATGCCTCTGTCAATCATTTCAGGTATCCAGGAGTAGGTTGGATCAAATCTTCCTTCTTCCACTTTTAAAAAAAAAATCATTTTCTCTGTTTAAACTCCATGTACCAATATGGCATTATTTCTCTTGCTTGGTGAGTGCAATGTCATGAGATTGCCATTGGTGCTGTTATGCAATTTGCTGGACTGGGCACATTTGCAAAATTTCAAGCACACTTGTCACAGTCTGTGATATATCCCATCTGCACTTTCCTTGGAAACAGGGGTTTAAGTAGGGTGACTAGATGTTCTGATTTTATAGGGACAGTCCTGATATTTGGGTCTTTTTCTTATATAGGCACCTATTACCCCTCACCCCCGTTCTGATTTTTCACACTTGCTATCTGGTCACCATAGGTTTAAGCATCATTTATAGATGGCTCTGTCTCACTGGTTTCCATGCTGTTATCTTTTCTTTTAGAGACTTTTAATCATTCTATCACGAAATACTTTTCATTACAGTTGGCCATGCTGATAAAACCCCCCATCAAAGAAAAATGTGATTATAAAAACCTCAAGCTCCTGGAAACTGATATTAGCCTGCTCTTTTCAGTCGTTTCCCCGGGTAGTAAGGACAATTTTAAAATTGCAGACATCCATTTTAGACCATTAATGCAGTTTCAAACACCATGCTCACTACACATTTCAGGAAGGTCAGACTGAAATATTTCATGGAGCAAGAAATTCAGACAAACTGTCAGGATGTTTCAAAACTTAATAATAATAAGATGTTAGCAGACCGAGGTGCTGGAACTTGGGGTGCTGGGGGTACTGCCACACCCCCTGGCTTCAAGTGGTTTCCATTATATACAGGTTTACAGCTTAGTTCAATGGCTCTCAGCACCCCCACTATACAAATTGTTCCAGCACCATTGTTAGCAGAATGCAAGTACAGAACAAAAATCATCACTTGCTCTAGTCTGACTTTTTCCCTTAAACAAACGAGACATTATGACACTATTCGCAAAAAGAAAAGGAGTACTTGTGGCACCTTAGAGACTAATCAATTTATTTGAGCATGAGCTTTCGTGAGCTACAGCTCACTTCATCAGATGCATACCGTGGAAACTGCAGCAGACTTTATTGACACTATTAGGATATACAGAGAGAACATTTACATGGCTGTGAAACAGGGGTGGTTCAGAAACTAATGCCTAATCTACAGCCGCCAACAACCCCTGACTCATGGGAGACCTGACCCCACTGGAAACAAGTGAAATACTATTGGATGTTTATCGCATGTGAGCTACTGCTGTATGGGGTGAGGCATGAGCTGCTTCTTGTTCAGTTTTTCTGTGGTGATAACTTGAGCTCTTAGTGAATCAGGAAATCTCCTCCTTTATCTTGTTTTGGCTGAGACACATTACAGCTTTTTCTCCTTCCATTTCATTGAAAAAGTCAATTACAATCCCCAAACTCCTTCCACAAATACACACATCAGTTCTATTCTAGACAAAATCCCTAGTCTTTGTGCCCATGGGAGTCTGAACTCCTTCCCACAATCAGCAAGGCATAGGAATTTGGGACACTGATCCTTGGTCCTTGCAGCCAGTGATCCAAAATGTATGGTGTGGTGGTGAAAGGAGGGCAGATTTCCTTGAATCAGTCCTCCCACAAAATTTGTTCTCATAAGTGGGGCCAACTACATATATTAAGATAGTACACATTGACTATGGTACAAGCGCTGACAAAATTATACTGACAGCCTTCTTGTTCTGCTCCCTAAGGTTTGAAGCCAAGAGCAGATGCCTTCTTTATAATGATGTTTACTATTACGATGGTATCCTACACGGCCACTGCTATGGCGCTAGCAATTGCAACAGGACAGGATGTGGTAGCTGTAGCTAATCTACTCATGACCATCACGTTTGTTTTTATGATTGTGAGTAGCATTATTATGCTTTTATTTATTTAGATGTAAACCCAAGCAGCTGTGAAGTTCAGAGCCAGATGGCGATCTCCATTTGAATTCTGCAAAAAAAGATCAAGAATCTGGGGCTTTCATGTTCCACTTTGTCCCAATACATTAACAAGAAATCAAAGTTCAGGCTTGTTTCTGAACTTCTCCAGAAATTTGGGGTTAAGGTGGGTTTTGGATCTGATGTTCTAGTTAGGGCCAAGTTTTAGTGATTAAAAATAATGGGGAAGAAGAGGGGAGGGATCATGCCAGTGGTAAGAGTGGATGTGGTGTGGTACATGATGCTCCATCTGCTCTGCAACTAGTGCATAGTTCCCTGTAGGACTGTTGCAGCCAGCATGATTTAGAGAGGACCTTAGCTGATCCAGGGCTGGGGGAGCAGAGAAGTGGCTTACAGTCACATTTCCCCTGCTCTCCTCAGCTCAGCCACAGGTAAAGCCCACAGTCCCTTAAATTATGAGACCACTAACTTACTAACCATCAACAAGGAACCCAACTATCTATTAATAGGCCACATACGAAATAGATGTGAGTTGGCTGCAAGCAGCGTGGATAGAAGCATGTCCAGTTTTCCACCCGGGGAAACACCACATTGGACAGTGATCTCAGGGCTACTTCGGGAAAGTTTTCCCTGAACACACTTAGTGTGGCTCTTCAAAAGTGCCTGTCTGCCTTGTTTTTGGTCCAGTTGCCATAAAGAAGCAAAGGCAGAGGTTGGAGAATAGAAAATACAATTTCATATTTTAAAAACCATAACTTAGCAAAAACCTGATTTGGGGTTCTCCCCTAACAACTAAAAGCATAGTACACCAGCAACCAACCTCTATTGAAATTTACTTTCATGTAAATTTCTCTGTGCTCTGACTGGAGGATATAAACCCCTTATTATCCCCCAGTGTAATACAATCAGACTTCTGTATAGCATATAGATTTAATGGGAGTTACTTGTGCACATTTGATTAGTAATGGTGACTCTGGACTGAAACACTTTCCTGTGAAATGGGACTTAGATTTTTTATTGTGTCTTTACTGTCTACAGATTTTCTCCGGGTTGTTGGTAAATCTCACAAGCATCTTGTCTTGGCTTTCCTGGCTGCAGTATTTGAGCATCCCTCGATATGGCATGACAGTAAGTGCTATGTTTTCTGGTGCATTGTGTTTAGAAACATTTGTCAAAAGGGACCATCTGAATCTGATGGGAGAAATGAATCCAGGTTTCATAGATTAGTGACCAATGGGCAAGTTTTTGAAACATACTGAAATTAAAACTTGACATGGCATACTTTAGTCAGGTATAGGGTGACCAGATAGCAAATGTGAAAAAATCGGGACAGGGAATGGGGGGTAATAGGCACCTGTATAAGAAAAAGCCTTGAATATCAGGACTGTCCCTATAAAATCAGGACATCTGGTCACCATAGTCAGGTGGCATGAGGAGTTTATGGATACAGCAGCTGAAGGTGGTTGTAAGAGGTAAAAACAACAAGTAGTCCTGTGGCACCTTAGAGACTAACACATTTATTTGGGCATAAGTTTTTGTGGGCTAGAACCTACTTCATCAGATGAACCCTAAGCTTATGCCCAAATAAATGTGTTAGTCTCTAAGGTGCCACAAGGACTCCTCGTTGTTTTTGCTGATACATAATAACACGGCTACCAGTCTGAAACCTGTAAGAGATAAGTGTCTCCTATCTGCAAGTGTTAAGAGATGTGCAGGTATTTAAATAACTATATATATATATATCTCAGTTACAACTATATTAGGATACAGTTTGCATAAAAACACTATATAAAATGAAACAGTATTGTATTACTTAAAAACAAAAGAATTTTTTCGTCTTTTAAATATTTGCTTCAATCACACAGAATATTTAGCTTTTTAAAAAAACCTGGAAGTGAATAGGTGGAATCATATAAGCAATTGCAGGAGGTGGACTTCATAAGAGTTGGATCTTTTCCATCTCTAACTACTATGATCTTATTTTTAGGAAGCTGAGTCAGTAATGCAGTTATGGTGGAAAATATGGAGTCTTTTGAAAGTGCTGGGTTAGATAGCTGCTGTATAGATGACCACTGTCATATGGGGTGCTGAATAAACTATATTCTTACATCATGTATACAACTATACTCTTACAACAAAATCAGCTATGACACTATGTTAGAAAAGATGGATTTGTCTGAGATCAGAAGCTATGATGCCATACAATTTTTGAAGATAAATTTGATTTTTAGTAAGTATCTGATCCAGTTGGTTTGTCATCGCTTTAATAGTAATTCAGTTGTTGTTTTTTTCTTTTATCTTAAAAGGCTTTGCAAATTAATGAATTTACTGATCTGAAATTATGCACTGGTATCACTAATACAAGTCAGACTGATATGAACTGCACAGAGGTTAGCCAACCGTAAGTATATGTTTTGCATTAAAATGAATTCCACTACAACACAAGATTGCAAGGTTTTTTTGAGTGCTAGAGAATTTGATGTGCATTCACCACCTACAGTAGGATTCTTTAAAGTAATATTTCTTTCGTCTTAAGAAAAAAGCATTTTTTTTTGCATTGTATGTGCTAAGATAACATGCTACAGAGGCCATGAACAAAAGAATCAGTAAAGATATTCATAGCAATATCGATATGCCTTTGTCATTTTGCATTCATTATGTCTATTAAAACAAAAACCCCACAAAACAACATCATACGACATGAAAAATAAAATTATTAATTGAAAAGAAAATGATCTCTTATCTTGGGACTTATATGATCCCCTGACCATAGTATCTGACCACCTCACAGGCTTTAATGTAGTTATCCTCACAACACCACTGTGGGGAAAGGAAATACTATTATCCCCCATTTTACAGACTGGGGAGGCACAGTGGGTATGTCTACACTGCATCTGGGAACAAGCCTCCCAGCCTGCATCTATAGACTTGTGCTAGTGGGACTCAAGCTAGCATGCTAAAATTAGCTGTGTAGAGATTGCACCTGGGTCTCCCAAGCATGGGATGGGAGGCTTGAGAGCCTGAACAAGAGTGTCAAAGCAACATCCACACAGCTAGTTTTAGCGGATTAGCGTTAGCCGGGCTTGTGCAAGTCTGTGGACCCGAACTGGAAGGCTCATTCCCAGATGGAGTGTAGACATATCCAGTGAGACTAAGGCCTGGCCTACACTGGGAAATTAGATCGGTATAACTATGTTGCTCAGGGATGTGAAAAAACCACCTTGAGTGAAGCAGTTAAACCAACTTAACCCCCGGTGTAGACAGTGCTAGGTTGATGGGTGAAATCTCCCGTCAATCTAGCTACTGCCCCCTTGGGGAAGTGGAGTACCTATGCCAATGAGAACCTCTCCTGTTGGGGTAGTTAGTGTCTTAACTGAAGTGCTTTGTGGTGCAGCTGCGTCACTGCAGCATTTTAAGTATAGATGCACCTTAAGTGACTTACCCAAAGTCACACACAAAAAAGTCTGTGGCAGAACTGGAAATTGAATTTGGGCTCCTCAGTCCCAGGCTAGCACCTTAACCATTGGACCACCCTTTTTGTGTAGTTTAAATGTGTGTAAAGTGTTGTAATCTTATCTCAAGTCAATCAAGAGGAAAAAATGGAATTTAAATCCTTGGGTTCTGGGGTCAGGAGCTCCTGACGTGAAATGTCTCCATGCATTTTTCTTAAGTCTTGGCTGCTGCCAAAATGCCTTTGTCGTCATGTGGAATTCCAGTTTAAATGAACATAACATAACAGATACCTAACAAAGGATTCACTTTTAAAAATCTCTACATATATTTTTAGGTATTGTACTGGAGAAGAATATTTGAAAACCCAAGGAATTGAGGCAACTTCCTGGGGCCTGTGGCAGAATCATGTGGCTCTTGCATGCATGACAATAATTTTCCTTACAATTTCTTATCTGAAACTGCACTTCATGAAAAAGTTATCTTAAAACAAAAGTGTAAATATACTGTAATTCACATTGTTTGAATAGTTTCATAAGTTAGAAAACTGACTTGATTTTTGTTAACAGTACTCTTTTGTATCTTTTACCTCTTGCCTCAAAATGTAACAAAGTTAACAAAAATCTTCAGCAATACTAAATATTCATTGAAATGCACTTTCTTGAAATTTACAGTATGCCTGAATTTTTTTTATTGTCATGAAATATACATAAGAGTATTCATCTCTTCATCAGACCAATTGTAAAGTCAATTCTTTACTATATGCTATTTGTTAAAATACAGAACAATTATGAAATGGTAATAATTAATGGCTCTATCCACAACGAAAAGGTTCCATGGTTGGACAAATTTTCTTAATTTTGCACATCCAGAGTGATACTATGACAAAAAAGAAAATCTATTTTTAAGGTCTTGGATCACTAATTTTATCTCTCCTATTTCCCTCCTCCACATACATTCCACCACATCGTAGTCGTGTTTGCCATGCGCCAGATTTTGCCTGGCCCTTACATGGATGCATAGTTGGTGGTGGTGAGGGGAAGGCTAAGAAGCTGCCTAACCTTTGTGTACTCTGTATAAGAACTAGGAAGAACTGTAGCCCCTGCGGTTAGTTGTGGCATGCTGGGGCGGTCTTATTCCTTGGGGTGCATAGTGCCACAAAAGGACTTGGAGGAGCAGGCAGAGGGTGAGGTTATGGCTCTGCCCCGCCTCTCGCATCTGTTTACTGGTCAGATGTAAAATCGGTTTGCATGGCTTCAGTAATGTGGAAATATGTATTGCTGAATACAAACCTTAACTATCATGCATGGGAAAATGTGCATTAAAATATACATGCCAAATATAATGCATTTTTTCTTTGCACAGTATTTCAGCTAGAAACACAGAAATTACCATACAGCAACAGACCAATAATCTACTTTGGTATCCTATTTCCATTGTGAGATTTTTTTTAAAGTAATATTTTTTGGTTATTTTTATTTGTCTTCTGGTTTCCGAGCTCTTTGGGTGAATTTGCTTCATGTTTTCAAGCTTTATTCTGTAACCATATGGGCTAGAAACTTCTTTGAAGTGAGAGCTGAAATTCTCATGTAATCTCTTGATTCCAGCTGTTGAGGGTTTAAGGAAAACACCAAGCATCACCAGACTCATGATCAAATTGTGAGAGCTGGCAACACTGTATTAATAACATACTATAGCTGTAATACATTAATATGTAGTTTCCTCAGGTAAATTAATTCTCACTTTATGTTGCATTTTAAATTTCCTTATGTCAAGTACCTCCTGTTTTTGTGTTATCTGAAGCGGTAGATGGTGTACCCTAAAGATATTCTACATTCTGTTAATTAATTTATATAACTCTGTTGTATTTATTCTCCTTGAATGGAAGGCTTCTCAGTTCCGGTGCAAGAAATTATCTTTGTTGTCCTTAGGATTTTTTCTGTTGCAATTTTTTCTGTTGCAGCTATAGTGTGTCTTTTTAATGTGGTGACCAAAAATAAATGTGTTATTCAAAGGACGTACTATCTGGTTATGATGGTATTACAATGCTTTCTGTATTCCACTATCCATCTTAGCAGAGCTTAACATCTTAACATTTTTTCCATTGTTGTACCTCTTCAATGAGCTGCCTTCATATTTTTCACATGGTAACAATTTAAACTCCGTCACTATGTATGTGAAGTTCCCTCCAGTATGCATTACTGCCCTTGTCCATGCTGAATTCTATTTAACATTGTGTGGCCCAATTATTTAAGTGTGTTAGGTCCTTTTGAAATTGCACACAATCCTCTCTAGTCTTGACTAGCTTAAATAATTTTCTGTCAGCCACAAATTTTACTGTCTCAACATTTACGCTCTTCTAGATCATCCATAAATAAACTGGTCACCACCAGTCCTGCTACTGACTCATTTTCTCTCTGTGAAATTTGTAATATGAAATAAAATGTGTTAATAAGTTATAAAAGCATGTAAAAAGAACCCAATTCTGCAGCCCTTAGTGTTCAATTGAGGTCAGTAGGGCTGCAGGATTGTGCCCAAATGTACCTGGGAATAGTGTTAGTTTGGTTTTCATTATCACTGATGTGTTCATGTCTTTCTCAATGGTGGACAGAAAAGGTTGTGTCTGGGGCTTGAGAACATACGCATTGTCATTAGTGAAGCATTAGTAAAACACTTTTTGAAAAAACTGAAGACCCCTTTTATATGCCCATGGGTTGTAATACACTGCAGCATGGTTTCCCCTGAAGTCCTAAATGCTCGTATCCCACCATTTTTAATTTTCTTTACGGAAATCCTCCCTCCTCTTGATTTTAGGTTACTAGCAAAATAAATCAGGTCAGCTGCAGTTTTAAAATTTCCAAATGTCTCAGACCTTTGTTGTTGACATTAATTCTATTTATATTTTAGCTACTGCTGTTTCCTAAAGTCATGGGGAGAAACCCAGCTACCATGTGTGAGTTCAAACCATACTTATATAACAGATAACATATAATTACAGTGTATTTTCTACAAAGGCATTTATCAAAAGTATGAAGCCATGTTTCATAACTGATTTTCTTAGCCCAGCTGAAGAATCTGTCCTATCTCAGGGCCTCTTCTTCTGCCCCTCCACCCCCACGAACAGGATACAGTTTTGTGGTGACCTAGAATCCTATTTGTGATGTCTCTGACTTCAAGGAATATTTCCAACACATCTCTGAACAACATACTAACCCACAGAGATCTTCCTACCAACACTACAAAAAGAAGGATTCTGGGTGGACTCCTCCTGAAGGTCGAAACAACAGACTGGACTTCTACGTAGAGTGCTTCCGCCGACGTGCACGGGCTGAAATTGTGGAAAAGCAGCATCACTTGCCCCACAACCTCAGCCGTGCAGAACACAATGCCATCCACAGCCTCAGAAACAACTCTGACATCATAATCAAAAAGGCTGACAAAGGAGGTGCTGTTGTCATCATGAATAGGTCGGAATATGAACAAGAGGGTGCTCGGCAGCTCTCCAACACCACTTTCTACAAGCCATTACCCTCTGACCCCACTGAGGGTTACCAAAAGAAACTACACCATCTGCTCAAGAAACTCCCTGAAAAAGCACAAGAACAAATCCGCACAGACACACCCCTGGAATCCCGACCAGGGGTATTCTATCTGCTACCCAAGATCCATAAATCTGGAAATCCTGGACGCCCCATCATCTTAGGCACTGGAACCCTGACAGCAGGATTGTCTGGCTATGGAGACTCCCTCCTCAGGCCCTACGCTACCAGCACTCCCAGCTACCTTCGAGACACCACTGACTTCCTGAGGAAACTACAATCCATCGGTGTCATAAATATAAAGGGAAGGGTAAACTCCTTTGAAATCCCTCCTGGCCAGGGGAAAGCTCCTCTCACCTGTAAAGGGTTAAGAAGCTAAAGGTAACCTCGCTGGCACCTGACCAAAATGACCAATGAGGAGACAAGATACTTTCAAAAGCTGGGAGGAGGGAGAGAAACAAAGGGTCTGTGTCTGTCTATATGCTGGTCTTTGTCGGGGATAGACCAGGAATGGAGTCTTAGAACTTTTAGTAAGTAATCTAGCTAGGTATGTGTTAGATTATGATTTCTTTAAATGGCTGAGAAAAGAATTGTGCTGAATAGAATAACTATTTCTGTCTGTGTATCTTTTTTGTAACTTAAGGTTTTGCCTAGAGGGGTTCTCTATGTTTTTGAATCTAATTACCCTGTAAGATATCTACCATCCTGATTTTACAGGGGGGATTTCTTCATTTCTATTTACTTCTATTTTTATTAAAAGTCTTCTTGTAAGAAACTGAATGCTTTTTCATTGTTCTCAGATCCAAGGGTTTGGGTCTGTGGTCACCTATGCAAATTGGTGAGGCTTTTTATCCAACATTTCCCAGGAAAGGGGGGGTGCAAGTGTTGGGAGGATTATTCATTGTTCTTAAGATCCAAGGGTCTGGGTCTGTAGTCACCTAGGCAAATTGGTGAGGCTTTTTACCAAACCTTGTCCAGGAAGTGGGGTGCAAGGTTTTGGGAAGTATTTTGGGGGGAAGGACGCGTCCAAACAGCTCTTCCCCAGTAACCAGTATTAGTTTGGTGGTGGTAGCGGCCAGTCCAAGGACAACGGGTGGAATATTTTGTACCTTGGGGAAGTTTTGACCTAAGCTGGTAAAGATAAGCTTAGGAGGTTTTTCATGCAGGTCCCCACATCTGTACCCTAGAGTTCAGAGTGGGGGAGGAACCTTGACAATCGGTGATCTTCCTGAAAACACCATCCTGGCCACCATGGATGTAGAAGCCCTCTTCACCAACATTCCACACAAAGATGGACTACAAGCCATCAGGAACAGTATCCCCGATAATGTCACTGCAAACCTGGTGGCTGACCTGTGTGACTTTGTCCTCACCCATAAATATTTCACATTTGGGGACAATGTATACCTTCAAATCAGCGGCACTGCTATGGGCTCCCGCATGGCCCCACAGTATGCCAACATTTTTATGGCTGACTTAGAACAACGCTTCCTCAGCTCTTGTCCCCTAATGCCCCTACTCTACTTGCGCTACATTGATGACATCATCATCTAGACCCATGGAAAAGAAGCCCTTGAGGAATTCCACCATGATTTCAACAATTTCCATCCCACCATCAACCTCAGCCTGGACCAGTCCATGCAAGAGATCCACTTCCTGGACACTATGGTGCTAATAAGCGATGGTCACATAAACACCACTCTATGCTGGAAATCTACTGATCGCTATGCTTACCTACATGCCTCCAGCTTTCATCCAGACCAGACCAGACCACACGATCCATTGTCTACAGCCAAGCTATGCGATACAACCGCCTTTGCTCCAACCCCTCAGACAGAGACAAACACCTACAAGACCTCTATCAAGCACTCTTACAACTACAATACTCACCTGCTGAAGTGAAGAAACAGATTGACAGAGCCAGAAGAGTACCCAGAAGTCACCTACTACAGGACAGGTCCAACAAAGAAAATAACAGAACACCACTAGCCATCACCTTCAGCCCCCAACTAAAACCTCTCCAACACATCATCAAGGATCTACAACCTATCCTGAAGGACGATCCATCACTCTCACAGATCTTGGGAGATAGGCCAGTCCTTGCTTACAGACAGCCCCCCAGCAACCACACATCACACTACAAAAACACTAACCCAGGAACCTATCCTTGCAACAAAGCCCATTGCCAATTGTGCCCACATATCTATTCAGGGGACACCATCACAGGGCCTAATAACATCAGTCACGCTATCAGATGCTCGATCACCTGCACATCTACCAATGTGATATATGCCATCATGTGCTAGCAATGCCCCTCTGCCATGTACATTGGCCAAACTGGACAGTCTCTACGTAAAAGAATAAATGGACACAAATCAGACATCAAGAATTATAACATTCAAAAACCAGTCGGAGAACACTTCAATCTCTTTGGTCACTCGATTACAGACCTAAAAATGGCAATTCTTCAACAAAAAAAACTTCAGAAACAGACTGCAACGAGAGACTGCTGAATTGGAATTAATTTGCAAACTGGATACAATTAACTTAGGCTTGAATAAAGACTGGGAGTGGATGGGTCATTACACAAAGTAAAACTATTCCCCCCCCCCCCACTGTTCCTCAGACGTTCTTGTCAAGTGCTGAAAATGGCCCACCTTGATTATCACTACAAAAAGCTTCCCCCCCCCCCCCCCCGCTCTCCTGCTGGTAATAGCTCACCTTAAGTGACCACTCTCGTTACAGTGTGTATAGTAACACCTATTGTTTCATGTTCTCTGTGTATATAAAATCTCCCCACTGTATTTTCTACTGCATCCATTCAATGAAGTGAGCTGTAGCTCACAAAAGCTTATGCTCAAATAAATTTGTTAGTCTCTAAGGTGCCACAAGTACTCTTTCTTTTTGCAGATACAGACTAAAGTGGCTGCTACTCTGAAACCTGATTTTATAACATAACAGTTTCATATGTTTCATAACACTGTTTCATAACGGTGTCTGATGGATGCTGGTACAATGATGGTTGCTCACTGTTGCACTATCCAATATACTGACATTCTGACTAGCATAGAGATCACACCTGTTTACTTTGTTCAGTCACAGCAAATCATCTCTGGAAAGTACAGTCTTTTAAAAACATATTGTGCATCTATGAATAAGCTGGTTTCTGAATGGTTGAAATTTTATTTTTAACCTTTTTGGGACTTAATGGTCAGTCACACAGCAATGTAAGTGGCTGACACAATTTTCGGGTGGTATAGCTGATTGTTACTTATTCATATTATGTGTGTTTGTTCCATTAATTAAAATATTAAGTGTACCTTTTAACGTTCATTGAACTGATTTCAATAATACTGTGTACTATTTAATTATGTGTTTCCTTCAGACCTTTCACAAAATAAGCTGTTTTGTCAGAATCTCCATTCAGATATCTGAACTGTACAGTTTATGCAAATGATATATTCCTCTATAACAGAAGCAAACTTGTATGTAACATTGATATTTATTATGCAAAGCTTCTAAAAATCATCTATCACAGTCAAGGTAAATTACCATCAAAGTAGCCGATAGCTCACCAATGCTGTGGCCTTAAAATCAGCAGGTTCCTTAGCAAATGACGATGGGTTTGTACCATGCTCATAAATAAAGCTTTTCTCTGACTGTGCTCTTGATTTCAGTGAATTATTTTCCTAGTCCCTCTTTTGTTGTTAGAGCCAACCACTTACACGCGGTTCTTGAAATTGGCCTCACATATCTACAAATGGGTAATATTAAAAGGAGAATATTGGATTTTATTGCACAGCTTTCCAGGATAACCACATAGCTACCCTTGGCAGAATGTATTTCTCTAGATAAAAATACAATTTCAGTGCATGAGACCGATGTTTATTTTTAAACATTGGAGGGGATTTTCTATTTCCATTTGGTCAGTTGCACAGAAGTCCCCGCACTAGCCACACTCGTGCTCTCTTTCTCAGACGCTTTTATGGAGCGGGCCGGGGGGGGGGTCAAAGCGCGCAGAAGCGCGGCTTGGCGCGTAGAGCAAGCCCCGCCCCCCCCCAGTGCACAGGCAGAGAACAAAGAGCGAGGTGCCTGCGCCCCTGGCCGGGCCGTTGAAACATGCGCGCGCTCCCAGTGGCAGCCGCCAGTGGCTTCCGTTAAAGCCGTTACTCGCTGCACGGGCTGGGGGCGGGGGGCATTACACAGCTGCGCGCGGGCGAGCGGGGCTGCCTGAGAAGTAAGAACGGGGGGAATGGGCAGGCGCGACCCTCCCAAGCCAGGAGTCGCGTCCGGCCCCATCAGCGCGAACCGAGCACCCGCCAGCCTACTTCGCCACGTGCCGGCCCGCGCATTCTCCTCGCCTGCCCATTTGCCGCGCAGGCCAGTGCCGGGGGGGGGGAGAGGCGCTCCGCTGCCGCAGGGAGGGGCGGACTTGAGTCCGGGAGTGGAGCGGGGCCGGGGTCCAGCAGCAGCTGAAAATCCAAGGAGCACCTACCCCTTGAGCCAGGCAACCTAAGGGTGATGATAACTGTGCTGTGGGGAGAGGGGTTCAACCTCACACCTACACCCCAACCATATGCAACCCTGCGATCTACACCCCACTCAGACATACCTACACCCCCAACCATATACAACCCCCCCACCTACACCCCACTCAGACGCGCCTACACCCCGTCCGCACCACAACCATCTATACACCTACACCCCAACCATATACAACCCCCCACTCTACACCCCACTCATACACACCAACCATATACAACCCCCCCACGACCCACTCAGACACACCTACACCCCGTCCGCACCACAACCATATATACACCTACACCCCAACCATATACAACCCCCCATCTACACCTCACCCAAACCACATACCTAACCCACCCATACACACCTAAACTCACCATCTACACCTACATCCCACCCATACACCTATATCTACCCCATACACATCTAACCCAATCTATACCCCACAAATACATACATCACACGACCCATACACAACGGCACCCCCATTTACACCTACACCCCACCCATACAACCCCCCTATCTACACCCCAACCACATACAAATATCCTTTCAGAGAAGCTATAGAGAAAGTAGATAACTCTCAGTCCCTTTATAGAAATGTTTTTAGTTCTTATTTAAAGTAAAGTTAAGCAGTAGTAAATACTGTGCAAAAAATGGTCTGTATGAAAAGCACTTCAGTCAATACAACATTACAAATATAAATATATACTCAAATTAAATAAATCACTGTAAAACAATTGAGTCTTTATAACTCTTGGTTTGGTTGATTTATTTTTAGTCTCATTACCATTTCTTTACATTGATTTATATAAATCTATAGCCTCCACGTGCAAGCGCTTCCTTCAGCTGGAGGAGGTTCCTGCAGGTGGAGGTGAGTCCTGTCTGCCCTGTGCTCTTGGGAGCCCCAACGCTGAGGGCTTATAGCTGCTAGTCCCTGCTTCAGTCTTAGTATGCTGTGATTGACTGAAATCTTGCTGTTATTGTATAGTTGATTTTTTTTAAAAAAAGAGGAATCAGTAGGATATGAGAGTGTCGTGAATGTTACCATACATGTAGGTTTATCCAACAACAAAACATTAACATTATATTTCAGGTACTTGTTTCTATTGATTTTATATTGTGAATGCACTTATGGTAACTTTTACTATAAATATTTTTGTTATAAACGACAGAAGCATCCTTCCAGAATGACAGAGAACCAGCCACACAGCAGTATTCAGATATCAGAACCAAGTACCAATGGCTTCCCTTGGAAAAAACTGTCCTCTATAGAAAAGCAAAAGTTTCCTGCAGAAGCCACTGTGACCTTTCACAACATCTGCTACAGAGTGAAAGTGAAGAGTGGCTTTTTATGTTGTCAAAAAGCTGTTACTAAAGAAATTTTGAAAGATATCAAGTACGTATTTAAAAAAATATTTAGTGTACGTTAATTTTCTTTTTCATACAACTTAGTCAACAACCTCATGTCAACGTCCATCAGATAGATTCAGGAATGACTGAAGAAATTACTGTAAGAAATACAGTTTTTGAATTCACACTTTGGATGTTAACTTTTGTATTTTATAAAACATAATGTGATATTGATACATTAATACATAAGAGGGTTACAACATCAGTTGTGTGTTATTTAATTTAAACTTAATTCTGTACAAATATATTACTAGTTGGATGCATTATTACTTTTATAAATGTTGTATGATAATTTGAAAAAAAAAGTTAATTATCTGAGCTGGTAGTTTAGAACCCTTATACAGAAGCATTGTTTGCAGCACAGCAAAGAAATCTCAGTTCAGTTGAAATTTGTGATTCATATTGAAACTCTGATGTATTTTTTTTTAAAAAAAAAGTAGTACTTGTGGCACCTTAGAGACTAACAAATTTATTAGAGCATAAACTTTCGTGAGCTACAGCTCACTTCATCGGATGCATACAGTGGAAAACCTTATGCTCTAATAAATTTGTTAGTCTCTAAGGTGCCACAAGTACTCCTTTTCTTTTTACAGATACAGACTAACATGGCTGCTACTCTGAAACCTGATGTATTTGAGAGTTTGAAAACCAGTTTGCAGGTGCTTAACTCAAGGCCCATCTTAGTTCTGATGGCAAATAGCTGCCTAGTCAGGTTTGTGTGCAAGTCACCAGTTTGTAGGCACAACTGTAAGTCCGTAGGAAAAATGTGTAAATGTCCATACTAAAGTAGGTATGCAATTGGACCTGAACTTCGGGAGAAAAAGAGGAGCTTAATGTGGCTTAAAAAAAAAGCCTCTAAAATTGAAATATAATTTTGTATATTTGAAAACTAAAAAATTATAAAAAAAAATTTTTCTAGCAAGTAATTTTATTTCACATAGCTGAGGAACTTCACCAGTTCCCAAAGGATTTTGTTTTACAACAACAGACAAACAAGGCTTTCAAATTAAATGAATTAGTCTACAAATAAAACAGTGACTTCAGGAAATGTTGCTTTTGTTTGCAGTGGGATTATGAGACCTGGCCTTAATGCAATTTTGGGACCCACTGGCAGTGGCAAATCTTCGTAAGTGTTGAAGCAATGAAAGGACTTATTTTACATTATCTGTATTCCTCATGTTGAGAAACCATGCCAAACAGAAAATGTGCCTGCATACTTATAGTATGGATGATTAGGAACACAAGAGCCAAGTGTTCAAAATGGCTTCAACCCAAACTCTTAATTAGTATGTCTCAAACTGTATCTTTATCACCCAAAAGATAACTCAGATTTCCATGCTCAAAAATAAGGTATCTGGAGTTCAGCTACTTGATTTAGGTGTACAAACAGAATCTGTCATATAAATCTAAGTTTTGGAAACTTTTCCAGCTGGCATAAATTACAGCAGCTCATAGGCTGCTCAAACCTTTGCCAGGGCCAGCAAAAAGGCTCCCTAAAAATCAGGGAGCCCTAACCCTGACAGTTCCACCTCTGCTTATTGGGTGAGCAGATCTTGTCACAGGAGACAAACTGAGCTTGCATTTCAGCATCAAAATTGCATGTGCAACACATTTTGTTAACTGGATTTGTATGCCAAATTTATCTTCCACCTACTCCACGGTTCAAAGATTTATTCTTCAGAACCCTTTTGGGAGCCTGATTTTTCTTTTTCTAGGCTATTGGATATCTTAGCTGCAAGGAAAGATCCTCACGGACTCTCTGGAGAGATTTTGATAAATGGAGCTCCTCGGCCTGCCAATTTTAAATGCATCTCTGGATATGTGGTACAGGTAAATGAGCCTGCAGTTACTACCTGCCTTTACTGTTTTAACCTCCCTCCAGAGACAGAGAGACAGAGACACAATCTGGATTAAAAATAACCATTAATTGATTCATACAGACCCGTGATGAGAATTATGATATAAAATTTACTGACAAAAGAACCTGATACAAAAATGTAGAAACCAGTGTAGTGTTTCTTACTCCTTTTCTAGTGTCCCAATTTTTGATGATTTTTTTCCTATTGTAAACGAACACCTCATGTGATGTTCGGTAGTTTTTCCATTTTCTACTACACTTTGGTTATTATATTGGATCACCCTGACTGAATTTCACCTGAATTTGAATTTATTTTCATTGGCCTCAAAGACTACAAGAAGATGTTAAAAACAATGAAATCCTTCTCTTATTTTCAACCCAATTGTTATGTTTTTAATTGTTGCTGAAAATTTGCAGGAAAATGACCTGCAGTTGCTGATTGTTTCAGATGTGTCTCCTTTACATTTATTTCAATATTATTTTTATTACAGTATTGTCTTGAGGTGTCAGTCAGGGTAAGGGTCCAACTGTGTTAACTGTGTACAAAATTATCTACATTATACAGTTTTTTCATTTGTCCTGTTATTACTTTTGTATTCAGATTTCTGCTTTGCTCTTTTTGCCTCCAAGTGCAATATCCTAGAGAGAGCTTAGGATATGTCCACACTGCTACTGGGAACAAGCCTCCTAGCTAGCTTCACTCAAGTTAGTGTGCTAAAATAGCAGTGTGGATGTTGCAGCTCTGGACGAGATTCAGACTAGTCACTTCAGTTCAGACTGAGGGGGTCAGGTGATCTTGAAAGCCTGAGCTGCAATGTCCACACTACTATTTTTAGCACAGTAGTTTGAGCAGAGTTAGCTGTCTGTCTGTCTACCCTGACTGGGAAGCTCACTTCCAGCTGCAGTGTAGACATAGCTTTTCAGGTCTAGTTATGAGGAGAGGGAGTGTGACTTGTTGTAGGGACCGTCCAGAGTAGGGACCATATTGGAGTTATAGTTGACTAATTATTCCCAGTAAATTTGGGGAGGGGGGGGTGTGGAGGGCTGACGGGCTGGCTTGTGGAAGAGTAGCAGCAGATTATGGATCAGCCATTTATGACCAAAAACTAGCTTTGAAAGCTTGTAAGTTATCTGAATTTTCTTATTTAAAAAAATTATTGATCTTAAAGAGACTTAAAATTCAGCAAACTCCTGGAGTCTTATTTGAGAGACCACCATTTAAAAAGACTTTGTCATATAGTTCAGGCTCCAACTGTTCGCTATCTTAAATCTGAACATTATCCTATCTAGCTAAAATACCATCTGTATACTACGTGCCAGATTGTGGGCCCAGATATAAAGGTGTAAACCAGAGTAACTCCATTAAAATCCATTAAGTTATTTTGACCAATGCTACAGCGATCAGAAAATGGTTCTACATACTTTACCTTTTCTGAGAAATTACTCCTCCCAGAGTCAACATTAATGTGGGATCAGCACAAAACCAATGTTTTGTACCCCATCTTTCCTATGCTTCTCCACGTGGGGCTTGTTCCATGGACATTCCTCCATCTTTTCAGCTGATATGATTTGGCGCTAGCCAGCTGGCCTTTTCCATCTTTGGGGAGCTGCCACAGAGGACCACTCTCTCCCGCAATTCCAAACTAGGTACCATAATCTTTTAGGGAAAGACTACTGCCCTCCCCTCACTTTGCAGAGATTAGGTCCAGCTGGCAAACGGAGTCAGCTGGGCTCTGACTTTATAGGCAGAGCGCAGGAAAACTCCATATCCAGTGGACATCATTTCCCTTCCCTGGTGAATCCATACTATGTATAGCCTTTGATTCATCAGCACAATGCATTGCCACTCTTGGGGGCGGCACTTCCTATCCTGGAGAATACCTGCCAGACATGGTCTTGGATTCCCTAACATGGTGAAACTTCATCCATTCAGAGGATGGACTTTCCCTGTCCTGGGGTTTCCCACGGCCATACTGGATCAGACCAAAGGTCCGTCTAGCCCAGTATCCGGTCTTCTGACAGTGGCCAATGCTAGGTGCTTCAAAGGGAATGAACAGAACAAGTAATCATCAAGTGATCCATCCCCTGTTGCCCATTCCCAGCTTCTGGAAAACAAGCTAGGGACACCATCCCTGCCCATCTTGGCTAATAGCCAATGATAGACCTATCCTCCATGAATTTATCTAGTTCTTTTTTGAACCCTCTTATAGTCTTGGCCTTCACAGCATCCTCCGGCAAGGAGTTCCACAGGTTGACGGTGCGTTGTGTGAAAAAATACTTCCTTTTGTTTGTTTTAAACCTGCTGCCTATTAGTTTCATTTGCTGGCCCTAGTTCTTGTGTTATGAGAAGGAGTAAATAACACTTCCTTATTTACATTCTTCACACCAGTCATGATTTTACAGACCGCTATCATATCCCCCCCACCCCAAACGTGGTTTTAGATTATCTAGCACTGGGAATCCAATCCACTAAGGGTTTGGGCTTTTATTTCGTGAGAGGTTCCCACAGACAGGCATTCTCCAGCACAAGGAAACAGACCACTAGATGTTGGGACTTCTCTGTGCTGGGGAATCTCCCGAGTTCATGGGCATGAAATCCCTCAGCACAGATAACACCGTGAGAAGTTAAACAATGTTAATAAGATTTCAAAAGTAAAGAGAGCATTTAATTATAAAGGATGAGGCATAAATCTGAAAAGACGTTGCTTGTTGATGGAAAAGCTCTGTTGGACTCTTGCATCACAGGTATCATATTTGTGAACTTTGGTCTTGTGTAGTTTTCCTTTCCTGCAGAAGTTAATCCTTATTCTTTACAATACTGTAACATGGTATAAATAAAGGAAAATTTAAGCCTCACCTCAGTCTCTGGAAAAATCATGGAGCAGGTCCTCAAGGAATCAATTCTGAAACACTTAGCGGAGAGGAAAGTGATCAGGAACAGTCAGCATGGATTCACCAAGGGCAAGTCATGCCTGACTAATCTAATTGCCTTCTATGATGAGATAACTGGCTCTGTGGATGCGGGGAAAGTGGTGGATGTGTTGTTCCTTGACTTTAGCAAAGCTTTTGACATGCTCTCCCACACTATTCTTGCCAGCAAGTTAAAGAAGTATGGGCTGGATGAATGGACTATAAGGTGGGCAGAAAGTTGGCTAGATTGTCGGGCTCAATGGGTAGCGATCAATGGCTCCATGTCTAGTTGGCAGCCGGTATCAAGTGGAGTGCCCCAAGGGTCGGTCCTCGGGCCGGTTTTGTTCAATATCTTCATAAATTATCTGGAGGATGGTGTGGATTGCACCCTCAGCAAGTTTGCAGATGACACTAAACTGGGAGGAGAGGTAGATACGCTGGATGGTTGGGATAGGATACAGAGGGACCTAGACAAATTAGAGGATTGGGCCAAAAGAAATCTGATGAGGTTCAACAAGGACAAGTGCAGAGTCCTGCACTTAAGACTGAAGAATCCCATGCACCGTTACAGACTAGGGATCGAATGGCTAGGCAGCAGTTCTGCAGAAAAGGACCTAGGGGTTACAGTGGACGAGAAGCTGGATATGAGTCAACAGTGTGCCCTTGTTGCCAAGAAGGCCAATGGCATTTTGGGATGTATAAGTAGGGGCATTGCCAGCAGATCGAGGGACGTGATCGTTCCCCTCTATTCGACATTGGTGAGGCCTCGTCTGGAGTACTGAGTCCAGTTTTGGGCCTCACACTACAAGAAAGATGTGGAAAAATTGGAAAGAGTCCAGCGGAGGGCAACAAAAATGATTAGGGGACTGGAACACATGACTTATGAGGAGAGGCTGATTGTTTAGTCTGCGGAAGAGAAGAATGAGGGGGGATTTGATAGCTGCTTTCAACTATCTGAAAGGGGGTTCCAAAGAGGATGGATCTAGACTGTTCTCAGTGGTAGCAGATGACAGAATAAGGAGTAATGGTCTCAAGTTGCAGTGGGGGAGGTTTAGGTTGGATATTAGGAAAAACTCTTTCACATAGCAAGTCTCTGAGTGTGACCCCCCTTATAAATTAAAAACACTTTTTTATATATTTAACACCATTATAAATGCTGGAGGCAAAGCGGGGTTTGGGGTGGAGGCTGGCAGCTCGCGGCCCCCCATGTAATAACCTCATGACGCTCTGAGGGGTCCTGACCCCTAGTTTGAGAACCCCTGCTGTAGAGTCAGTGGTTGGCATGCAAGAAAGTACATAGGAAAACATGCAGAGGGACATCGTGACTACAGGGGTACTGGAACAGTTTGTATAGCCGGGGGCTGAGAGCCATTGAACCAAACTGTAAAGCCTGTTTATAATGGAAACTGCTTCAAGCCAGGGGGTGCTACCGCACCCCTAGTTCCAGCACCTATGTTTGACCAGTACAGTTATGCCAGTAATTTAATAGATAGAGGGTTGAATCCTGCAGTCCTCACTCAGGCAAAATTCCTATTTAAGTTTTGATGAGATAAGGACTGCACATTTGATCCATAGATAAATAGGGCCCTAACTTTCAAACAAAAGTAATTTTACTCACGTAAGTAGTTAGTGGAAATCCCCTTAGCACTAGGAGAGTGGTGAAACACCGGAATGCGTTACCTAGGGAGGTGGTGGAATCTCCTTCCTTAGAAGTTTTTAAGGTAAGGCTTGACAAAGCCCTGGCGGGGATGATTTAGTTGGGGATTGGTCCTGCTTTGAGCAGGGGGTTGGACTTATGACCTCCTGAGGTCCCTTCCAAATTCATATTCTATGATTCTAAAACTTGCTAATATTTTTGTGTCTTGTAAGAATGATGTGGTTATGGGGACCCTGACAGTGAGAGAAAATTTTGAGTTCTCAGCTGCACTCCGTTTGCCAAGTACTGTGGCTGAACAGGAAAAGAAGGAACGAGTGAAGCAAATCATCAGGGAACTGGATTTGGCCAAAGTGGCAGATTCCAAGGTAACTACACATGGCATAGCATGACATGGTATTTAATATTACCAAACAAAAAGCTAAGGTATGAGAAAGTTAGCACTGTAATTACATAACATTTAACTAACAAACAAACCTCATTAGAATGTTGTAGTTACAATCAACAAACATTTGAAAAGCAGGAAATTCAGAGTTAAGACTACCTTAATGTATACATCTACTCTGAAAAGAAGCTTGAAAAATGGCATTGTGATGTTCTATACATAGTATCTCAGTGATTTCTATATCAAATGTGTTCAATTTAAAAAGTGTTTTTTCTAACTTCCATCTCTGTAGTTAAACCCTGGGTTCTGTAGATGAAGCTGAGTTCTTTCTTTCGAGCACATTATCACCAATAATAAAGATACTGCATATCAAATGATGCCTTTTGATACTTCTGTAATCTCATTCAGTGAATGGGGGATGTACAGATGTCACGGATTGGTTGAGCAAATGGAAGTTAGTAAATAATTCTGTTAAAAGAACAGATGACATCTCAGTCTCTCTCATCGGAGTAAAAAGCAGTACAAATTATTTTTGTCCTGAAAGTAACCAGATATGACTTTGCATACATGCAGGGAGCAGATCTTTTGACTTAGAAAGTGCATTTTTACATATTCACTTTTCAGAATAGAACTGCACTTTGCTCCCCGACATCCCACCATTTGTGGCACCATTCACACACTGTAAATATGGGTCTATATGTATTTTTTTTAATCCTGAGGTGCTTAGAAGTCCTGGGGATTAACAGCATAGAGACAGATTTTTCTTGTTTTAAATTTACAGCCTTCTAATAAGGCGCTTTTTAAAAAGCTACCTAAATTTACAATCTTAACTTGATCTTAATGGATTTTTTTGTTAGAAAACTGGTTCATTTTTGAAGCATTGCTATAATTTCATCTCTTAATCATGTGAATGTTTTTGTTTCATGTAAATATTTCTGATCTAACACCTGAAGTTAGCCCTAATATTTTCCTGGATTTTGAGAATGTTAATAAAAAATTAATTAATAAAGAAATCTCCTTTTAAAGGTCTGATGCTTCTTTTGCACTAGGTTGGCACCCTGTTTATTCGTGGTGTATCTGGGGGAGAGAGAAAAAGGACCAATATTGGAATGGAACTCATTACTGACCCTGCAGTCTTGTTCTTAGATGAACCAACTACTGGACTAGATGCCAGCACTGCCAATGCTGTCTTGCTGCTCCTGAAAAGGTGACTGCAAGGGAATCACTGGGAAAGAACTATCTGGTCTTTGATAGAAGTGTACTCTCTAAACATATCTTAATTGCAGATACAGTATATAAATAGTCACAGCCTGATGTATTGGTTTATGATTGGGTTATTCCCATGTAAGGAAAGGGAAACTGCAGGCTTCCACAAATGGAATTTCCTTCTAATTCTGCATTCAGCTACTGTAGTGCGTTAGCGGTCATCCCTCCCTCTCTGGCTCAGTGAGAGGCCACTCCGCCTCACCACATCACAGGGGCACTGCCCCATTTCAGGGAAGTTGTGATTCAAGCGGTGGGGTCCAGGCCCTTCTGGCAGGAGAGAGTAGGGCAAACAAACAGTCTCGGGGCTCCAGCCCTCAGCCAGGACAGAGGAATCAAATAGTCTTAGAGAGTTCAGGCCTTCAGGCAGCGTGGAACACCAAACAGTCTGTCATCCTCATGCAGGCAGACAGCAGACAAATGCAGGCCCCTTGGCCCAAGGTGGGGAAGCTGTCCACCCTACTGTACCAGGTCCTAGCCCAGGGCCCTAACAGTGGCAAATGGTTCCACTGAGTCAGGGGGGAATCCAGTCACAACACACTGACCTGGATTCAGGCAGCAATACAACCGGACCATAGCTGGCCATCCCTGGGCTACTTTCTGCTTGCCCATTATCATGTACCTGCAGCTCAGGATTGTCCGTGGCCTCTTCGGCGTATGTGGTGAGTGGCAGTCCTGGCAGTTCTTTGCCTGGGTCAGTCTCCTCCAGTGGCAGGGCATGGCAAGGCACAGTGCAGGTTTTGCTCCAGGAAGCTGCAGCAGCCAGGAGATATTTGCTCCCTTCTCTGGCTCAGACTCAACTGGATTACAGGCTCTCCCTTTTATACTTCCTGCCCCACCCCTTAGCTTTCTGCAGGAGGGGGCGAGCCTAGTCTGGCTCCGCCCACTAGGGATCACAGAGTGGCTCTTCTCCCTCTAAAAAAGATAAGGTGCCACAAGTACTCCTTTGAGACTAACCAATTTATTTGAGCATAAGCTTTCGTGAGCTACAGCTCACTTCATCGGATGCATACTGTGGAAAGTGTAGAAGATCTTTTTATATACACACAAAGCATGAACAAATACCTCCTCCCACCCCACTCTCCTGCTGGTAATAGCTTATCTAAAGTGATCACTCTCATTACAATGTGTATGATAATCAAGGTGGGCCATTTCCAGCACAAATCCAGGGTTTAACAAGAACGTCTGAGGGGGGGTAGGAAAAAACAAGGGGAAATAGGTTACCCTGCATAATGACTTAGTCACTCCCAGTCTCTATTCAAGCCTAAGTTAATTGTATCCAATTTGCAAATGAATTCCAATTCAACAGTTTCTCGCTGGAGTCTGGATTTGAAGTTTTTTGTTGTAATATAGCAACTTTCATGTCTGTAATCGCGTGACCAGAGAGATTAAAGTGTTCTCCGACTGGTTTATGAATGTTATAATTCTTGACATCTGATTTGTGTCCATTTATTCTTTTACGTAGAGACTGTCCAGTTTGACCAATGTACATGGCAGAGGGGCATTGCTGGCACATGATGGCATATATCACACTGGTGGATGTGCAGGTGAACGAGCCTCTGATAGTGTGGCTGATGTTATTAGGCCCTGTGATGGTGTCCCCTGACTAGATATGTGGGCACAGTTGGCAACAGGCTTTGTTGCAAGGATAGGTTCCTGGGTTAGTGGTTCTGTTGTGTGGTATGTGGTTGTTGGTGAGTATTTGCTTCAGGTTGGGGGGCTGTCTGTAGGCAAGGACTGGCCTGTCTCCCAAGATTTGTGAAAGTGTTGGATCATCCTTCAGGATAGGTTCTAGATCCTTAATAATGCGTTGGAGGGGTTTTAGTTGGGGGCTGAAGGTGACCACTAGTGGCGTTCTGTTATTTTCTTTGTTAGGCCTGTTCTGTAGTAGGTGACTTCTGGGAACTCTTCTGGCTCTATCAATCTGTTTCTTCACTTCCGCAGGTGGGTATTATAGTTGTAAGAATGCTTGATAGAGATCTTGTAGGTGTTTGTCTCTGTCTGAGGGGTTGGAGCAAATGCGGTTGTATCGCAGAGCTTGGCTGTAGACGATGGATCGTGTGGTGTGGTCAGGGTGAAAGCTGGAGGCATGTAGGTAGGAATAGCAGTCAGTAGGTTTCCAGTATAGGGTGGTGTTTATGTGACCATCGTTTATTAGCACTGTAGTGTCCAGGAAGTGCATCTCTTGTGTGGACTGGACCAGGCGGAGGTTGATGGTGGGATGGAAATTGTTGAAATCATGGTGGAATTCCTCAAGGGCTTCTTTTCCATGGGTCCAGATGATGAAGATGTCATCAATATAGCGCAAGTAGAGTAAGGGCGTTAGGGGACGAGAGCTGAGGAAGCGTTGTTCTAAGTCAGCCATAAAAATGTTGGCATATTGTGAAGCAATGCGGGTACCCATAGCAGTGCCGCTGATCTGAAGGTATACATTGTCCCCAAATGTGAAATAGTTATGGGTAAGGACAAAGTCACAAAGTTCAGCCACCAGGTTAGCCGTGACATTATCGGGGATAATGTTCTTGACGACTTGTAGTCCATCTTTGTGTGGAATGTTGGTGTAGAGGGCTTCTACATCCATAGTGGCCAGGATGGTGTTTTCAGGAAGATCACCGATGGATTGTAGTTTCCTCAGGAAGTCAGTGGTGTCTCGAAGGTAGCTGGGAGTGTTGGTAGCGTAGGGCCTGAGGAGGGAGTCTACATAGCCAGACAATCCTGCTGTCAGGGTGCCAATGCCTGAGATGATGGGGCGCCCAGGATTTCCAGGTTTATGGATCTTGGGTAGTAGATAGAATATCTCAGGTCGGGGTTCCAGGGGTGTGTCTGTGCGGATTTGTTCTTGTGCTTTTTCAGGGAGTTTCTTGAGCAAATGCTGTAGTTTCTTTTGGTAACTCTCAGTGGGATCAGAGGGTAATGGCTTGTAGAAAGTGGTGTTGGAGAGCTGCCGAGCAGCCTCTTGTTCATATTCCGACCTATTCATGATGACAACAGCACCTCCTTTGTCAGCCTTTTTGATTATGATGTCAGAGTTGTTTCTGAGGCTGTGGATGGCATTGTGTTCCGCACGGCTGAGGTTATGGGGCAAGAGATGCTGCTTTTCCACAATTTCAGCCTATGCACGTCGGCGGAAGCAGTCTATGTAGAAGTCCAGTCTGCTGTTTCAACCTTCAGGAGGAGTCCACCTAGAATCCTTCTTTTTGTAGTGTTGGTAGGGAGGTCTCTGTGGATTACTATGTTGTTCAGAGGTATGTTGGAAATATTCCTTGAGTCGGAGACGTCGAAAATAGGATTCTAGGTCACCACAGAACTGTATCATGTTTGTGGGGGTGGAGGGGCAGAAGGAGAGGCCCCGAGATAGGACAGCTGCTTCTGCTGGGCTGAGAGTATAGTTGGATAGGTTAACAATATTGCTGGGTGGGTTGAGGGAACCATTGCTGTGGCCCCTTGTGGCATGTAGTAGTTTAGAAAATTTAGTGTCCTTTTTCTTTTGTAGATAAGCAAGGTGTGTGTTGTAAATGGCTTGTCTAGTTTTAGTAAAGTCCAGCCACGAGGAAGTTTGTGTGGAAGGTTGTTTTTTTATGAGAGTATCCATTTTTGAGAGTTCATTCTTAATCTTTCCCTGTTTGCTGTAGAGGATGTTGATCAGGTGATTTCACAGTTTCTTTGAGAGCGTGTGGCACAAGCTGTCAGCATAGTCTGTGTGGTGTGTAGATTGTAATGGATTTTTTACCTTCAGTCCTTTTGGTACGATGTCCATCTGTTTGCATTTGGAAAGGAAGATGATGTCTGTCTGTATCTGTACAAGTTTTTTCATGCAGTTGATAGATTTCCACTCCATATGGCTAAATGCAGTGCCTTGCATAATGACAGATTTCAGTGTAACAGCCGTGTTAGTCTGTATTCGCAAAAAGAAAAGGAGTACTTGTGGCACCTTAGAGACTAACCAATTTATTTGAGCTTAAGCTTTCGTGAGCTACAGCTCACTTCATCGGATGCATACTGTGGAAAGTGTAGAAGATCTTTTTATATACACACAAAGCATGAAAAAATACCTCTTCCCACCCCACTCTCCTGCTGGTAATAGCTTATCTAAAGTGATCACTCTCCTTACAATGTGTATGATAATCAAGTTGGGCCATTTCCAGCACAAATCCAGGTTTTCTATTTCTATTCTATCCAGGTTTGCTATTACCAGCAGGAGAGTGGGTTTATGGGGGGAGGGGGTGTGTGAGAAAACCTGGATTTGTGCTGGAAATGGCCCAACTTGATTATCATACACATTGTAAGGAGAGTGATCACTTTAGATAAGCTATTACCAGCAGGAGAGTGGGGTGGGAGGAGGTATTTTTCATGCTTTGTGTGTATATAAAAAGATCTTCTACACTTTCCACAGTATGCATCCAATGAAATGAGCTGTAGCTCACGAAAGCTTATGCTCAAATAAATTGGTTAGTCTCTAAGGTGCCACAAGTACTCCTTTTCTTTTTGCGAATACAGACTAACACGGCTGTTACTCTGAATCCTCTCCTTCTGACTCAGTGGGAGGCCAGTCTGCCACACTACAATGGGTCAGACTCTTGTCTCCTGTCCCACAACCCTCACTGTGCCAAAAGGGGCAGGGAATTTGGACCAACAAACAAATCCTTTTGGAGGATCTGCCCAGGGAAAGAAACTTTGATATAGAAATCTCATGCATCCACAGTTACCTACCCTGCCAGGTCTCAATATCCCTGGGACAGCTCTCTGAATAGTGTGTCATGTGTTTGGAGTGGGTGAGGGAATGCCACACCTTATGGAAGGAAGAGCATTGCTAGTTACTTTACACTTAAAAGCTTCTGCATTAACTTACATTACTTTGTCCTGTAGGTATGGGAGTTTAGAATCTGGCCAAGACTTGATGTTCCCTACTTTCTCTTTGTCCCACCTCCTAAGGGCCTTAGGATTTGTCCCTTTTAAACTTTCTTCTGCTTTGTTTGCTCCATTATATCTTGTAAAACAATATGACACTTATCCCAAGAAGTTACAAATATTTGCACAAGAATTTATTTTCTATACATTGTTCGTTGGAAAATATGTGGCCTTTCACCTCGTTTCACATATCAAATCATCAAGAGAATAATGAATGCTTAGGTACACATCATGAGAATAATTCATTATAAGGGAATAATTTATGGATAGTGGGCCAAATTCTGAGGTCCGTATTCTTCTTTTACTCAGTTTTTACTTTAGCTACTACTGAAGTTAATGTGCACTTGCATCAGTAAGGCTTGAGTAAAAATTGAGAGAGGACTCCAGGATTTGACCAGATATGCTTGTCATTACTTCAGATTGAGTGGCATTAGCCATTCATAGCAGAAAGAAAATATAAGAGAAAAGGAATAGTTGCAGATGTTTAATTCCTCTCCTGTTTTGTGGTGTGGTTTTTTTTTTTTTTTTTTTGCATTCAGGATGTCAAGTCAGGGGAAAACGATTATCTTTTCACTCCATCAGCCCCGGTACTCCATATTCAGATTGTTTGATAGCCTGACGTTACTGGCTGCAGGAAGCCTGTTGTACCACGGCCCTGCTCGGAATGCTCTGCAGTACTTCAAATCTATTGGTGAGCTTTCAAAGGGAGCTTTCAAAGTCACAGTGGTGGTCTTCCAGCACATTGTATTGATGTTGGCTTCTAGCCTCCCAGCATATTATACTGATTTTGACCCAGATTCTCAAAGGTAATTAGGCACCTAACTCCCATTGATCTCAGTGGAAGTTGGGCACCTAAATACTTTTGAGGATCTGGGCCCTACTGTATAAGTAAGGAATGAAATCTTGTTTAAAAATGCATTCAGTATTAAAAAAAGTAGCAAATATCGTTTATTTAAGACATGAGTCCCTGTCACTGTGGCCTCTGAGATGATGAACTATGATAAAAGCTTTATATCCCAGGACCAAAGTGGGCATATGTAATCATCAAGGCTCATTATTTTCCTGTAGCGCTTACATCAAAAGTGGACTGTGAGATATAAACACTATTAAGATACAGCAATTTTTAATATTTTAAACCACCAAATGTTTTCTAACCACATATCCTAATTCAAAAGTCTTAGCAGTGTTGTGAAATAATGTGCTTAAAATGTTTATCTGAATAGTCTAATGGACTCTGTCAGAGCAATGGGGCAAGCATGTTCCAGAGTCAGTGGCAAGCCACTAATAACATCCTGCCTGCAAATCCTGGATGTTTGTATATAAGGACTTTTGAGCAAGAGCATCTCAGCCAATTGCAGCTGTTAAGAATGCACATAGAGAGAGACGTTGTTCATTAGGTAGCCAAGTCCCAAATCTTTGAGAATTTGATACATTACTGTTAGGGGGCTTATTCCTTCACCCACTTACTTCCCTGGTCCTTCTCGCATGAACAGAGAGCAACAATACCCGAAGTCCAAAGGTGCAAACAATTCAATGGTTATTGGGGTGAACTTCCAGCAAGCATGATTCCAGTTTCCTTCCTTAGTGTCCCCCTTCCCAGCTCTGACACCACAGAGCCTTACACCTGTGTCCCTGTTCCCATTCCTGCCCTTAGCCAAACATGATTCCAATTTCCCCACCCCCATTCCCTGTTCCCATTCCCCCCCACACACCCTCTCACTTCCTGATTGACTGCAGACTATATAGTAAAACTTGAGTTCTGCTCAGCTATACCTTAACCAATCATTTTCCTGAAATTTAACTAACCAATCCTAACATATTGTAACATGATTATGTAACCAATTATATCCCACCACCTTAATTAGTTTACACCCAGCAAAATTAATTATACAGCAGACAGAAACAATCACAGAACCAAACAGAGATTATACAGGTTTCAGAGTAACAGCCGTGTTAGTCTGTATTCGCAAAAAGAAAAGGAGTACTTGTGGCACCTTAGAGACTAACCAATTTATTTGAGCATGAGCTCATGCTCAAATAAATTGGTTAGTCTCTAAGGTGCCACAAGTACTCCTTTTCTTTTTTAGAGATTATACAGACAAACAATAGCAAAGTGGGAACTATAATGACAAAACAATACAGAAGTGAGGATTTCACATCCCAGCTATTGGTAAGTGAGTTCTTGCCAGACAGGATACTATCAAACTAAGTTTCCTTTAACATTTTCTAGGCACTTCCCTTTCTCTGGAGCTGATAGGCACTATCAGGACAGGATTGTATTCCTAACAGCCCAATAGCACCTTCTTTCAATGTGACTAGTTTGGAATGTGAGGATGTGACCAGTCGCTTCCCAGCTTATGGCTGCCTCTGTTGCTTAGCCAAAGGCCTTAGCCTGAGAACAGGGCCTCAGACTGTCACAGTAAGAGAAGGATCTTACACTGGCAGACAGTGATTTTGATTCTTTCTTTTATACCTCTATAACTAGCCAAGTGATAAGAATACACCTAAATTCTTAGAGTACAGGCCTTTACCGACAGGCCTCAATATCTATATCCTAACAATTACTATCAATACCTTAATTGCATCCAGAAATGAAGAGGAGGAAGCCTCTGCAGACGTTGGAGAACTGATCTAATGTTCTCTGTACAGCCTACCTTGCTAAATAAGTGAGCAGCTGCATTCTGAACAGAGTATAATTTCTGAATGGTCTTTATGGGTAGCCCCATGGGAAGCATATTTTAATAATTCCATAAGGAAATCACAAGGCATGGATAATTGTTATGAGATTCGTGAAAGAGAGAAATGTTCACAATCAAATGGAAAAAAGACACTTGAGGCTACTAATGCTTCCTGGGAATCCAGAAGGAGTCAGGGATCCAGCAGTACACCGATGTTGTGAAAATAGGGACCATCCCCTCCAAATCCTTTAGATGCTTTATGCCACCCTAAATTTATCACTGTTTTGTCCGGATAGACTTCAGACAGCTCAGTGTCTCATTCAAGCCCCTATTTTGACTAGGCATTTGAAAGCACGATGATCATCCAAATCTGAACTGTGCCATTGATCCAATTTCCATAATGGAATGAACCAATAAAATTCTAGAACCAAACACATGTGAACTTTGTAGTTTTGGCCCATTCTATTTTTGTCTTTGGTGAAGCTGACTTGTTACATTAGATGGTACCTTTTGATGGTGGGCTATCTAATTGCTTTCCCTTTAAGACAGATTTAAGAATATTACCCTTAATATTGCAACATATTTCTCCCATCTGTTGAATGACTTATTTTAGAGATCTGATATTATTTCTTTGCAGGTTATGAATGCGAGCCATACAACAATCCTGCTGATTTTTTTCTGGATATCATTAATGGAGACTCAACTGCTGTGACACTCAGCAAATCAGAATCTGTCAGTCAATGCAATTTATCAGGTATGGGAGCTAGAGGTCAAGTGATTGTCCACGCTGATCCTGCTCATGATGCACATGCACCCCATGTGTGCGAGATTAGATTCTTTTTGAATAGTATCTGTTATGGCCACACCTGAACCCGTAATGACCTCTTGGCTATTATAGGTGAAGGATAAGAGGTGGAGTGGCTGCAACCATTACTCTGTTCCTTCTTACTAACTGTGGTGCGAGCCGGAGCACCTGCAGCATGTGCCTCATGCAACATAGCTTCTCCTAACTCACTATGTGAGCTCGTTTAGCTTTTTAAGATTTAATTTATTAATTTTTAACTTTACTTTCTTTGCTTTGCCTGTTGGGAGGGGGACTTAACTAAGAGCTTTCCAACACCCCTCCTGTACACAAGGGTATTCCCACCTCATGCCAGATTCCAAGTCTCTGGGCTTCAAGACCTGCCAGTTGTGCAGTTGTACCATGCCTATTAACAACAGGCACTCCAGATGTCTCATCTGCCTGGGAGAGGAGTACATACTGGAGCATTGCTCCATATGCCGCTTCTTGTCTAAAAGCGGAAAACTCTTTTGTTTCTAATTTTGTGCCCGCAGTTACTTGTGGGTAAGATTATGGCTAGATTGTGTGATTCAGTCTCCAAGATTTTAACGTAGTTTTCTGCTTTACATTCTCAGGGAACTTCTTGGGGAGTTGCATTCAGAAAATACAAGCTCCCTGAGAACATGGAGAGAAAATTGTGTTACAGTCTTGGCATCTGAACCACACAGTTTATTCTGGGACATGTTTGGTTGCCATTAGATATTCTGGCCACCCTGGAAAAAAAGGTAGGAGGCAATAGATGTGGTTGAACTAGGCCACAACTGTATTCATTTAAAATACCCAGCAATAAATTGTACCCAGCAATAAATTGTACAGTGCATGTTATCATTTCCACAAACATTTCCACATGGTCCACAAACTGGTCCTAGCTATCCCATTGCTGGGATTCTCCTTTGTGCCCGATATGGAAATAAACTTGAGCTTTGAAGCTTGAATCCTGATCTGAATTGCTGTAACATTCTGTAGGTTTGGATGTGCGATTCTGGTTCAGTCTGATCTCTATTTATTTATGGTAAGAGATTTTGAGGATAAAATGTAGCCCTTTCGGGGGAGTGGGGATGGGGATGACTTCAGTATACCTAAACTGCCATGAACTAATTTGCGTCTTTAGCTTTCTACTGCTATTGCTCCTACAACAATATTTTTCTTTTTAACCTGAAGAAACCATTGAAGAGGTCGGTGGTGATAAGACTATTGCTGAGAAATTAGCGGAGCTGTTTTCCAGTTCCCCTTATTACAAAGAAACAAAAGCAGAATTAGAGAAGCTGTCTTTGGAAAATAAAAGGAAGATGAGTGCAGATTTCCAACAAATCACATACAGCACTTCCTTCTTTCACCAGCTAAAGTGGGTGTCCAGACGCACATTTAAAAACTTGATCTATAACCCACAAAGCTCCATGGCCCAGGTAATTGTAGTGAATCTTTAAAACATGAACAGTTACAGTCTGTTTCTTTCTGAAGATGAATTGGGTTGAAATATAAAATGTTGGCTTCTGATAATTAAGAAATGAGTGAAAAAACTTCCAATTGATTAGCCAACAATATGACTTTAAACAGTCTTTCACTGTGGAAATCACTGTGGAGATTTCAAGTGGAAATCTTTATATAGTCATAGATCATATTAACAGAGAAATCCATAGACCTTCATTCTTGTCCATGCTGCCCTTGGCATTTTTGCTAATTATCAAATACAGTAGAACCTCAAAGTTACGAACACCAGAGTTATGAACTGACCAGTCAACCACAGAACTCATTTGGAACCAGAAGTACACGAATCGTGAGCAGCAGAAACTAAAAAGAAAAAACAACAACAACCAAGTTCAGTACACTACTGTGTTAAATGTAAACTACTAAAAATAATAAAGGGAAAGGAATATTTTTCTTTTACTTTTCAAAGCTGTATTAAGTCAATGTTCAGTTGTAAACTTTTAAAAGAACAACCAGAACGTTTTGTTCAGAGTTATGACCGTTTCAGAGTTATGAGCAACCTCCATTCCCAAGGTGTTAGTAACCATGGAGGTCTACTGTATGTGGTAAACAAAGGTTTTCTGCTACACAGTCCAACATTTCTTTATATTTCATCATTCAATAATGTCAGAACGCTGTCTGTTTGATAACATTCATATCCAAAACAGAGGATTGTGTTTTCAGAAATAAATGAGATCTTGTAATCCTAACACAGACAAAATTCCTTTTGACTTTTGTGAAAATAGGATCAGACCCTTTGTGCCAGATCATGCCACCATTATTTACATGGAATATCTTATATTCTGCATTTGGTCCCATTGATTTAAATGGAACAACTCACAGCGCAATGTACTACTCAGTATGAGTAAAGGTGGCACAGTCTGGCCACTAAATTGTCACTCTTTGTAGAGCCTCTGTAGATTTATAGTATAATTGTCTTTGAATTGCAATGATGATAAAGCAATATTATTTTACATTTTCTTGATGTATTGACTATCATATTGTGGGTTCGAACTAGGATAGATCATATTGTTCCCTTTTCTTACCTTTGCTTCACATGTACACTTCTGGAGCAGCAAATGGAAGGATTGATAAACTATTTAGAATTGATAGATTAATAGCAACAAATAATATAAATGGTACGCACGGATATGCCCCACCCCTACAATGGTGGCCAGTGAAAAGACGGGAGCACAAGAAGCCTTCCCTCCCTCACTTGGATAATCCATGTAAGGATCAGGCAGAATTGCTGCCCCGTAAAGTGGGGATTGCAGGGACTGCTCCCATATTACTCCCATTCCCAAAAGGGTGAGGAGGGGCAGATAGGAAGTGAGACCATGACTCTGCCTTTTTTATACACTGACCAATGTTGGACAGCCATGCAGGGGAGTAGGCTTCGCCCTACAAAGCACTGAAGTACTGCATATGCAGAGTCCTCATGCCCAGGAGCTCCAGCACACATTCTATCTGAATGCCTTTTTGTGCTCTCATTGGCTCAGTGCATCTCTGAACTGTACTTAAATGCCTGTCTGCATTGCTCTGCACTGAACTATACTTAAATGACACAATCAAACCTTTGTGAGCGTTTTTCCAACAATGACGCAAAACTTTTCCAAAAAACTATGGTCACCAGCATACAGGAGAGCTGTTCAGTATCTCTCAAGTTAAAAGGTTTCTGGGTGTGTATCTGTATGTTGATATTATGGATATCCCTAATAATTGGTTTGTAAAAGCTTGACCTTGTGACAAGAATTATACTCTCAAGCTTTATAATACTCCAGGGTTAATGGTCCTGACTTTCTTTCTCACAATCTTTTCTATCTCCCAAACCTCATTAGGAATGGATTTCAAATACATTCTATAAATGGTACACAGTTCACTAAGCCGTCTTTGCTAATCCTCTCCAAATTGGTCTTGATATGATCCTTGTTTTCCACTACAATTAGCTTAGTGGCTGAATTATCCCTGACATTTGGTCCTTTCAGCAGGTTCTTAGTGATACAGTACCACGTATGAAATGCTTTATAGTGTTAAGACTCATGCATCCCTCATGCTTAACCATGTCTGAACTGCCTGACACCATCATTTTTGCTGAGATTTTTTTTTGCTTCTACATATTAAGAAATAATCATGTACAAATTTTCATCATTCTGATTATGTCATTAAAGTCATTCATACTTTTTTATCTGTTGGAAAAATTCATGTTTCTGTTGGCTTAAAACTAACAATAATTGGATTGTTCTGGAATCAACTAGGCTTTAAAAACCTTTCTATTGGGCTTTACTGTGAAATAAATTATTAATATGGTTCAATTCCTCCACGCCCCCTAGATCCATTATTGAATAGACTTAAAAATACAACCCTTGTTACAAGCAAAAAGTTGCTACTTTAAAAAAATATTAAGTTTGAACCTAGCATTTGAAAGAAATAATAGTTTAGAAGTGATTTCTTTTCTGCTTTATTATTTCAGTACAAAAGGGAAGGAGATTTCTCTTTACTTCAGCAATGTCTCTGTACCCTCCTCCGCACTTAGTTTACTAAAGATCCTTTTGCTATAGTTATTAAACTAGTTCTATTTTTGAATATATTTGTTTGAGCTGGGAAATATTAGAAATACACATTTTGTAAAGCAAACTCTGAGGATATATTTGTTGTATAAAAGATGAGATTTATTCTCACTTTGGTTTGTATTATGTTAGGAGTTTTTGCTTTTGTTACCATTGTTCCTCATCAGCAGAGCAGGGATGCTAGTTTTTATCTAGTACAAGAAAGCCATTGTCAATCTTGAGTTCTCAGTTCTGGGCTCCTCGAATATGAAAATTCTCATGGTTTAGTGGCTGAATTATCACCCTTCAATCAGTCTGGTACCTCCTAGAATTTCCCAAGTGCCAACTGTGTATTTAAACAAACATTTGAGGCTCTTTTAAAATAATAGCAATAAATAAGACATTGAACAGGCAAGGGACAACTTGTTTTTATACGTATATTTCTAGAGGAGCTGCCCTTGTGCTTCTTTGGAAGCTAATGACTTTTGTGAAGAAATACATTTGACATGCTTTGGGGGAACTGACTGAAAAGTCCTATTGCCAGAGCAATAAAGGATTAAAAGATGGAAATATAAATAATGCTAATCAATATGCTTTTATCGAAAGTAGGTCTTGTAGAGGAATGTGATATCACGCTTTTAGACACTTTTGAGTTTGGTTAGGCTGCTGCACAACCATTATGGATCAGCTTTTTTGTGGCTTTTTCCAACAGTTTCCTATGTTCAGGACCCGACCCTCTGGCCAGATTCTTTTAAAGTCCCATCCCTTCTGGGAGAGGACTTCTACCTATGCTCTCTTCTGGGCCTTTTTCCTCTGACTGCCCTGTACTCTTTCTTTTAATCTCTTCCCTCAACTTGACCACATCCTCCCCAGTTATTTTGTGGGGTGTTTTTACTGGGATTCTCCTGACATCAATTCTTGGTTCAACACTGTGCAAAAATGTTATTAATGGCCTTAATTATTCATCATGAAGTTTGCAGATGACAAAAAGATTGGTCGAGTGCTAAATAATAATGAGAACAGGTCACTTATACAGAACAATGTGAATCACTTGCTGGGCACAGTCAAGCAACATGCATTTTAACAGAGACAACTGCAGGATCTAGGAACAAAGAATGTAGTCTATATGTATAGGATGGAGAGCTGTGTCCAGGAAAGGCCCCTTAAAAGGACAATCGGGTCATGAATGGGACTTCACAGTGCAGTGCTATAGTCCTCAACCATAACTATTTCACATTTGGGGACAATGTATACCTTCAAATCAGCGGCACTGCTATGGGTACCCGCATGGCCCCACAGTATGCCAACTTTTTTATGGCTGACTTAGAACAACGCTTCCTCAGCTCTCATCCCCAAACGCCCCTACTCTACTTGCGCTACATTGATGACATCTTCATTATCTGGACCCACGGAAAAGAAGCCCTTGAGGAATTCCACCATGATTTCAACAATTTCTATCCTACCATCAACCTCAGCCTGGACCAGTACACACAAGAGATATACTTCCTGGACACTACGGTGCTAATAAGTGATGGTCACATAAACACCACCCTATACTGGAAACCTACTGACTGCTATTCCTACCTACATGCCTCCAGCTTTCACCCAGACCACACCACACGATCCATTGTCTACAGCCAAGCTCTACGATACAACCACATTTGCTCCAACCCCTCAGACAGAGACAAACACCGACAAGACCTCTATCAAGCGTTCTTACAACTACAATACCCACCTGCTGAAGTGAAGAAACAGATTGACAGAGCCAGAAGACACGCAGAAGTCACCTACTACAGGACAGGCCCAACAAAGAAAATAACAGAACACCACTAGCCATCACCTTCAGCTCTCCAACACATCATCAAGGATCTACAATATATCCTGAAGGACGACCCATCACTCTCACAGATCTTGGGAAACAGGGCAGTCCTTGCTTACAGACAGCCCCCCAACCTGAAGCAAATACTCACCAGCAACCACACATCACACTACAAAAACACTAACCCAGGAACCTATCCTTGAAACAAAGCCCGTTGCCAACTGTGTCCACATATCTATTCAGGGGACACCATCATAGGGCCTAATCACATCAGCCATGCTATCAGAGGCTCGTTCACCTGCACATCTACCAATGTGATATATGCCATCATGTGCCAGCAATGCCCCTCTGCCATGTACATTGGTCAAACTGGACAGTCTCTACGTAAAAGAATAAATGGACACAAACCAGACGTCAAGAATTATAACATTCAAAAACCAGTCGGAGAACATTTCAATCTCTTTGGTCACTCGATTACAGACCTAAAAGTTGCAATTCTTCAACAAAAAAACTTCAGAAACAGACTGCAACAAGAGACTGCTGAATTGGAATTAATTTGCAAACTGGATACATTTAACTTAGGCTTGAATAAAGACTGGGAGTGGATGTGTCATTACACAAAGTAAAACTATTCCCCCCCACCCCCCGCCACTGTTCCTCACATGTTCTTGTCAACTGCTGGAAATGGCCCACCTTGATTATCACTACAAAAGGTTGTTCTCCCCTCGCCCCTCCTCTCTCTTGCTGGTAATATCTCACCTTAAGTGATCACTCTCGTTACAGTGTATATGGTAACACCCATTGTTTCATGTTCTGTATGTATATAAATCTCCCCACTGTATTTTCCACTGAATGCATCCGATGAAGTGAGCTGTAGCTCACGAAAGCTTATGCTCAAATAAATTTGTTAGTCTCTAAGGTGCCACAAATACTCCTTTTCTTTTATAGTTAAAAGAGTTAACAAGAACCTTAAATTTATAAACAGGGCAATATGGAGTAGAAGAAAGGAGGAGATATTACCTCTGGAAATGGCATTGGTGAGTCCATCACTGGAATGCTATCTCCACTTCTGGTGTTAAACATGCAGAATGTTTAGAGAAGAGCCACAAGAATGATTCAAAGTGTGAAGATACCTTATAGCTAAGAGTTTAAAGTGTTCAACATGCTTAGTTATTGAAAAGAAGGTTAAGAGGTGACTTGAGCACAGACTGCAAGTACCTACTCAGGGAGAAGGTATCTACTACTTGTGATTGGAACAGATATCCAAGGAGAGTGGTAGATGTCACCGTGCCTCAATGGTTCACTGCTGAGAATACCAGATTCAGGACAAACGGCTGAGAAATAGGGCAGAGTCACCCCCAGACTGGTGGTTATTCTTCCATAAAATATACCAAGCCAGTAACAAAAGTAAACTTCTGTGTCACCACACTGGTTAACAAGAAGTCAGAAATGCAGTCTCCTTAGGCATTCAAGCCCTTCTGTCACCACCCAGACACCAGACTATATGATGAATGGTTATTTAAAACCACTTTCATCACAGGGTTCTTCTAATCCCGTATAGCCAGGTCAATATATAACTCAGATCTTATAAAATAATCATGCTGTTGCCAATACTTTAGTATCTAATATCTAAAGGTTTATTTCTGAGAGAAAAGAAAGAGGGGAGAGTTAAAATACTCAAGGAAAACAAATACATACGCTCATTGCAAAGTTCTTGGAGCAGGTTTGTAGCAGTGATGGAATAAACTGCTGGCTTGTAAAATCTCTGGTAACTTCCCAAAAGATTGGAAGGTCCTCAGCCCATTGTTTGGAATGCTCCTTTTAGTGTAAGTCCAGAGATCAGAGCAGGAAGGAGTCAAAATGGAGATGCTTCCAGGGCCTTTTATGCCTTCTCCCATGTGGAGGGAAAGCTCTCAGTCTTAATTTGTGGAAAAGTACAGGCACAAGATGGAGTCCAGGGTCACATGAGTTACTCATGTGCCCTTTCATGCTTTTGTAACCCTTCTGCCCGTCAGAGTTGGCAGCAACAAGGGCCGGGTTCAATATCTAGAGGATCCATTCCAATAACACAATGCAAACCGGCTCGAGCCCCCACCCAGTGACCTGGGACAAATATATACCAACCCCGCTGGGCGCCTCCGAGAGGCAATACTTCCCCTCTCGCAAGCACATAGTCTGAGTGTAGCAAAAGCCTTTTAATAACAGAGAGAAACAATGTGGCATTATGTTGGGGAAACACCACCAACAGGATTCATAACACAACCCATGAGCAAAAAACCCACCCCAAGCAAATTGGGGCATGCCCTCTTCCCTTTGGTTCTTGAGTCCAGCAACCCCAAATCACCCAAAGTCCCAAAAGTCCAATGCCCCAAAAGTCTCTGTCCCTGGTCAGGGCAGCCCCAGAGTTCGAAAGTTTATCTGCGGAACTTTACCTCCCAACCTGGGTGGAAATGGGACGGGGGTAAGAGGCACCTTACATGATCTGAAGCTGACCGCCCCATAACTCCATAGCAGCGCTCCGCTCCGCCAGCCGCCCCACGAACTCCTTTGCTCAGCTGCGCTCTGCTCTGCGAGCCGCCCCATGAACTCCTTCGCTCAGCTCCACGGCCCACAAGCAGCTCCTGCCATCCACAAACTGCTCCGCGTCGAACTGCTTCACCAGCCGGTCCGCAAGGCACTCCAGCCGTCCTGCAAACTGCTCCACAATATATCTTCAGGCTCCCCCACTACTTAACACAACACTCAGTGATTTCAGCTCTTAGGTGAATTCAGCTTGTAGTAGGGGAGCCCCAGTGCTGGTGCACTGTCAGCCCAAAATGAGCTCAGCAGCCTATAACTAGACTTCTAATGAAATCAAAATTAGCTCTGATATTCCACAGTGGAGAGAGAAGGAAGTGCAATTAGCATTTAAGGCCCTCACCAAGGGGCCCATGCCACCAAGTATTAATACTTGTCCCCAGCCTCTCTCCATTCACACAGTTTTGGAACCCATGACCCTTGCCTACCAAGTGCTACTTAGTTGATGGTGAATCCCTCCATCATAACAAAAGGCCACGTACAGTTCCAAGCACAGTTCCCATAATCAGGGTAATAACAATTTATTCTTCCTGCCCCAATAACAGAGACACTGGGGATCCCACAGCAGCCAAAGTGACCATTTGGGCAGCTGTGGTCTCATTCTAGGCGTGGTGGGTGTGCCTATGCAAATGAGATCGGCCCCTGAAGTTCTTTTCCACAACTTGCCACACCTCACCACCAGATCTCAGGGTGGAGCTCATCCTGACACTGCTTACACTTTGATGAGTCATAGGTGCAGTCATTACCCCATATTCTGGTTAAAATGTCATCAGGAAGGCACATCGAGTGGGGATAAGATTTTTTTCTGTGGCTCATTATATTAATTAATGGGCCATCAACTTGAATGGTTCATTCACAATGTGTTGGCTAGACTGAATGCCAACTACCTTGCAGGTGTTACTCCAGGAGCAAACACATTTGTAATACAGGTTTCAGAGTAATAGCTGTGTTAGTCTGTATTCGCAAAAAGAAAAGGAGTACTTGTGGCACCTTAGCGACTAACCAATTTATTTGAGCATGAGCTTTCGTGAGCTACAGCTCACTTCATCGGATGCATCCGATGAAGTGAGCTGTAGCTCACGAAAGCTCATGCTCAAATAAATTGGTTAGTCGCTAAGGTGCCACAAGTACTCCTTTTCTATTTGTAATACAGGTATACAGTCAATATTCATAACTTGAGGTAAAAAGATACATGCATACAAACAGGATAATCATATTTGATAGATTGTAACTTTTCCATTGTTACTTTACATGGCATACCTGGTATAAGATTTGTTACATTTGTATAACAGCAAGAATGATATACGTGGTCATATTTTAATCATACGTCACAATGAATTATTCATTACTTGTAATCTTTAAATCAAGATTGGATGCCTTTAAAAAAGTTACTGGGTTTGATGCAGGATTTGCTGGGTGATATTATATAGCTATGCAAGGGGTCAAACTAAAAGATCATGATGGTCCCTTTTGGTCTTAAATTTATAAAACTATGAAACCGTTAACCATAGATACATAGAAAGCAAGTCTCCTTGTAATTTCCGTACTATATTCTGCTCTCTTTCTGATATAGAGGAAAGAATCACAACGTAGACACTTGTCCTGACTGCAGATTCTCAAATAGATACAAATAACCATCAAAGACTATGTTAAATTCTTTATGTTCTTGATGAAGACATCCAGAAACCCTAGTGAGGAGTGACTTTTGAGCTGATATATAGACTTACTGATTTTTCTCAAAAAATTTTAAAGCTGGTTTTGTTCTATCTTGCTTATATGATCAGTTGACCTCTTAAAATGGTTGATGGCAAGCTTCTGATGTCATCCAAGAGAGCTCTCCAGGAAGACATAAATTGACAAATTTGAAATTATCTTCCTACGTCATCTTCTGTGCTGAATATCACACTTTTTTTTTTCCTGGTCCACAGATGCACGTCAGTTTTTTGTAGATGCTATTCATGTTGCTTCATCTGCAAGATTCCGGAATGCCAACTATTTTCTCTCATTGCTGTCATAGTTTTCATTGCAGACCTGCTTTGGCTATTCTACAGATTTTCTGTATTGATCTTGTAACTGATTTCTGAGGCAACAGTGAATGAACCAGGTGTTTATTTTCCAGTAGGGAGCATATCTCTGGATCTCTCTCATTAAATCAGTTTTAATATCTGTTTGAAGCAATCCTACCACCTTTGAGCTGTACAGTAGTCAGCCATACATCTTCTACCATTAAATTGTTTATAGAAGTTGAACAAATAAAGTCTAAGAGTTTATTGAAATTTGTTTGAACAGTGACACAAATTCTGTGTTAATGTATAATTCTTGTTGGTTATAAAATCACATTACTCTTGTCAGAACTTAGAATGAAAATAGAATACAATAAAATACTGTAGAGTATTTTGTAAAAACATTTTTGTCACTTCACTAATGAGTAACTGCTGTTGCTGTTTAATTAGGTTATTACTGTAGTTATTATAATTTTCAATGATAATTATCTGTAATAAAATGCAAAAGCTTACTTGATTTTTCTTTCAGCTGTGTATTACAACCGGTCTGGGAGTAGTTGTAGGAGCCATTTTCTCTGGAATAAAAAATGATTCCAGTGGCATTCAGAACAGGTTAGTAAACATGGGAACTGAACAATTTTAGTAGGGCATACACTGTAGTTCATTTTGTTTAGATTTTTACTTAGCCTCTGTTCTTGTGCTGAAGTAAGGAGACAGCTACGTACTGTAGAATATAAATTACATTTTTAAGAAGTATCTGTGAGAGAGGAAAAACAGTGCTTGTTCGTGTCATGGTAGCATCAAGAGACAGTTGAGGACCCCACTGTGCTTGGCACTGCACAGACACAAACAAAAAGACAGTCCCTACCCTGAGGAGTTTATAGGCTCCATAAGATTATGTTACATGGAGCAGTACCTAGGGTATATACAGTAAAGGTAGTTGATGGACTACATGGGAAGCAGCTTCCATCTGTCCTCAGCCAGAAGTTTGACTATTTTCTAACGTACGATCAAAAGGGAACTATTTCCACTAAACAATTTATTTGCTTCCTGCATCTGTATTCCATTTTCATGTAGTAACAGCATACCCATCTCCCTCTGATAAATTTTCTTCCTTCCTCATTAGCTAAAAAAGCTATTTGCGTAGCTAATTGTCTTGCTTTTGTTTGTTCTTTCCACAGAGTTGGTGCTTTATTCTTTTTGACCACCAATCAGTGTTTGAGCAGTGTTACAACTATTGAACTCTTTGTCACAGAAAAAAAGATATTTATGTAGGTAAATCCCTGTGTAATAGAAAGCTTTGCATGTTGTTTTATTTGTTGCTGTATCAGTTTACCTTTAACTTATACACTAACTTCCCCATGTAGATAACCCCTTATCTATCCGTCATCATTAGGGTCTAGTGATGAATTTGTTACTGAAGGCACAGCTTTGCATTTGGTCCTAAGATAGATGTGAACTATCCCAGCTCTTTCTCTGTGGTATTAACTCAAAAGTTTAATGATAATGAGAATATGAGCACTGATAACTGACTGCTGATCATTTTAATAGAAAAACCCAACTATTCTGGAGCTGGAGGCAGAGCTTGAATAGATTACTACCACTTTGTCCTACTCAATCTTACCCTTGATTATTAGTCTCTCTCAATAGAAGTATAGCCCCCAAACCAGAAACTGGTTGTCATTGTTATACGTTTAATAGATACGGTCAAAAACTCTCCTGCCAGCTAGCATAAAAAGTCAGTTTTCACATCTGTGATGTCAGGTAATTGATTTTCACAGTTGAGGAATATGGCATTGTTAAAGTGTGAGAAACATAGAACAACTTTTAAAGCTGTGGGTGGTGTTCCTGTTTCTTGATTGAATAGGCAAAACACCTATCTTCAGGAAGAGGGATTGAAGAAAGTCACTGGGGCTATAAATCTTTCCTGGAGAAGTAGCAGTTTAAGGAGAAGTAGAATATAAACAGGATTAAGGGAGTTTTAGGAAATATTAATTTTTTTCACTTGGCCATTCAGGCCCTGTCACAGATACCATTTGAGAAGAGTGAGGCTACTATAAGATTTATTGGCTGGATGCAGAATTTAAATATAACTTTCTCTCGCCACAATCAGCAGCTCACATGTAAAATAAGCAAATGTTACAAAGTTTAGAGAAACAATTGCTTGATATTTTAAATAGGTGTTTCTTAGAAATGCTTATTCTGGGGCAATGATTCTCAATCTTTCCAGACTACTGTACCCCTTTCAAGAGTCTGATTTGTCTTGAGTACCCCCACAAGTTTCACCTCATTTAAAAACTACTTGCTTATAAAATCAGATATAAAAATACAAAAGTGTTACAGCGTACTCTCAGGGCCGGATTAACTCTCTTGTGATTTTGTGGGGCCCCTGTATACAAGTCTCGTTCCTAATTTAAAACAAAATTATCACAATTATGGCATCGAGGCTATTAACACTATACTAAACTTGCCTTTTAATAAACATAAAGCTGTTCTGTGGTTACATTTCAGTGTTAAAACACGTAGAATATAGTTAAGTTAATTCAAAATAGCCTCCTTCTTACCTTAGAACAGCTGTTATATTACTTTCTTTCTGGGAGGGAGTTTGGGTGAAGGAGGGGGCTCTGGGCTGGGGTGCCGGAGAGAATGAAGGGCACGGGCTCTGGGAGCAAGTTTGGTGCAGGTGGGGATTCTGACCTGGGGCAGGGGATTGGGGTGCAGGCTCTGGCCAGGAGGCACTTACTACAGGTGGCTCCTGGCCAGAGATGCAGCAGGGCTCAGGCAGGCTACCTGCCTGCCTGCCATAGCCCCACGCCGTTCCTGGAAGCGGCCGGCTGCTGGGCACGTCTCTGCGTGCCCCTGGGGGGAGGGGGACAACGTGTCTCCGTGCGCTGCCCGCGTTTGCAAGTGCCACCCCCTCAACTCCCATTGGCCAGTTCCTGGCCATTGGGAGCTGCAGGGATAGTGCTGGCGGTGGGGGTAGTACATGTAGCCGCCTCCCCCCCGCCAGGGGTTGTAGAGATGTGCCAGCAGCTGGCCACTTCCAGGAGCGGTGTGGAGCCACAGCAAGCAGGCAGCCTGCCTGAGCCCTGCTGCGCCGGGGCCCCCTTAGCCCGAGGCCCTGGGCTGCAGCCCCTAAAGCCCCTGCGTTAATCCGGCCCTGCGCACTATTACTGAAAAATTGCTTATTTTCTCATTTTTACCATATAATTATAAGATAAATAAATTAGAATATAAATATTATACTTACATTTCAGTGTATAGTATATAGCCTATATAAACAAGTCACTGTATGAAATTTTAGTGTGTACTGACTTTGCTTGTGCTTTTTACGTAGCCTGTTGTAAAACTAGGCAAATATCTAGTTGAGTGGATGTATCACTGCAAGACCTCTGTGTACCCCTGGTTAAGAACCACTGTTCTAGGGCACATGTAAGAAAGTCTGTGTCCACAGTACAGTCGGTGGGCTACCACCCTCAGTATTAACATTTCTGGGCTTTAGCCTATAGCCAGGGATGGGCCAACGAGCTCCGGTGTAAAGTTACCAACTCGCGTAAGATGTTTCTGTTTGTGGACAGGAGCAACACCCGAGTAACAGACCAAATTGACTCTGCAGCAAAGATAAGCCTAAACAGGCTTTTCTCCATTTAGTCCTAAATGAAACTCACAAGGGCTGGTCCAAGAAGTAACTATAACCAAACCACTACTAAGTCATAGTGACCACCAAAATAATTAAACTGAACATTTGTAGGAGAGAAATCATACCAAAAACTAGCACTGTGGCACTAAACTTGAGCAAGGAGGTGGGGGTTTTTTGAAAAATGAAGAAGATAATCAAAAAGACTCTAAAGTCAAAATTAAGGGATAGAAAACACTAGAATCAGCATGGAGCCTGCTTAAGCAGTTTATATAATTCACAGAAGTGATGCATCTCCTTTTAACCAAAAGTAGTACCGGGAGGGCAAGAAAAAAGCAGTATGGTCAAATGGCAAAGTTCAAGAGGTTTTTCAGGCTAAGTAAAGTATGAATCAAAAAAATGAAAAGTGAAGCGAGTAAAGAGGAGCATACACTATGGAAGATAAAAATGTAAGATATAAATAAGGAAGACTAAGAACGGTTATGATGAGCAAATAGCTAAAGACACAAAATCAAAAAAGGAAATATGTAAGTATATCCTCAGAATCAATAAATCAACTAGACTGTCAGGGAAGTAAAGGGAACAATTAAGGAATATAAACACTGCAGAGAAGTTAAATGATTTCTTTGCATATCTTCACCACAAAGGATGGAATATGGTATTCAGTCCAGGTCATCCAATCTCAAAAAGGGTACAGCAGAAATTGAGTGGATTCAGAGAAGGTGATAACGATTTGAGGCACGGACAGAGTTTCATATGAAAATAGATTGAAGAAACTGGGATTGTTTAGATTAGAGGTGAGATGAATAATATAGTGCTTAATTAAACTATACAAAATAATGAACAACAAGAGAAGCTTAATCAGTACTCCAATGTACCCTGTATTATAAGCTTTCTGGAGCTCTTTAAAGTTGGTCACTATAGATGATGGCAGGGATTTAGGTGCCCAGATCTCATTAAAATTAATGGCGGTTGGGTGTCTAACTCCCTTAGGCTGCTTTGAAAATCCCAGTCTATATGGCTTCATTACTGAAATATAATCTATAATATACATATATATTTCTGTGTTCTAGACATGAATATATCAGTGGTTACTACAGAGTATCTGCATATTTTTTCTCAAAGATAATGGCTGATCTGATACCCATGAGGACTTTACCAAGCATCATCTTCACCTCTATAAATTATTTCTTAATAGGCAAGTATCCTATAAAAGAAAGCTGCATCAAAATGAACTGTGGTCATTCACTCTTTCCTTTGGCAAATAATTCAGGTATCCATGGGTGGTCTGTCTGCACGTCTTCCTTATAGGGCTACGGTCCTTGTCCCATTTTTTATCCCCCCCCCCCCCCTTTAGCATTAGCTCACAGAAAACCTTTATTCTGGGAGTAGGTTGGTAAATAGAATGTGTTGAAGCTACTTACTGTTAATACAAATCTGAAGTTAGCTTTGGTAAGCTTGTACACTGATTTATGCGTTCCTCCCAAATTCTGTGTGCCTTTTTATGATTTGTCTAATCTACTGCTCATGGAGCAAGAGACCCAAGGGTATTAATGAACTTGACTTTTCTACAAGTTAACTATGCTAACAAATTTATTGGACCAGATCTGCTGCTGAGGTAAATTGGCATAGCTTCACTGACATTAATGGAGCTACACCAATTTACACCAGCTGAGGATCTGTCCAGTTATTACTATTCATGTTGATAAACAATATAGTACCATTGTACGGAGCCTAACAGATTAAAAAGACATCATCCCTGTCTTGACGAGATTACAGTCTACTACGATCAAATCAGTAGGACTGCTCACCATGAGTGAAACTAAAAAAAAATTAAAAATCTTGCTCTAAATTAGGCAAGCGTAGATCAGAAGGGTATTAGAGAGTAAACCACATACAAATGAAAATATTATACAGTTGTTTATAGATTCTGATATTTTAAAGTATAGACCAGTAGAGTATATAGAGGAGCAGATAGCATGAGAGTAAAAAATAAAGGGTGGAAAACAAGACAAAGGAAATGGTTTTTGAGGAGGCATTTGAAAGAGGTTGTTGAGTGCGCAGGAAGGGAGATGACCCTACTACTCCTTCCCTGCAGCTGGACTACTTCTTTATTTGGCCTTTTAATTGACTCAGCTATAGGTGCAATGTAGATAGGTTTCCATTCTGAATTCCTTTTATAATCCAAGATGTTCATTTTCTTTAAAGTGGTGTTCATGCAGTAGGACAGAACACTTTATGGTTGATGATACTCCCTTTCTGCAAATAAAAGCAAACTATGTACTGTGGTACTAAAAAGAGGTATGTGTATAGTATACACAAAAACCCTAATCTAGGAAAAGATAGACTGAGACTTTTTTCCCCCCATTTCTTAGGTTTCAAGCCAACAATTGGGGCGTTCTTTATCATGATGGTTACCCTTATACTAGTCGCCCACACAGCCAGTTCTATGGCTCTGGCTGTAGCAACGGGACAAGATATTGTGGCTGTCGCTAATCTCCTCATAAATATTTGCTTTGTTTTTATGATTGTGAGTGATACGTTTTTCTGTTTTTTTCCCCTTAAATTTTTGTTGTACAAAAGATGACAATGAAATGCCATGTGTAATTAATTTGTTTTTAAAAATCTATTTATATGTGCTTTGAAGCACATCAGCAGAGCCCTTTGGAATTTTAAGAATACTTTCTAATCCTTCCTCTTGATATCAGATCACATTATGAACACATCTCCTGTAAAGTGAGACAACTCAAGTAAACAGATGTAAAAAAAGCTAAGCAGCCCAGAGCAGCGGGTTCCCCATTGCTTTGCAAGTGACTAGCGTTTGATAATCTGGGTAAGATTGGTCACGGACTCCTTAGGTGTTATTACCTCTGCAGAATTACATGACTTAAATGGGACTATTTTGCATAGCCTTGGCAAGTATGGGTGTAACTGCTGGTAGTGTTGCAGGAGGGAGGAAAGCTTTTGGAAGATTCTGTGGAATACACCAGAGCCAAGTCAAAGTCCTTGAACTGAGTGATTGTTTTTGTCCCCCTCCGATATGGATTATTCTTACCTATAAAGAGAATAATCTATTGAACTGCTCTTCCAGAGCTTTTCTTTTCCAGGGTGATGGTGATTTCTGACAGCTTTGTTTATATTTTTTACCCCTTGCCTCTCTTGACCAGGATTTAGGCCTTTTAGTTCTATAATTAAGTCATGTCAGAGGATTGTTGCTGAGGAACTGCTGTATTTCCCCTCTTCTGAGTTCTTCCTATCTGAGGATGCCAAAGGTTAGAAAAGGGACGCTCCAACTATGATTTGAGGGAGATTCCAGGCTTTCCTACTGCTGGAGACCAGAGAAAGGCTCATGTTCCTTAGGACTCATATGCTTTAGGAGGAGGCTTAAGACCTGTGCTTCTGAGTGAAAATCCTGCCAAGAAACTAGTGATGGCCCAACAGGCCACTATTGCTCCAGGTAGAAAGAAACTGTCCTGTAAAGATTCTAAGTAAACTTCTGCCTCAAATACAACTCCATTGCATTTCATCCCTTGCTGTCTGAGACCATGGAACAACTAAACATCTCGGGTAACAAAGGGCCTAATCCTGTTCCTATTGACAGAGAGCAGGTAAGGCCTACAGAATCAGGCTCAGATTTAGGATTTTATACTCATCGTGCATGTATACATTTAACATTAATGGGAATTATTTCTGTACACTGAATAAGACCTGGTCTACACTAGAAAATTAGGTTGTTGCATGCGGGCTATGAAAAATCCAAACCCCAGAACCATGTAGTTAAGATGATTTAAGTCCCTTCGTAGACAGTACCAACAGAAGAATTCTTCCGTTGACCTAGCTGCTGCCTTGGGGGGGGGGGGGGGGGGCAAGGGAGGGAAGGACGTTTCAAGTGCACACAAGCCCTTAAGTGTGTCAAAATCTAAAGTGACTCAGGACTGCAAAATTCCCATGACATACTTTTGCCTGTTTCTTTACTGTTTGTAGATTTTCTCTGGCTTGCTGGTAAATCTCACAAGCATCGAATCCTGGCTTGTCTGGCTGAACTATTTCAGCATCCCTCGCTACGGCCTGACAGTGAGTGCTACATTTTCTGTGCATTATGCTGGAAACACCTTTTGAAAGAGATCACCATTATCTTGTAAGAAATAATGTCAAACAATATTATTCCAGTTATAATTGGTAAATTACAACTTACACAGATAAGTTCTCCCTGTCTCTACATTCTCAGTACAGTGCAATAGGTCTCACCGTTTCAGATACGTATTGTAACAAATTAGCATAGCACAAGAAAATGCGGTCAATAGATAATCATAAATAGCAGTAAGGCCAGAAAAAGATTGAGTCATCCTGATTCTTTGCAGGTTGCAGAGCTGCTCTCCACAATACATAATTAATACTAATGTAACTTAAGTATCTGCTATAATGGTGGTTCTCAATTCCTCTTAGAAGTATGAACAACTTCCTAACTCCTCTGCATGTTTCATTTCTTACGTTTTGGCCATTGCTTATTTCATGTGAAACTGGATAATTCCCTTACTGTATTGCCATAACATTTTAATAACAGCAGGCCTGGATACCAGTGAGATATAGGTAAGGCTGAGGTGGGGTATTTAAAAACTGGTTTATGTCAATTTTAGCAATAGCTGCCAAGAAGGGAAAAGAGTTGGCTCCACAACCAAACAAAAAAAAAAAAAATCCTGTTTTTCCTCACCTCTTCCACCTTTCCTATTTAGATTGTAAACTTTTCAGATGAGTGACTGTCTTTACTGTGCTAGGTATATACAAACACAGAGTGAGTCCCAATTTCAATAAGGGCATCAGCCACAACTAACACAAATAAGTGCAATCCTTTCAAATGTTTATACAAGATTGCTACAGTGAGCCCAGTAGTGCTAATCTGAAAGCTGTATCCCCGTTGCTGATCTTTTGAACTATATACACTTATGTCATCTATAACCATAATTCAGACCTTATTTTCTGATTTTTGTGACCAGTCACGTGTCTTAAAGTGATTTGCAATCCTGAACACAGTATCTAAAAGATATTCTCTAGTTCAAACAAGAATTAATTTAGGGAACTTCTGTGACCGGAGTATTATAAGTGGTCAGACTAGATGATCACAATAGTTCCTTCTGGCATTATAATTATGAAATTTAGTAGAGAATACACAGTCAATCTGATCAGTGTTTTGGGGCTGGTAGGGAGAAAAAAAAGTGGCATGCCTCAGAGGCCTGTCATATAAAATAAAATAGAAAAAGCTGAAAGGAATAGATATTGTGGCTTATAGCATAAGAGAAATGAGCCAGTAGTATTATTTTAGTTGAGAGACATTTTTGCTCTGTTTCAATGAGTTTCCATCATGCAGGTCTCCCAATAGCAGTCTGTGCAGCAGCAGGCCCTGTGCCTATGGCAAAGACAACGTGTGCACTTACATCACAAAGGGGGATATTTTCACAGTATTTTACCAATACTTTAAATGTGATTATCTGAAAATTAGACAAAACTGTTTTCAGTGGAAGGATTTCTTCAACACTCTAGGAAAAAAAGCTTTGATTCCAGACAGTTTTTCAGATCTTGGCTTACAATTTTGATATACATTTTAAAGGAAACTTTTGTTGGTTTGTTTAGTATGTAGTATTTCATTAAACCTGCTTAGTGGCTCCCCTTTGACTACCTATTTTTGTTTTTATCTTTAAAGGCTTTGCAAATTAATGAATTTACAGGTCTAAACTTTTGCCAGAATGCCAATGTGACTGGGGTCAATGTAAGTTGCATCACTTCTAGTCCTTTTACAATGTAAGTATGCAGTTGTTATAAACAAGTTCTTGCAAGGAGCCCAAGTTCACTAAACTACAAATCTGAATGAGATTTTTTTGTTGTTTTCCTGGTGCCTCAGCTGCTAGAGGGTCTATGCTTTATAACTGAATACTTAGCCTCTGGAGCAGTCTCTGGTTTTCAAATATTTGCTGTTCATTTCAGATAAGTCATTTTAGACATTTTAAATGACTGAAAGTGCTGGAGAAGGTAGAGGGGACAATTTTTAAAGAAAGCGTTTGAGAGAACAGGTAGTGATCCTGGAGCAGTTTAAGATATGGTTTTGAAAACCATTTCAGGACATGACAAGTTTTCCTGTGTAGAAAAGGACCCAACAGACTATTTTTAATGTGTGCTGTATATTTGTAATATTAATTTCTTATTGCATATCTAAAATTGCACTTTGAAGAAGTTCTCATAGTTTATTACCAAAGAATATTGAAGGGAAGAGAAATTTCCTTGGCCCTGGTACTCTGCTAGGTTCTGCTCAGCTATTCTCTTCAAATTTTTTACAAAGACTTATAAATTCAGATTTTTCTTCTCCACAGTATGCAACATGGTAACTTGCAAAATTTGCTAGCTTGAGGCCCTAAAAAGTATTACAGGTCCAAGACCTCTTCAGAGTAGAGTAAGTATTTACACAGGCTGATGCGCACTGAATAGCAAAGGTTCAAATTTAGTATAGAGTTGAGGTTTGAATCTTTTTTTTTCCCCTAACACAGGTTAATCTATCCTCAGTCACCATTCTGTTTGTTTGCATTGGACCAAAGCATTTTTCAGCAAAATTATGAAGACAGGGAAATTAAATATTCAGTTACAGATCTTTACAAAGGGTTAACTTTTTAAACTTTAATTTGTATTGACTAGCTGCACTGGAGAAGAATATTTGAAAATGCAAGGCATTGAAGTGTCTGCTTGGGGCATGTGGAGGAATTATGTGGCTCTTCTATGCATGACACTCATCTTCCTTACAATTGCATATTTGAAACTGCGCTTCCTGAAGAAGTTCTCTTAATTCAGATGAGTTAACAAGCATCTAGTATAACACAATGCAAGGTAGTTTTGATAGCGAATGGACTAAAAATGTTTAACATTTTCAAAGATTAAAGATTTTGATAACTGTGTTCAGTTTTTACTGATACTGCTTGCTACTGAGCTATATCTTTTACAAAGGTCTCATGTGCATGAAGACAGCAGAGGATTGTTGACAGCTTATAATTTAGGCCTGGGATTTCCAGGGACCACAGAATGCTGTAGAAGCCCCAGATCAGCAGTAAGGGAGATGTAAACAGAGAAGCAACTTTGACATCGTAAGGCTTAGTGTGCATTATTGATCGTGGCAGACAGCTAGCTGAAGAAAGCACTTGAAAAAATATCTGAACAGGTCTACCTAGAAATGTAAATATATAGTTTAAAAAACTATATAAAGTGAAGTTGGATGAGAATTTAGTTTTCTTATCTAATTAGCAGAGGCTTCTCCTTCATGCAGCAGGGCAGGGCAGTAAGTGAAACTGACTAGGCCTTCAGTTTCCTTTTGGTTCCACCAAACAGGAGCATCAGTGTGGTCCTGTAGCTGTATTTTTTTTTTTTTTTTTTTTAATTTTTAAACAGTACAGGGGGATGGGAAGAAGCGGGAAGGGAGAAGCAACATGTCAAATACAGGACACTCACCATACGGAGACAGATTTAAATGCAGCCCATTTTTGTCCATAATTCTCATACACAGTGGTGGTTTTCATATGTAAAATCTTTATTAGGAAGTAAAGTGCTCAGTATTATAGACCAATAAATCTTTGATAACTGTGGAAGACTTGCATAATTAACAGCTTCCTAATAAGACCAAATGTTAATGCAAAGACTTTACATTTACTTTGTATCGAGGGTAAAAGGTTTCTTCTATGTAACAGTTGCAGGAGAATCTAAACTTAAAATGAAACCATAATAAAAAATGTATAACACATTTGTCTAGTTGCCATGTACTTATTGCATGGCACATTGTCAACACACATGGGTAGCCCATGAAAGCTTACTGCACTTCAAAATGAAGTTTGTTATTCAGTAACGACACGTTACAAATATACAGATGAACAAATATAGCTATGAATGCAGACATTTTGGTTTTCATAATTAACATACTAATAAAAGAAAAGCTTTGTTCGATATTAGTTTAGAAAAGGTACAATTTTAGGACACATTTAAAGCCACAGCGATAGCTGTAGTGTCTCGAAAAGGCACAGCTTCACAAATGCAAATTTCCTTAGTTCTGCAGCATGATATTGCAGCAACATCCAACATGTCTTGTCTTTATAACAAAAGATCACTTTAACTGAGCACTAGCAACCTCTTTCCTGTGAAGCCAAATCGTTTGGTCAGATGATTGGGTTTAAACTTTAACTACATGACATATAATACTGTATCTGGCATTTTGGTATTCCTACGCCCCAACAGACCAAATGCTAATTTTTTAGAGCTTGCAAAAACAATCTTACCATATGTCAAACCATTAGCCAACTGACCCCTTGAAATATACCTCCTACGCAGTAATGCAATGGAAGGTTTTGTATACTATTAAGGCTTAGATTATGTCACAGAAGTCCAGGAGTCCATGACTTTCAGAGACCTCCATGACACTTTCCGTTTCAGCCCCATGGGGGCAGGGCTGAAGCTGTCAGGGAAGCTGGTGCTCTGAGCCACTGTGGACATAGGGCTCCCCCCCCCCAGCTTCCAGCTTCCGCAGGCAGCAGGGGGACCCCAGAGCTGTGAGCCACAGTGGCAGCAGGTGCTAGACCCCTGCTACAGCAGGACTCAGGCTTTCATCCCCCCATCAGCCCCATTTTATCAGTTATTTTTAGTAAACATCAGGGACAAGTCACGGGCTTCAGTGAATTTTTGTTTATTGCCAGTGACCTGTCCCTGCCTTTTGCTAAAAATAACTGTGATAAAATCTTAGTCTTAACTATTATGATGTAAATTCATTTGGATTAATTTCTTGTCCACTTGGCAGTGGTGGAGCTTGACCCATAGTCTATTGGGAAATTTCAGCTCTCAGTAGGGGAGAAGTCCCTTCATCTAAGACTCAACATGCACTTTCTCGTAACTTTAACATATGAAAAGTTTTGTTTTTATCAAGGACAAGTGCTTTGATCATATGGAATGTGTCTTGGATGACACCGTAACAGGACAACAAGTGCTGGTATATATAGATATGGGGAAACTCTGCAATATTTGGAGGTGTATTTGATCCAATACCAAACCAAAAATACTAACACAAGAATATAAGGTTCTTAAGGTTAATTACAGGAAGCAATTCCTATAATAAGCACAACATGAAAACCACCAGCATCAATAAAAAGGCTTCTTATCCTTTGGCATGGACATTTTCCTTCTTACATCCTACAAATCTATGCACTTAGAATACTGTGTACTTCATCTGAGTATTAAGTTTTCCGTTCCCCTTTAAACCTACAATAAGTCTTAAGGCAACTGTCAGCTTAAGTGAAGACTCCCATATTTCACTATATCTAAATATATGCTATCAAAAATTGTACATATTTGCCTCTAATTTTCTGTATAGCAAACTCAAATCACTGTCAGTGCTGTTGCTGCTTCAAAGCTCTACCGCAGTCTCAAATCCAACAAGTCTTGTACCAAAAAGTGCTGGTTATCCTAAAGACTACAATTTCAAGTTGCAGTGAAGTTCCCTACATAAAAAAGTGTACATGCAGAAATATACCTCCAATTGCTCATGCAGGTCAGGTAAGTGCATACATAAGAAGCTAATTAGGCCCCTGCCTTTGAATTGGAATGAATACTTGGCTAGAGCTAGTCAGAAATGTTCAAAATGTCAGTTTCTCTCTACCCCTGCTTCCCCCAAGATTCATTGATGTTTTTCACAACTTATCTAATGTTTACCTAATTTCTGCATGTAATTGTAGAAAGGGTAGGTTCAGTTTTGGACACGGAGCTCAGAGAACTTCCTATTTGGAAATTTGACCCTAAAAGCCAGCTATGGACAGACACAAAGACAACAATGATCACATTAGTTAAGTGTAAACAGACATTGATCCAATAAAAGATATTACCATACCCACCTTGTCTCTCATGTGTAAAGAAGTTCCCAAAGAACTACTTTTAAAACACTAAAAGTACAATGTCACTTGCATATGCTTCTACTTCGTAATAAAAATGAACTAAACACGACCTTCTGTCAGAGAAAAAAGGCAATAGTGCACTGATACATAGGGAATGTTACTTTTAAATTAATTTAAAAAAATCTTAGCACACTAAAGGAAAACTCCAGAAGAAGAAAGAGATTGTGTTACTTGTTTGTAAGTGGTGTCAAATATAATTAACGGGAATAACTATATAGGAAGTCACCTTATTAATATATTTTAGAATAGGAATTTAAGAATAATATTTTCCATTATAAAGCACTGGAAATCTAAGCCTTTGAGTTGAGAAGTTAAATGCATTTTTGGCTAACGATTAATCCAAACTTTTAGAAGAGACTTACTTCAACAACTTTGAAACTAATTTCCAACATTACATAATGGGAAAGTAGATTCTTACAGTCCTATTTTACATAACCAAAATGAGCTCCTGCTGCATAGCAAGCATTAAGCTTTAAGGTGGGAGTACTTAGAAAAAAAACAGCTGCATTTACTGAATGAAGACAGGGAAACTGTAAAACCCTCTGGGGGGCACAGATCCTATAAGTGCAGCCACTTTAAGCAATGCTACTGGTGGATTATGGTCCTAAAGCCAGTGTAGGTGGCAATGGGAATATCACCCTATTTAGTGGGGTAAGTAGGTTATGCCAACTCTACATCTGTCAGCTGCTGACACAGTGGTTGTAGATTAGATGTCCCTATGGCCTACTGATCAATCCCCAGGTGGGGACACTGGTAGCTTTAACATTCATCACTGTTTTTGGAAAACAAATAGTAAATAGCGTATTTGCTGTTATAATACAGGACTGAAATTTTAAAACAACCCATTGACAAATAATATTACACATGGATGTTGCTCCCGTCATTCCCTCCTCCACTTCCATCAATGCCTTCTATTGACTGAGAGGAGGATGGACGGGAATTCCTAGAACGAGGCTGGCTATTCAGTCCAAGTGGTGTTCCCAAGCGGTGGCTCATTTGGGAAGCTGTGTCATCCGATTCCCAACGCTCCAGTTCCTCTCGTACTAACCTCTCCATTTGTTCCCTGTGGATTTCATTGTCACGTCCCAATCTTTCATCCTAAATACAAAGAAAGACACAAACTCACAGTATAATCTTCCAAATTTGATTGTGAACAAAATCTGGAAGAAGGTATAAAATATTCTAAAAGACATCTCAGATGAATTCATACCATAGTATGGCTTTGGACTAAACCCGGCACTGTATCTTCTGAACAAGAGGTAAAGGTACTGTTGTGTAGCAGCTGCAGAATAGCAACAAGAAGTTTTTATACTGTGCCCATTACCATGGTATGACAGAGCTTTCACACAGGGATGTGTTAATTCACTATGATAACTAGTCACAGGCTGGACTTTGATCAAGTGCTTGTAAATAAACCCAAAATGGAGTCTGATAGTCACCAGCTTAACATTGCTAAGGTGTCTACCTCGGTTATCACAATCCTATGTGTGAAGTAGTAGAAAAGCAAAGTAGAAACAAATGAGCTCATCATCTTACATGGAAAACAGCTCTTTAGTTGATGATCAGTCAACTGACTGCTCAAGTCAGACTGGGGGTTTCCTACCTCTGTAACTCCATCCAGCAGTCTTCCCAAAACGTCTCTCCTTTTTAGTTTGGCCCGCTCCATTGCCTCAAGCTTTACAATAACAGCATCAATTTTGGAAACAATACTGCCTATGGAATGTTCCATGCGATCCACTCGTCTCACCAACCTGAAGGCAACAGATATTTGCTAATTTTTATGTTACTGACATTTTCAAGTTATTAATTTGATTTTAGCTAATCGACGTGTAGGAAGTGGAAAGTTCATCAGATGACATTTGTACTGTTTTTATTAACCCTGCAAACCAAAATGACAATGGAATAATTTGTAATTTTCTCAGCAAGGGAGAAGGGCAATAGCAAGTCTAAAACTCCTAAATTATTTCCTCTGATTTCCTTCTCTTTGGGGGATATCCTGTCATATAAACTGTACAAGAATGGCAGGCCGGGTGGGGCTCACTCAAGAGCTGGTCAGTACCACTTGTGGGGTTTGCTACAGATTGTACAAGAGGCACTCTGCTTTCCACAGAGAAGAGAGTGCTACTTCCATAGCATCCTGGGTGGAAGATTTTTGGCCCAGAAATGAATCCCAGCAAACTGTCACTAGAACACACTCAGTTCTGCAATACTTTGAGAGAGAAGAAAAAAATAAGTAGAACCTTTGCTACTTCTTAAGAGAGACATGCATTCCCATGGTGAATGAAGGGTTCCATATTCTGGTCTGTATGTATTCTAACTGAGCTAGGTGTTTACAGGCTTGCATAACGTTTTATTATATATATGTGTAAAAAAGAAATACAACCATTTTCTAAGATAATAATTTTCACCTTTGATGATGATTTGAGAGCTACTGATTATGAAGCCCATGTGGTCTGCAGAAATACAGCATCTAGGTTTATTTATTATCCCTAGACCTAGTTACCTAACTACCCACCCACCCTTCCTGTCAAGCAAGTTTCATATAAAAACTAGTGAACATAGCAGGCAACCTTAAAGTTAATGGAATGTTTTAAAAAAAGGAGGACTTGTGGCACCTTCGAGACCCACAAATTTATTTGAGCATAAGCTTTCGTGAGCTACAGCTCACTTCATCGGATGCAAGAATGTTTTCAAGTGAAGGGGATTTAGAAAGGAAGTGTTAATTTTGCTGTCATATATTTAGTGGAGTTAATCACATCCCAAGCAAAATAACTGATATGTTCTACATCCTATATGGGGATAAAGAAAATACATATAACACAGGCATTTGATTGCAGACATTTTAACTGGTAGTACAGTTTGGGATCATTACACACAGTTACTACTGAACAAGGAAGATGGTCAATCAGGTTCTAGCTACCCTAAGTCATATCCACTTCATTCATCCTTGCTGTGACTGGGGCCTACAGAGAGAGACCATTTCAGCCAAATATACAAACATAAGTAATACCAATTCCTGCCAATCCTTTAATTCTATTTGAATGTACAATAATCTCGATTTTTGTCTGATGAAAGAACAGCAGAGTAGACTTTTAGAATTACTCTAACATTGACACTGTTTCTTTCAGGTTGTCAGCCATTGTATGGGCATGGATGAAATTCTTCCACAAACACCTGAGAGCAGAGGTGTTAACTTGGACTGGTGTGATATGGCTCATTCTTACTGTAATTACACCAAAGAGACTCAGGGCTTATCTACACAACGATTTAGTGCGTGGCAAGCCAGAATGTGAATCTACAATGCACAGCGTCCTGTACATTAACTGGATGCCAGTTAATGCACTGTAGAATCATGGCAGGGCTTGCTGCACACTAAATTGCCATACAGACATGCCCTCATTAGACATCAACCAAATTAAAGTAGGAAAAATCCATATTTCTTTGAGTGTCCTTTGCATATTCCTACTTTTGGGCTGTGCCAATCGGTGCTGCGCTGACTATGCAGAGTCCATCCTGAAGATCCTCAGTTACAGGTAAGTGACCTTCATTGTGAACCTTTTTTTTTTTTAGTTGCTTATTTATTTAAATCTGGGAGCTACTATTTCTTTTGTTTCCATTTTCATCCAGGATCCTCTAACAACAACTTAAAATGCAGAGAACATATTTCAAGTGATAAACAGCTATTTACAGTTAGCTTTGTAACACATTTCTTAGATTTCATTTGGTTTATATATCCAGAAATATATATTTAAAAAAAAAACACAACCCCACACACTGCAGGACTGCTTGCACTTACACTTGGAACTCTTCATATGAAACCCCACTAGAGCTGCTACCTCTTCTTCTAGAGCTGTGTCCACTGTCCTCATCATCGTCTTCTTCAGAGTCATCCAGACTGCGAGGGAAGCTTCGACCACTCATTGGACGTGGTAGAGAGCTCCTGTCCAGATCCAGATCCTCCTTCATGAAAAACAAACATGTTATCCATAGACTCTCACCTGTGTGCTGAAGGTCAAGGCTGCATGACTTCATTCACTGAGCTACCTCACCCTTTTATAGTTCTGTTGGGAGTGAACGTTAGACAACGTAACAGATAAGTAAGTCTAAATCTAATGCAAATGAGAATTGGTGCTTAGGAACTCCAAGGACCTAACTGATGGTGTTCAAGGTCTTCCAATTGCCCTAAAGCACGACTTACCCTCTCTTTCTCTAGATCATCTCTCATTTGCTGATGTTCATGTTCTGTCAATTCCTGGTCCCCATCCTGGTCGTACTTCGTAAATATTGCTTCAATCTCTGCATCTGTGTGACCCTTCCTGAAAAGAAGATAAAATGGACCCCCTGCCTTTTTTTTTTTTTTTTTTGATGTTTTGCCAAAAATGTTGCGGAGAAGAAACAACAAAAAAGTCTTAACTACAGCAAATTTTCTAAAAGCCAAAGAACATGCTTAATTCAGTGTTGCCTACAAGCTTGCCCATTACAAATCCAAGTCCACTAATCATGCTGACAAAGCTTGGGTACATATCACCAACAGTTTTGGCCCCAGCCCATTGCTTTAGAGGTTTTTTCCCTGCCTAACAGCATCACTCTCTCTTCACTGGATTGCATTTAAGACAGTTTCCTCTTACCCACATCCCAATTGTGACTAGCACTGAGAAAACAAAGAGAATGCAGTATCTCTGTATGATCAACAGGAGCTCTAGTCCTAACTACCATCTGTATAAAGGTGACTCTGCAGACCAAAACATTTCATGAACTTCCCCAGATTCTGCTTAACAGGACAGGTGACATAATGAAACTTTACAGGACCCCATTTAGAAGAGCACTTGATGGAGGAAAGGTTCTTCATTTGCCTGTCTTTGGTGTCAATGAGAGAGGAACACATCTACTATAAGACAACCCCCTTCCATCCTCATGAAATCCTGCAGGCAAGTCACACTCAAAGGTTATTGAGACATCTGAAAAAAAAAAGTCAGCTTGCATCCATCCCTGGAAAGATTGTTCTCTATGGATTTTAATACCACCTTCATACACACATATGCCTAAAACCCCTTGTCAGAATGGAGAACACATATTGAATCAAAAATGCAACTGAGTTGCTCAAATGCCAACTTCTAATCCTTCCAAAAATAAGAGGAGGCTAGAAAGAGGGCAATAGTTGGTAAGCCTTTTGAGCAGGGTCCTACTTAAATGCAACCACCATCTTTCTCTCCATGAATTGTTACCAATCCTCTTCAGTAATGGTGCCAAAACTTCTCCACTGATCCTCACACACCATGAAGCGGAAGGGTCCAACTTATAGATAGTACGATGCAACTAGCCAAGAAAAGTTAGTTACCTCACTCCAGCTCACACCATTAGCCATTATTTCTCTCTTCCTGCACCCCTCATTTTTTGGGAGGTTTGTTTCTGCAATGCCCTTGGACTTTCCTGAAACTTTGCAGATTTTCCAGCACCCTATTATTTACATAAAAACCCTTCTGTTCGCTACAAAAGGAAGTATAAGCTTTATTAGCAACCCACCAGACATGGAAGCATTCCTGCATATTGTTTTTATTTGCATTAATGTACCTTAAAAAGGACTTCCCTCCGCCTCACACCCTACAGGCCTTGAGGAAATCAGACAGATTCTTTGCATCACAAGTCCCTTGGGAATATTGTTTAAGATACAAAATACTGGTTTCTTACCCCTTGAGATCCTGTCGTAGTTCATCAAAGTTTAACTTGCCCCCACCTTGTTGCAAGTTCTCTGAAATGTCATCAACAGTAGTTTTTTTCAATTTAAGTTTAATCATGGCTTTATTGTATCCCTATCAGAGAAAATAAAATGAGAGAAAATAAAAAAAACTTTACTTCTAATGGCATACTTAGTTTTGTTTTGCTTGTTGTTTCATGTAAAGAAGATTGCCTGCATTCCTGAATGACGCGAAACCTCATTAAATATTTTCTGACAAGCACTGGAGGAATCATATAATCATAGGAGTGGAAGGGACCTCGAGACATCATCTAGTCCAGTCCCCTGCACTCATGGCAGGATTAAGTATAATCTTCTAGACCAGGGGTTCTCAAACTTCATTGCACCGCAATCCCGATAACAAAATTATACGACCCCAGGAAGGGGAACCAAAGCCTGAATCTGCCCAAGTCTTACCGCCCTGGGCAGAAGGCAAAGCCGAAGCCCAAGGGCTTCAGCCCCAAGAAGGGGGCCTGTAACTTGAGCCCTGATGCCCAGGGCTGAAGCCCTTGGGCTTCAGTTTCAGCCCCAGGTGGTGGGGCTTGGGCAAGTCTAAGCCAGCCCAGGCAACCCCATTAAAATGGGGTGGCAACCCTCTTTGGGGTTGTGACCCACAGTTTGAGAACTGCTGTTCTAGACTATCCCTGACAGGTGTTTGTCTAACCCACTCTTAAAAATCTCCAATGACAGAGATTCCACAACCTCCCTAGGCTATTTAGCTCAGTGCTTAACTTCCCTGACAGGAAGTTTTTCAACCTAAACCTCCCTTGCTGCAATTTAAGCCCATTGCTTCTTGTCCTATCATCAGAGGTTAACGAGAACAATCATCCTCCCTCCCTCCTTCTAACAACCTTTGATGTACTTGAAAATGATCATGTCCCTCTCAGCCTTCTCTTCTCTAGACTAAACAAACCCAATTTTTTCAATCTTCCCTCATAGGTCATATTTTCTAGACCTTTAATCATTTTTGTTCCTCTTCTCTGGACTTTCTCCAATTTGTCCACATCTTTCCTGAAATGTGGTGCCCCGAATGGGACACAATACTCCAGCTGAGGCCTAATCAGTGTGCAGTAGAGCAGAATTACTTGTGTCTTGCTTACAGCGCTCCTGCTAATACATCCCAGAATGTTTGCTTTTTTTTTTTTTTTGCACAATAGTGTTACACTGTTAACTCATATGTAGCTTGTGATCCACTATGATCTCCAGGTCCCTTTCTGCAGTACTCCTTCCTAGGCAGTCATTTCCCATTTTGTGTGTGCAACTGATTGTTCCTTCCTAAATGGAGTACTTTGCATTTGCCATTATTGAATTTCATCCTATTTACTTCAGACCATTTCTCCAGTTTGTCCAGATCATTTTGAATTTTAATCCTATCCTTCAAAGCACTTGCAACCCCTCCCAGCTTGTATCATCCACAAACTTTATAAGTGTTCTCTCTCTGCCATTATCTAAAATCATTGATGAAGATATTGAACAGAACCGGACCCAGAACTGACCCCTGGAGGGCCTCACTCGATGTGCCCTTCCAACTTGACTGTGAATCACTGATAACTATTCTCTAGGAACGGTTTCCCAACCAGTTATGCACCCACCTTATAGTAGCTCCATTTAGGTTGCATTTCCCTAGTTTGTCACACAAGACAGTATCAAAAGGCTTACTAGAGGAAAAATATATCACATCTACCGCTTCTCCCCATTCACAGCTTGTTACCCTGTCAAAGAAAGCTATTAGGTTGGTTTGACATGATTTGTTCTTGACAAATCCATGCTGACTGTTTACTTAGTATCTTCTAGGTGTTTGCAAATTGATTGCTTAATTATTTGTTCCATTATCTTTCCGGGTACTGAAGTTAAGCTGACTGGTCTGTAATTCCCCGGATTGTCTTTATTTCACTTTTTATAGATGGGCACCTGCGGAATCTCTCCTGTCTTCCATGAAGACAGATAAATAGCTAATGGCTCAGGTATCAGCTCAGTCAACTCCTTGAGTATTTCAGGATGTATTTCATCAGGCCCTCATGGCCCTGAATGGACAAGATAACCCAGTACATCTTTTTCATTTCATTTCCCTGTTTCTATGAATTATGGTAGGCATACTTGCACCAGTGGCTAGGATTCCAAAGGACCTAAGGGATTCAGATGCCCAACTCCCACTGAAGTCAATGGGAGTTGAGCTTTTAACTATGTTAGGCACCTTTGAAAATTCCTGCCAGTAGTTCTGGGTGCAAAACAACATATTTAGTTTATTCATTTTGTAAATCGCTATCTAATTTTGAAATAAATTCTGGGGATGAAAATTTTGTACCACTTCATTCCAACAACAACACAACACTTTTAGTTTTCTCCTCTACTTTAATAACCACATTCAAAAAACTTTGAAGTATGTTGGCTACAAATTTAGCCATTTTCTATATAGGACACAAATAAACAAACCTTGGCCTAGATATAAATCTCTCTACATATTCATGTGCGCACACACACACAAGCAGGCACCTAACTTTAGGAGCCTAAACAGTGGCTGCAATCAGCAACTCCCAATATAGAGTAAAAGCTGTTTTATCCGGCATGTTGGGGAAATGAGGGGTGCCAGTAAGTGAAAAATTCCGGTTAACTAAGAGGGAGGGAGTTTGGGTGTGGGAGCGGGCTGGAGGTTGGGGCGCAGGCTCTGGGAGGGAGCTTGGGTGTAGGAGGGGGGCTCACGGCAGCAGGTTGGGGCACAGGAGAGTGTGTGGGGTGCTGGATCCGGGGGTGGGGGTGGGGAACAGGTCACCTAAGGCAGCTCCCCGCAAGCAGTGACCTGTCCTGGGTGCTCTTAGGCGGAGGCGTGGCAGGTGGCTCCGAGCACGCTGCCCCTGCCTGGCTCTGAGGGCTAGCTCCACAGCTCCCATTGGCTGAGCCGCCTACCGTGCCGTGGTCTAGGAGCAGCTCAAGCCCCGCCATGCCCTAACCCCCTGCCAGCCCCATGCCAACCAGACTATAAACTGGAATTTCAATGAAGATCAGAAATGCTGGTTTATAGAGCTTTCCGGTTGGTGAAGTGCAGGATAAAACAGCTTTTACTGTACAAATGAATGTGTGATACCCTGCATGTATGGTTGTGCAGTAAAAGGTACTGCAAATCAGAGTTCAAAATAATTAGAAATAGAATAAAGTAAGCAAACTAAACCCTGGCAGATTTAGAGGTTTAGTCTAATCCAATTCCACATCAGAAATCTTTATCAATGCCGATTCAGCTACTCCAGTACATCACATACAAGGAGATTGGATTCAGTGTTCCAAGTCTCAGGTTACTAGAAACCAACATGAAGTTACATAATTCATTTTAAAATTTGTACTTAATTCTGACTGACTTCCCTTTACTGCCCATTGGGTTTTTTGCTTTATTCAGCAGTAGATTGGTTTGACTCAGTGTTTGCCCAGTGTTGCAGTTTAGTATTTTATACAGTAAACCAGGCAGAAATGAGTCTGGAATCTGGCCAATACAAAGTCAGTATTTGTAACAAAACTGTTTTACCTTTTTGATAAGATCGGACAGTTCCATTTCCGCCTTCTGCTGGGCCATATCGGATTTGACCTCTGAATAAGTATCATTGATAATGGCCAAAAACATGTTCTGTTTAAAAAGTCAAATTAAAAATTCAGCTTAAAAAATACAATTCTAGAGTCTGACAGTATACCTGACCATTACTACTACTACACCACCATTGTTGTAGCAATCTCACAAATACCCTAAGAAGTCCAGCCTATGGATTTACTTTTTTTTTTTTTTTTTTTTTTTTTTAAAGGGAGGGGTGACCTCAGTTAGAAAGTAATATTAAACAGCCAAGATATTGAAAGGTAAGGTTCTGCACCCACAACAATATTTAACTGAATGTAACCAATGAACAACATGGTTAATTGATTACTAATTATTATTCCAATAGTTGCGGCAGTTAATAGGCTGCTGGCAAGGTAGAACACTATCTAGGCACTCATATCTTCCTGTTACAGTTTGTCACACTTTTGTTGTACTGTTAATGGGACCCCGATCCTGCCCATGTCACTTACTTGACCATTCTTTGCTGTGGTACGACATCTCAGAGGGTCATGTCCCACGAGAAGCTAGTTCTCATCTGCGTTACATGCCCTCCTGTCCCAACTATCCCCTGCTGAGATGGTTTCAAACAGCTGCCCAGATTTTCCCAGCAGGCCATTATACATGAATTTAGACTGCATGACATATGCACTACAAACATAGCTGTATTATGCTAAAAGCTTGTGTGTGGACACAACTGTTCTGTTTTAACCAGGTCAGATGACAGTGTAACTACCTGATTACAAACACAGTTGTATTTTTAGTATAGAGCAGGTCTAAAAAACTATTCACTACTGTGCACATATATATTTCCTGAATATGAAATTTGATAAGAATTTAATTGCTATATAAATGATATCAGGAATTAAAAGTCAACCATTTCAAACTGCTACATGTGTCAAATATTTAATTTGCCAGACATACACTAACTACTTGAAAGAAGCCATACCAAAGAGTAAATATATGTATCAAAATACCAATAAGGCACATTTATACCCAATAAGTGTCTTTGCACAAGTCTACATGATAGGCATTCCTAGGACTACTCTGAAATAAGCGTTGCATTCCCATGCAAAAAGCATCTATGTTTTCAGTACGTTTTCTCTGGAAGGAAATTTTAAAAATGTATATCCATATATCACTGTGCACCACAGCCAAAGGCCAGGACAATTAAAAAGAAAGGCTGGAGCCCCATCCTTGACTTATGCTCATTTTGCCTTCAATTCACAACAGCAAGATTTAAGAATGCTGCTGTTTTTGATGCATCTTTCCTAGCTTTGTATCACAATGCTCTACAGGAGCTCTCAACACAATTCCATTCAATCCTTATGACAATACCCGAAAATGGGAATGAACACACAAAATATGGTGTAGTACTGCAAGTTCCCTGACAGGCTGTAACATTATAACAAGATAGCAGCCACGAAGTAAGAGGCTCACTCTACTGCTTAACATAACAAAAGAAGTAGGCCACATCCATCAGTGATGCCGTGACTTACTCTAATTAAAAGGGTTTTTTCCACCTGTAAAATACCATCCTCCATTTGTTTAACTTTTTGAGATGTTTCACAACGGATTTCAAACCTGCTTACCGTCCCTCCTAAGTTCAAGTGTGCCATGTTGCATTTGCTAGCTCACTCTTCCTCGGACCAGTTAAATTTTTAACAAACTTCTTAGTCTCATAATTATAACAGAATAGATGCACTCAACACTTATCACACACAAACAACGTAACATCCAAAAACTATATTAGATAAGAGACAGCATGAAATAATGTAGAAAGTTGTTTCAGACAATAGTACTTTAATTAACCACAGAATCAATGTCAGAAAAATGGTGTCCTAATAGGTTATCAGCAGTATACCAAATCACCATGTGGGAGCTCCAGATTTGGGAATAACTGAGATTTCCACTCCATATTGGTGGTATCATTAGGGTAATGGTTAAGGTTAAGATTTTGTCACGGATAGTTTTAGTAAAAGTCACGGGTGGCAGGGGACCCTGCAGCTCCCAGCAAAGGCTGGCTGAAGTCACAAAGGTCTTTGGAGTCATGGAATCCGTGACTAAATCGCAGCCTTAGTGATGGTATTTGAAAGCAGTAGTAATTAATGGAAAAGTATATAAAGGTAGTGGGAGTGGTCTTGGAAATTGCTCTCATCACCCAATGTGATTGGTCTGTGGATGAAGCATGCCAAGGGAAAGTTACTACTCCTATTAAAAGATAGTTTTTTTTTAAAAAAGCTGGAATAGAATTTTCAAAAGCACTGAAGTCCCTAAATCACTTAAGTCCCATTTTCAAAAGTGACTGGCATTTAGCAGCTTAATTTTCACTGAAAGACAAAAAATCAAGGTGACTTTGGCTCCTAAGTCCCTTTGAAAATTTTTACCTCTGCTCTCTCTCCACACTAGCCTTGTAGATTTTCCTTCTCGGGGCTAGGTTGCTACACAAGAGCCCCAATTCGCTCTAAAATCATTAACACCCCGGTCAAAACAAGTTAGGTACCATCTTTTCTCTACATCTTATTCAAGAAAGTGTACCACTGCTGCATAAATGTTTTAAAATATTTTAACAAATAGAGTGTTGTTGAACACATCCAGCAGTTGGAGATTAGAAAGACACTGACTTTTGGACAAGCTTATTTTCAAGGTGGACATACCACCATCAAAATGAATGCCTTCAATGACTCTGCAAATTGCTCCAATCTTGCAAAAATTTGCCTGTCAGACCACCAGCAATTGCACCACAGAGTCAAAGCAACTTTCAAGAGGTTGTGAATGGTTCTGATCTCAAGAATATTGCATCTAACAATGAAAAATGTTTTGTGGGGGGTAAGAGTGTCTTTCTTCCACTCCCAACCCCTTAATTCATTAAAATAACATGATACGTATTCAATACCAGTGATAACTGGTAGTGAACAGACTCGCTTAATGGTAGTCTAACATTTCAATTCCTTCGTCAGATTACAGCAACATCCAGCCCCAAACATGAGCACTGTTTATAAATAAAGATGCAGCATGTACAGTGGAGTACTACAGTTCCTCACCATAATGCTGTTGATCTACTTGTGAAGAGCTTATATAGCAAGTCACTGGTTAGATTTCAGAAGAAAAAAATATTCTTGTATCAGGAAAACATTTGAAGGGCTGTGGCGGGGAAATGCAATGCAACTTTATTTTGAAAAAGACAAATAAGAGTGTAGACGGGCATCTGTTAAAGGGTAAATTTCCAGTTGTGTTATAAGCTTTCTGTCACCCAAAAATAATAGGAGTCAGAGATGTAAAGATGAAAGTAACTGAAAACACCTGCCCCCTCCATAAACAAAGGCTTACATACCAAAAGAATGAAGAACATAAAGAACACAAATGTAGTGAAATAAATTGGTCCCAAAACTCTGTTAGCTTCTTCAACCTCTGTAAAGTTAAAGTCTCCCAAAATGATGCGGAACTGAGTAAAGCTTTAAAAACAAAACAAAAACATGTCCAGCTGTTAAAACATTTTTGAATTCTGGCAGCAAATTTGTGACATTTCATTCTATTTTGAGCTAAGCATTTTCATTATGGAGTGGGATGGAGGGGAGAGGAAGTGTGGTAGGGAGAACTATATTTTTTTGAATGTTAGTCAGTTGCTGTGCTAATTAAATTTTCATGCCCATCACTAATGTCCTCACAGTCACAGTGGAGTAGAACCTAACTGAACTAAATCCAACCTCTCTTTACACATTATAAGACTTTTTAAAATCACCATTATGCTGTACAACTTGGAATAGTCACCATCTAGTAAGCAATTAGTCACACGTGGTTAACGGGATGTTCTGCAGTTTTTAGGGTACTATGCAATCACTCAGTAACTAAATGTAGATCACTACTGCAATGTAAAGTAATGTAACAGTCAGCGATACATTCTCAAAACCCTATGACTTCCATCTATTTGAAAGAGTTGCCCATCTCTTCAAATGTTAAGAAAGAAGTAGAAGTCTTTATGTTTAATATAATTTTTGTCAGGACATACTTGAAGTTTTTAGAAAAATGGTTTATTATGTGCAACTGTCATATTTAGTATTGTAGAGTGACTATTTTTTTTTCAACAAAGTATACTGAAACAGTTTCTAAAAAGTATAACAGAAATCCCATATACCTACAAAAACAGTCAGCTCTCTAGAACTTTTATATATAACTGGGAGCTATAATAAAACCTTCTGTCTTCAATGAGGTAGCGGAGGTCATTTGCTGATGTACTGAAGAACTGTTTATTATTATTATACTCACACACACTCCTGGAAAGTACTGAAGTCATCAACTTGAGTGCCAAACACAAGGTAAGCCAGCTGAGCATATGCTAAGAAAATAATGAAAAACATAATAGCAAAGCCAATGACATCTTTGGCACAGCGAGACATGGTGGTGGATAACTGGCTCATTGTTCTGTTGAAGCTGACAAATTTGAAGAGCTGTTAAAAAAAGAGAAATAGATGTAAAAACAAGACAGACAACTACTAATGAATGAGCAACGTTCCAACCCCTCACACTCAAAGTGTATTCAAATCTCATAGCACTTAATATTGAAGATACAGAAAATTAATCTACTTTTATTTTTAGAAATATCCCTTCTATCAAAACACTCATACTAGAAATGAGAGGAAAATTCATTGAGGGAGAACCAAATTTCCAATCCTGCTCCATTATTTGCGCACACTGGTTTTATTGCAGAGTTATTCCAGTGTTGGACTACCAATATTAGAACTATTTTGAAGGGGGGAAAATATTGAAGCATGCCTTTTTAAGAAACCTCCCTACAGGCTTGTTGGGTTTTTTGTTTTTTATTTAAACACGAAGCAGAAGACAGTCAGGAATTTTCAATTTATATTTGTTAACATTCACCATCTCTTTAAGTGTAAAAATGGCACATAGTTATGCTTTGTTTTATACTTTATATCATAGTGGTAGAATACACAAGTCACTTGGTAGATTAAGAATGAATTTGTGTTACTTCCTAAAGCGTTCAGAGGGAATTCTCTCTCCATTGATGTAATGCTAAGATGCCCATGCAATAGATAGCTTCACCAGTTCATTAACAAAAAAGTTTCCTTCTAGAACTCATTACATCTAGAGGACGGAAAACAAAGACGGACATGGACAAAAAACTATCATGGGGGAGCTATTCGAATGCCAAGATTTAGATTTGCCAGAGCACTTTAAATAGTCCCATGTAATATATGCATTCATATCTCAAGGTTCCCTTCTCCACATCAAGATACACTGAGTTACTATCAACTTCATTTCCAGAAATTAATAGATTACTAAAAAATTTTGGATGCATAAAATGAGATCATAGGAGAGCCAGAGGAAATTTTAAATATACATTAGAACCTACTTCTTGCAAGGTGGAGAAGCTGTACGAGAAGTATCCTACAGCGAGGGGCAATGGAAATCAGTCGAAATAGGGTCTTCCTTCACATTTGCTAGACTTCCTCAAACAGTGATTCCCAACCCTTTGATTCTGTTACAGCCCCCTTTAGAAGTGCAGTTTGTTACCAGAGGCACAGAAAGCAATGTTTCAGTGGCAGCACTACAAGGTGCCGCTTGTGGAAAAGGAAAGCTAGGAACATATAGAGTGGCAGCCCAACACCACCCTTCAGAAATCCCTGTGGCCTCCAGGTTGGAAACTGCTGCTCTAAAAACCTAGTTATCTGAAGTGCAGTTCTATTCTGAAAAGTGGCTACAAATATAGCACCTTCTTACTCAAGAAATCAGCTCTCTTGGCATAGTCAGAGTTATATCGATTAATTTTAAGTAATACAAGTTAATTGTTAACTAGTTTTTACTCCTCTCAGCCATGATAAAACTCAGCTGGATTCTATTCTTTCATTCATCAGCAGAATTGTTAACTTTAGTTCTGGTGAGTTGTACTTGAGCAAATCCACTGAGGGCTGATTGTGACACCTGTGCAACCCCGAGGGCCTGATTCGGCCCAAATAAACTTTATTACTAGCAATTATGTGTAGACGGAATAACCCAGCATGACTCTCAGATCCTAGGATAAACTATCAGGGTTGGGAGTTAGGAAAGACATCTTTTTTCTTTCAGAGTAACAGCCGTGTTAGTCTGTATTCGCAAAAAGAAAAAGAGTACTTGTGGCACCTTAGAGACTAACCAATTTATTTGAGCATAAGCTTTCGTGAGCTACAGCTCACTTCATCGGATGCATACTGTGGAAAGTACAGAAGATCTTTTTATACACACAAACCATGAAAAAATGGGTGTTTACCACTACAAAAGGTTTTCTCTCCCCCCCACCCCACTCTCCTGCTGGTAATAGCTTATCTAAAGTGATCACTCTCCTTACAATGTGTACGATAATCAAGCCCACATGATGTGGAAATCACTGAAACACATTGAACATGGAACCCCATGGTGTCATTATTACAGTCTATCCCCATTTTTAAAAAGTTTCTAGGCCTGTCAGTTGTGAAAATAGTTTCAGCACTAAAAACTGCCAATATTATCTAGCCTTTATCTAGAGAAATTAAAACAGCACAAGCAGAGGTATGAACTTGCTCCATTTTAAAGCTTAGTTATTAAATGGCTACACCTTTAAGCACATCCATAATAACTACTGGTTCAATGAAGCTAGTCTTCTTATCCTAATATTCCCTTCATCTGAATGGACAGGCCATAGAAATGGTCTGACAGAAAACACAGTTTTAAACCAGCTACCCTAGTTTAAAGTCTTTGCTGCTGGTATAATGTCAGTTTTGACTAAACCATAAAAAGTCATATAAAGGGAAGAACACAAAAAAAGTGAAAGACAGCAAGGAAGACTCCAGGAAAGCAAAAGTATTATCATATTAAACACTAATGAGTATGTAGCTTCAACACAGCAGTCACGGAATCCATGTGTTTTAGAAACTATCCACGTCTTAACATTATAGGACTTTTGTATACGAGTCAATTGATGAAATGTCAACAGCTGCATCAGGCTGGGAGAGAACAGGAACTAATTAGGGCTAGTGACTTGTCACTGGGTCAAGGAACGACAAGACTAGACTGATTTTTTCCACACAATTTACTATGAGCACTATTAGCATTAGCACTATTACTGATTCTTTTTTTCTAAAATTAGGTTTCAAGATAACCCTGTTTTCACTCGCACATAGTTTCACTTACACGTTTTTGGTCTGAAATTTTCCATGGTTAGCCTCAGCAGAAATGTGAGCAAGCTTGGAATGTAGTTGGTTGTTTCCAAGGTGCAGAAACAAATCAAAGATATTTCTTGCAGTTACATTAGCATATGTGTTAAAAAGCTTCATTCCAATCTGAAGTATTATGATTTACCTTAATCCAGACAAAAAACACAGTGACGGCAGCAATGTTGTTGAATTGTATTTGCCAATATGCCAAAGGTTCAAAATTGGGGAAAGCGTTTTGATCTTCCAGCTGCTTCTTCAGTAACATGTCCACTGTTGACCTTCTATATATGTTAATTCCTATAGCTGCTACGGATAGCTAAGTAGAAAAGAAATACACAATAAGAAACACTTGACTGAATAAGTTTTAAACGCCACTACATAAATAGATTTAAAACAAAAAAGGAAAAGGCTGGTGTGGCAATCAGTGCCTACAGACTAGATCTAGCCCACAAGATGTTTATCTTAAATGAAAGCTTTGATTCTGAATGTCATGCAGACCACAATAAAGTTTCTAGCCCTCATGTGTGCTGAATACTTTCTAAACACAAGCATAATTTAAATCAATGCACTAATGTCTGCCTGAAGCTGCAGACAGCCTGAAACAATGACTCAGATCAACTACACTCTCCCTGTATTGATCATTTTAGCGGATGGACTGGACAACGGTTTCAGGAGTGAACCCCACGGGGTCTGGAAAATGGGAGTTGCTGAAGGGAAGGAAATGCAGAGAAGAGAAAAGAGAAGAAAAGAGAGGAGATTCACAAAGACCAGGGAGAGAAAGAAGAGGAAGAGAAATTAAGGGCAGGAATAATGATGGCCTAAAGAGCGAGCAACTTTTCTCACTGAGTGATGAAGGGCCAATAATGCACAGAACAAACAATAACTACATGTTTAGCTACTACCACAATGGTCAACTTCCACCCTTGATCATCACCAAAATCTTTTAATGACATCAGTGAACACGGCACTGTGCATTGTGGGGAGTATATCGTCCTGAATTTGTACCCTGGCCCATGGACCATAATTACACACAGAACTCAGCCCTCTCCTCTGAATTAGTTTGACAACCCGATTTAAATATGTGGTACATTCTGACTATAGCAATGAAATTTCTCATTTTTCCCCACTTAATGCCGTAGAGGCATATAGTTCAAGTGATCATTCAAACTCTTCAGTCACAAATTCCCAATAGGGAGGTGGTATTCCCCATGTTACAGATAGGAATATTAAGGCAGAGATATTAAAGTGACTTGCCCAAGGCTAGAGAACACTAATCAGAGTCTAGAATAAAAATGTAGAAGCTGCTGGCTCCTGGTACCATGTATATTTCAATCGTTACATTATTGGTAAATGTATTTGTATAAAGCAAAGTTGGCAAAACCCCACCACAGGGGTCTACATCATGGATTACACAGGAGCCTGAAGTTCAAAGGTAAATTTTTCACTCCGTACAAAGAGAACATTCGGTCTACTTTATCAGGAAGCCAAACTTGACTTGTACTATATGGAAAACATGCTGGTGCAGGCTGTGCAGTGCAATCAACTACACTCTCTGGCACTTGGGTCTGGTTGGCGAGTCATAAGCAATGTCATTCAAAACTTGTTATTAGCTGGCTAAATATCTGAATAAAAACACTAAGATTTGTTAGTATTACTTTGCAAATACCCACCCACGCTCTCAAAATTCCCAAAAGTGTTGGCTTTAAAGCAGAGAACGTCGTCACTGGAATGCCACTCAAAAAATCATTGCATTTGCTGGTATTTGAGATGTGGAAGTATGGGAGAGCCACGATAAAGCAGAAATTGTTATAGTTTCCTCTCCTCATGGCTGTCCCCGCAGCTTCAAGAATCATTGGAAGAAAATTATTTCAAAATAGCTTTGTACAGAGGGAAGGAGATTAAAAACCTGAGAAATGCTAAAAATCCCTGTGTACACAGTAGAATCCTTTCAGATCCTCTCCTAAAGATGCCACTGAATAGGAGAATCAAGGAAATTCAGCAAAATATACATAATCTAAATCGTGATACCCTTTCTCCCACTGAATAGTACCTTCTGCCATGAGTAATCTCACTGAAGTCATGTAATTAGAATGTGGTTACTGTCCCCTTCAGCACACATTTGTGCCCTATACCCATGCCACTAGTGCTGAGTGCACTGAACACTTCCAGGAAAACTCTTCAAAGAAAGCAATACTAGAATATCAAAGATTCATATCCATAAGCCATTACCCACCACAATGATAAGGATATCAAGACAATTCCAGAGACTCCTGAAGTAATGCAGTTTATGGATGCGAATTTCCAAGATCTCTTCTACAATATAATAAAGGGTGAAGAGACAAAAGGCCATTTCACAGGCTGCCAGGAAGAAATCAAAACTAGAAATGTAATGGATAAGCTTCACTGGCTGAAACTGCCAAGATGTAATGAGGCCGCCTGTTGCTGGAAACTCCACTAATAACCTGCATTTTAAAAAGAAAACAAAAATACTATGTTTTAGACACAGACTCTGAAAATTACTTCAACATAAGCTTAGACTTTTAAAATTTGTCAGCAGGAAATTTTACAAAAATCTAAGAGTAGTAGAAAAACATTTTCATGAGTTTTAATTATTAAAAACTTTAGCTCTAAAATTTTTAACAAGGATGGGAGTTGTTTGACTTAGAAATTCCTGTATGGACAAAATTTTAAAGTATGTGCACAATTTTGCACTCAGGTGACACACACAAGACATCATATAAAGCAAGACTGTATGTATACAAATCCCTAATCTGCACACAGACATCTTCTGTTGCACTTACACTTTAAACTTTGGTCCCTACTGTCTGCAACCTGAGTACCGGGATTTGAAGTTTGTCTGTCTAGTTTCACTTTTCAGACTAAAAAGTCGTCAACCAGCAATTTAAAAAAATGTTGGCCTTTTCATAATTGTAGGTGCTGTTAATAATATATGTAAGGATTTTTTGTGTGTATGATTTTAAGACGCAGCACTGTCCTTTGGAACAGAGTCACTGATTTCAGATAGTTTTGGTAACTGCATTTAGAAATATAATTTAAAACAAATATTGGAATTTTTTAAAGTCACAGAAGAATCCTGATTTTTACAAAGCATAGTTATGTAGTGCATCTTTCAGAATATAAATTTCCCATTCCACGTAGCTACATGGTTCCTTAACTCATTTAGGATAAATCCTCAACATCAAAAAGATGCTCTCATAATCTGACCCAGGCTCAACTGCCTTCAGCTAATCTTTTTCAAATGTACCAAGTCTTCCTATATTTGGTAGTGATAGCGGACAAATTCTGAACACAATAAGAAATTCATACTTTCTTCTCAAACAGGAATTACCTGGGGGAAAAAACACCTTAAAAATTGGACTCATTTCAAAATTGTCAATTAGAAGGAAGTAGTACACAAGAGAAAGGTGGCTAGGCTCTGTGGACATGCTGGACAGGATACTCAGGTGTCTTCTCTAGTGACTCCTTGAGGGCCGTAGATGCTAACCAACTAACTCCAAGGGCTATCCAAATGTAAGCATTTGGGGTGGAAATCATTAGCAATACAAATAATTCTTCCTCTTGCTGAAAAGTTCCAAGAGGCTCTCACTTCACTACATAGTAGGATTCAGTGCATATTGATCAATTCCCATGATACAAAATAAAGCAAATCCCATATCTACTGTTTGTGCAATGTCATTTGAGAGAACATAAATGCTATCCAAAGTTTTATAAATACCTGACAATACAGAATAGATTGATGTTCGCATTGTACACAGAGAAATCAATAAAGGCTGCTCTTGTCCCTCTATCCAGCCACAAGTATTTCTTAAGGTTAGCAATCTGTGTGGCTGTCTCCTCTCTGCTTCGTGACAGATCTTGATAATAACCAGCCCCACTGTATGAGGCAATCAACCCCCAGTGGCTGCTCCCATTCAAATCTTGTTCATTGGTGTAAGTCCAACTGGTTTAAGACAGCAAGAGAAAGAATACATTACTCACTCTTTTCATGTGTAACAGCATATACACTAGCTTGATCACACAAAAAAACCCCCAATTGCAATAATTTACAAGAGATATTAATAAGATGTGGTATCTGTAACCTGGAAAGATGTACTAGAGGGTCTCTTGATATTAAGAGACAAAATTAATAGTAAAGATAGATAATGACAAGTCACAGTAAATTAACTATGTCTTGACAACAGAATACTCTCAATTGGCACAGGGAGTTGTATTCTCTTAGTGAAACAAAAAGCAGCATATAATACTTTACAACACCACTGTGAGGGAGATAAGTAGTATTTCCACTTTGTGCATGGGGAAGACAATTTAACCAAAGACACTCAGTGAGTAAGCAGTAAAATCCAGAATTAGAAGTTGAGGCTTCTGGCTTCAACTGTGATGCTTAAATCACACTGCATTTCTAGGCAATGGACATACCCGTTGGTGGCAGACTTGGATGTATCTAAACCAGTAAGGCCAAGAACAGAACTAATAGACTGATTTCATACAGGTGGAAGAAACTAATTTAGAGTTGACAACTGTTTTAGATTTAACTGTAAAGGAAGAGTTTACATGCAGAACACGCAATAATTAAGATGTTGCTTTTGGTAGGTACCAGATATCAATGGAGAATCAGCTTAAAACACCCACAGAATTGCAGAACGCACACTTGGCTATGTGGATGAGAGAGAAATACATACGCTGTTCCATTTCGGAGCCCAAAAGGAGCAGTATCTTCATTAGCAACAGAATAAACGTCATAGCACTCTTTAATTTCATCTTTTAAGTCCTCAGGTATCGAGCATGTCCCATTTCTCACTTTCAGCTGCCGAACACGAGGCACCCCCAAAAGCAGATTCTCATAATAAATGAAACTTTTGTTTTCTGCCATGGTTTTATTGTTGTACCACATCTCCCAGTACAGCCCATCCAGCAAAGGGCCTTCTGTGAACTGCGGAGGAAGAAAGAATTTTAGGGATGCTAAATTCATTCAGAGCCAACACGGAGTATTTTTATACACCTCCACTCCTGCCAAGGATGTGTTCAATATTGTAATTGTTAGTTTTTGTCTATTAACAGAAAAAGTTCTTGCTACATAAAGTTACTTAGCAAAAACTCCTCTGGACAACTAAGTGTTGATGGGTTCCAAGGGAATTTCCCCAACCCACCATGATCAGAAGTATGATAACTATGCTACGTCCACTGGGCAAAGGATTAGAGAGAGAAAGAATGACGGATTCTGAGTTTTTAGAAATGGAGAGATCCTCTGTGGCCATGTCAGCATTAGAGAAAACATTCTCACTAAAGCTACCATGAATTCAGCTACATGCAGCTCTCTTCTCTGCTCGCATTTATGCTCTTTGCAGTTGAGAGTTATTAAAGCCCTGTTTTGTATGATTGATAGAAAAATCTATGTGGCTGCTTGAGTTACAAAAATAAGAAATATGAACCTTAAAATATATCAAATTGACTTATGAAAAATTATTAGTAGGCTAAAATAGGTAAAAATTTCAGAAGTGCTGAAATGACATAGGAGCTTGTCTTTTTTCAAAATTGACTTTGGCACTTAGGACCCTAAGTGTCTTTAAAAGTCAATGGGACTTGGAGCTGAAATGCAAAAGTCATCTTAAAATTTTCTACTCAGTCTATAGACTAGTGTGTTTTCTGGGAGATGGGAGGAATAAAAAATAATTTTGGTATACTGAAAACATTCTAATTATTTTTAGTACATTAACTGCTCCTGAATAGTCATAGCAACACCATGTACTCATTCTTGCACTGTGTTGTGCTTGGGCAGACTGCTACAGCAACACCCTGCACAATGGAAGAATACTGCAACCGCAGGACCAGGACTGATAATGGCTCATAAGGAGTGAAAGGTCAACGATCAGCAAACAAAGGCCCAAATGCCGCAAACAATGATGCATGTAGTTAGCTTGCAACGCAAGTAGTACAGGAGAACCTCAGAGTTACAAACATCGTGGGAATGGAGGCTGTTTGTAATTCTGAACAAAACGTTCTGGTTGTTCTTTCAAAAGTTTACAATTGAACATTGATTTAATACAGCTTTGGAACTTTACTATGCAGAAGAAAAATGCTTTTAACATCTTAATTTAAATGAAATAAGCACAGAAACAATTTCCTTATCTTGTCAAATCTTTTTTTAAAAACTCTTTTTAGCGCTTACATCTAACAGTACTGTACTGTATTTGCTTTTTTTCTTTTTTGTCTCTGCTGCTGCCTGATTGTGTACTTCTGGTTCCAAATGAGGTGTGTGGTTGACCCGTCCGTTCATAACTCTTGAGGTTCTACAGTACCAATGAAATCAACAGGACTCTTAACACCACCACTTGATGTAACACACCTCAGCAACTCAACAGGTGTGTCATCTAGTTAGGTCAGTAATGTCCAGGCCTGATAAGTAACTGTATTAGTATATCAGAACCAAATATATTCTCTCCTGTGAGCTAGGATTTAAATCCAGGTTCTAAAAGTGTATCTAACAAGTGTTAATCCATTGTGACATCTAGATTCCTAAATTCAACACTTGTAATGAATTGCATTTAGTAACTCTGGCCTTGTCTACACTTCAAAGATTTGCCGGTTTAGTATACCAGCAAACCCTCCTAGTGCAAAATGCAGCTTATAGTGACAAAAGAATGTTTTTGCTTATATAGCTTATTCCAGTTTGCTGAACAAAATAAACTACAGTGGCCAAGAACTTAATTGCCAGTATAACTGTGTCTACACTAGAGCTTTTGCCAGAATAAAAATGTAGTTAAAAAAAAAATTTACATTCCCAGGCAACATTACTGTATCGGCAAAAGTGTAGACCAGACCTAAGAGCATTTGTTGATTATGATGGAGAATTTAAAAGATATTTACAGATGGTTGAGAGTCCAGAGGGGGAAAAATAACAAATTTACAGTGACAATAAGATACATTTTTTTCCCTTCACCTTCCAGAAGTCCTCCATGGTGGATAGGGTTTTGAAATTGGTTTTCTCCATTTTCGATAAAGGTGTTTCCAGGAAGAGCTGTGACATTACCCTAGTGTAATAGTACATACTGGAACTCACCATCCCATAAGTCACTGCAGGAGACATTTTTTGGTAGGGAGGAGAGAAAGAGGGAACCAAGTTTTAAAAGCTTATTTCAAAAACATCTGATTGTATTTTACACAGAAATGTTAACATTTTTTAATAGGATAAAATGTAAGGCAAGCTTTTCCCTATCACCAAGCCCCCAATAATCACCATTATGCTATGTTTACGCAGCATTTATGCTATGTTTACGCAGCAATTAAAAACCCGTGGCTGGCCGTGCCAGCTGAATTGGGCTCATGGGGCTTGGGCTAAGGGGCTGTTTATCTGAGATGTAGACATTGGGGCTAAGGTTGGAGCCTGGACTTTAGGACCCTGAGAGGTGGGAGGGTCCCAGAGCTGTCTGCAACCCAAGCCAGCTGGTGGCTAACTGCAGTGTAGACCTACCCTTAGTGTAAAAGGAATACAGAATAGAAGTGTCAATCAGCTTTCAAATATTCAATGTTCCAATTCCACTTTCTTTAGTTAATTATTTATAATTACAGGTACTTAAACTTTTAAAATAATAATTGGTAAGAAACAGGATATGTGCAGTAACTTTAAAAGATCTTTTAATTAGAAAACCCTGAATACAGATTTACGTTTTGCTCCTATTGGGCCAAGTCCTTGGCTGAGAACCATACAGCACAAGTTATAGAGGGATGGAAAGATGACTTTGGTTTCTTTGATCATGGGGTCACTGAGTGCTGTGCCAATCCCCAGTCAGAAGTTAGAGCAGCCCACAACAGGGATAGAAGTGGCATAGGATTCTCTAAATCAGACCCAGAATAATACCCTTTGAACCAGACTAATCCTTCCAATGCTGGATATGGTAGCTCAGTCAGATTCTGCTACTAGTCTAGCACAGAACAGCTGAAAAAGACCGCCCAACGTCTTAAGCGACGGCAGGAGCGGTGTTCCACCACCTTCGAACATCTGAAGTTTCCCAGTAGTAAGGCTGTGCCTGTGCTGTGGCTCCCGCCCATCGCATTTCTCCACTAGCCATGTGATACCAATGTGACCTGAGTCAGTTTTACCCTCTACTTCTACAAGCATACTGGAGATGCTACGCATAGCAGGAGATGCAGCGTTCTCTAACACTGCAGACTATTCACAGAGGATAGCGTTGGCTGCTCGTAGACATACTGCTTCCCCTATGCACCATTAGGAACGGACATTGAAAATGACCAAATTCCTGATTCAACCATGTATTTAAGCATTTAAGTAATCCCATCCCTATTCAGCAAAGCACTTGAGCACATGCTTACTCATGCAATTATGTGCTTAGCTGCATAGGGACACGATTACTCATACACAAAATTAAGCACACTTAAATGCACTGCTGCATCAGGGCCTAAGACTGTATCAGTTGCTTCTCCTCACTCCTTTAAAACTGGGCCATGTGCACAAGCAGCAGCATAGATGCCATTCTGGAGGGATGAGGCAGGAGGAAGGGTGAGGCAAGGAAGGCCAAAAAACCCCAGAAAAGCTCAAATGAGGAGAAGGCAGAGGAAAGGGACAGAATATCTAATAGCAGGGCGTATCAGGAAAGGTAGGATTTGGCCCCTCTCTTATAGAATAATAGCATCTTTCCAGTTGGAGTGAACAGGGCACAGCCACCAGAAAAGACTGACACAACAGAGAATTAGGCCCCCAACTTAAAGACTGCATCTACACTACAACTGTAAGCATAACATTGGGAGATCCAGTTATAGCACAGTTAAAGTCGCTGGGTGGACAGTACCTAAACTGGTTCCAGGGACACTGTTAAAACCCTGAAAAGTCCAATACCACAGCCCACTTTGAGGGATGGAATTAGGTCCAGGCTATATACCAATTTTTAATCTTGTTGTGGTGACAGAGTCCTTTGACTATTATATAGTATAAACAGAGTTAAGGAAAGTTAAACTCCCCTGTAAATAAGACTGATATTTATTTTCTTTCGATAAAGAACAAGAACTATCCAATTTATTTGAGCATAAGCTTTCGTGAGCTACAGCTCACTTCATCGGATGCATACTGTGGAAACTGCAGAAGACATTATATACACAGAGACCATGAAACAATACCTCCTCCCACCCTACTCTCCTGCTGGTAATAGCTTATCTAAAGTGACCACTCTCTTTACAATGTGTATGATAATCAAGGTGGACCATTTCCAGCACAAATCCAGGTTTTCTCACCCCCCCCCTCTTTTTTTTCCAAAACCCACACACACAAACTTTTGGAAAAAAAAGGGGGGGGGTGAGAAAACCTGGATTTGTGCTGGAAATGGTCCACCTTGATTATCATACACATTGTAAAGAGAGTGGTCACTTTGGATGGGCTATTACCAGCAGGAGAGTGGGGTGGGAGGAGGTATTGTTTCATGGTCTCTGTGTATATAATGTCTTCTGCAGTTTCCACAGTATGCATCCGATGAAGTGAGCTGTAGCTCACGAAAACTTATGCTCAAATAAATTGGTTAGTCTCTAAGGTGCCACAAGTCCTCCTTTTCTTTTTGCAAATACAGACTAACACGGCTGTTACTCTGAAACAAGAACTATGTCTTTAAGCTTTTCTTCTATGTTGTATGGTGAGTGTATGAATTGCTAATGCAGTACACTGACCTTCAGTCAATTTATTAATTTAAAAATACTAGTACATACGAAATTCTGTCTTTTCTTGTACTGAAAAATGACTATCCAAATTATGCCAAATAACCACCGCAGGACATACTGAACTGTGAAAACTCAAGAGCAAACTGCTTGAAAAATAAAAGACAAATATGTTTAAAATGCCTTTTTAACTGAAACAAAGGGCTATACTAATTTTCAGAATACCGTAGTTCCCTTCTCCCTCATTAAAAAAAATAATTTGAAAGGAAAATTGTGCATGAAACATTTCTAGTAAAATATTTTTGCCTGCAGACCATTTAATGTGAATTTGCATCAAGTTATTCAGCTGACGGGTGTTAACATTTGTATCTTCTAGCAGTGCTAAAACTCTGCAGGGGAATAAACTGTAGATCTACATCAAGGCCTTCTTGTATACCCTAGCTACTGCTTCCCCCCCCCCTTTCTTCTCTTTAATAATCTCTTACTGTTGCATTTCCACAGGTGCTAGTATTGACAGTCCACTGGGCTTTTTACCACTGTACCATCTAGACTAGTTCTGAGTAGGGTTAGATGACACAATAACACAAATGCTGGTACCACGGTTACACTATTTCACCTGACATACTAATGGTATGGTACTAATGGTACAAAAAATTTAAGGAAAATATCAGAGTAGATAAAGAAATCATACTTGCTCTCAAAGCTACAACTTTATATTTTAGTTTAAAATTCATTGGCATTTTGAGGCACTGAAAATATTAAATTGTGGATTTATTGCCAGTGCTAAAAATAAAGAGCATAAAAAAATAAGACAGCTTTCCAGAATTATATTAACCAGCAGCAAGTAATTGTTTTACTAGACAAGTAAAAGATTTGTTTTATCACTACCACCACCACGAGGAAAGTCGGTGAATAGATTTTATGTTTAGGTTGGTAAATTTTCATGATTGTTTTGCAAGGCTGAAGTCTGGAGCAGAATAAGGACCCCCCGTTTCCCTACATTATGTTTGAACCACTAGACCATATGAAAACTTAAGTATCTGTTTTAGCCATTGCACATGCTATATTTGATTGAGCTACTTTGTGTGTTACAGTATTACAAATGAAACTCTAAAAAGACTATTTTGGAGAGGTTTTATTTAAAAAAAAGTATATTCAGACCTCTAATAATTCCAAGCACTATGTAATACCATACTTATTTTATTTCCCACAATCTTGGTCAGCTGCCTAAGTATGTGGCAGGAAAGTGTGAAAATCCTTAAAAAAGTTATTTTGCCTCAATAAGAGGAATCTGTACTTAAGTTTATTCTACAAACTAGATCATGGTGTATTAATAAAAACCTAGAATACTTTTGTTAAAAGTTAAAAAGAAAAATCTTTAACTCTTTCAGTGTTTAGATAAAGGAATGTCTTTACTTCTGATGCTTCCATTGTAAAAGCACAATATGTTAACAGCACAAACTCTAATGTAGAAGACCTCCCAGTATATATTATGTATATGGTTCTAGGGTTCTAAAATATCCTACATTGCACACACAAAAAAAGGTACTCAGTCTTCCCCCAAGGGATAACCACTACAAGGGAGGGAGAGAGAGAGAGATATTATGTGCAGTGTTGTTATAGCCATGTGTGATGAAGAGGGAATTTCTCATAGTACTTTGGATGCTGCATGTTTAACCAGGTGGTGGGGAAAGAGTGATTACTATTTGCAGCGATCCCGGTGTGACTGTCGCCTAGCTGCCTGGGCCCCATGCCCATAGAGAACCCAGAAGACACTGACATGGACATCTGGGTGTCTAGCAAATAATGAACATGGACTGCTGTCCACTCCCTCTGCAGGAAGCCAGACAGCTCGGACCAGCTGGAGAACAAAGAGCTAAGGTGGATGGTCAGGTGATGTCGTCTGCCTGGGAAGAAGAACAAAGGACTGAGGAAGAGCAGGTTGGATTAGTTAGGTGTGATCTGCTGGAAGTAGGGGTACTTGTGGACTGGGGGCTGGAAGAGGGCCCTGGGCTCTAGTCAGACCCAGTTGGACTTGGCTGCAACTTTTCCACTCTCTGTGCTAACTGAAGAACTGCCTACTCTGTGTTCCAGAAATTTAACAAATCCTTCCATTTTACAGTGCTGTCTGAGAGTCACTCTAGACTAAAGAGGTCGGGGTTGCATGTCTCCCTTTGGTTGTGCAAGTCTGCCCCAGGGTCCAGTTCAAGTGGATTCACTGAGGGGAGCTTAAAGAGTGAGGCAGACATACTGAACACTCAGAAGGGCAGTCCTAGGAGGCACTGAAGCCAAGGGGCTTACCCCAGTTGGAGAGTGTAAATCAAAGGAGGGTTAACACTCTAAAAGGTTCCTCCCAGGGACTGTTACAGAGCCGTGCGAAAGCACCGGACCTGTGGTAACTGTGACACCATGTTGGTTCCAAAAAAGAGAGACAAGCTGGGTGGAGTAATATCGTTTACTGCACTAACTTCTATTGGTGAGAAAGAAGTTTTCACAGAACTAAAGAGGACCTGAAGAACAGCTTTTTGTAAGTTCAAAAGCTTGCCTCTCTCACCAATGGAAGTTGCCCCAATAAAAAACATTATCTCACCCACTTTGTCCATCATGTATTAGAAATTCCAGTATCTGCCTCTTTGGATTTCTTTACCTTTTTATGTAAAAGTAAAGATAAGACAGCCACAAAGATATAGTAATTCCTAATGTTTGTGTTGAAATCACTTTACAATGACCTATTGTGAAGTCAAATTTTATTCTACACAAGCTTATTCATTCTTATACAGTATATAACAGCATGTTGCTTTGACAATTATTGAATTTAAAAAAAAAGCTAAAATAAAAATGGCCAAGGGCCTCAAGCTCCAAAGGAAAGGAAATCAGATTGAGGCTGGGGCTGTTAACGAGGTCCATTATACCTCAGGTTGAGAAAAGCAGGCCAGAAATTTGTACGCTGCTGTGTAGGACCTTTGCCAAGCTTCCCATAGAGTCAGTGCTCCAACACCATTCAGCAACCTGACACACAGTCAGCTGGGCATCTTCAAACATCTTCACACTACATCTAAGTTACCCAAAGGCTTAATTCAAGACTATTGTAGTAGCAATATTTTTGATTGTGTCTGCATGGTTCTGGCTGCTTTGGTTATAGGTAAAATGCACAATAATTTTATTAAAAAGGAAAGGAGTACTTGTGGCACCTTAGAGACTAACAAATTTATTTGAGCATAAGCTTTCGCGAGCTACAGCTCACTTCATCGGATGCATTCTGTAGCTCACAAAAGCTTATGCTCAAATAAATTTGATAGTCTCTAAGGTGCCACAAGTACTCCTTTTCTTTCTGCGAATACAGACTAACACGGATGCTACTCTGAAACCAATAATTTTATTGAGTGTGCCAGACATGTTTGGTAGGTAGGACCCTACCAAGCAATTATAGTCACATCTTCAATTATTTTACAACAGCATTACAACTCAAAGTAATTGGTCCTAGCAACAGGGGATCTCTCAGCCCCCTAATAATCCCCCCTTAAAGGAGAAGGGGTTGGAGTTTGCAAACCTCACTCCCCGGTAGTTGGGAGTTGGTAGGCAAGACTAAATTCTTCTCCTCAGGGACAACGTTGTTTTATGCATTTGTACGCACAATGGGGCCGCCAATCCTGACTGGGCTCTTTGGATGCGACCACAAATAATAAATAGTAACAAAATTAAAGCCATTTCCGTGGTTCAAGCATCTACTCACTATCCCATGCCAATGTTTAGTACCACACACTTTACCCAAGATCTATTTCTGTGTATTAGCATACATGAGGCTGCAAGCCTGTTTAGGACCCTCAATGTTATGTGCACATGTAGACAGTCAAAAAATGTTTAAGAGGCTACCACCGCTAGTCTTTCAACCACTACAGAAACTTTTTTGCTTAAGGATACCTGGTTTTGACTTAGTTGATAAAAATCATACCTTTTCAGACACTTTCTGAACCTTAATTTTTGACTGTGATCAATAGCTCATGCCTTTCACTATTCGATGGCATCAGATACACAGAATTTGTGCCATGCACCAGCTTTTAAACAGTCCCTTGGAGGACCCCTTTCAGCATGCCAGAACCTGAAAGGGGTACCAATTCTTCCAGAAAGGTAGGCCACATGGCCTCAACGCCTTTAGGACTGAGGGAAGGTCAACATTTAAAATGCTGCATCGGCAGAACATTGGCACAGCTGTACTGATGCAGCTGTGCCACTGTAGCGCTTTAATGAAGACACTGTAGGAAGGAGGAGAGCGGTCACCCATCAGCACAGTTGATCCATCTCCACAAGATGCGGTAGTTATGTCGGTGGAAACTGACACCGGTGCTCAGGTTGGTATAACGACATCACTCGAGGGTGTGGATGTTTCACATCCCTGAGCGATGTAGTTATACCAAAATAATTGTATAGTGTAGACCTGCCCTGAGCCTCCAGAACTCCTATTTCACACCATGAGACGGACTCCTGTTCAGAGACTTTTTGCCCTCTTCAGGGATCAATACACCTCAGCAAGTATTTGCAGTGACATCAGCCAGCCTTTTCAAAACAGGGTAGGATTTATTAATCAACTGAAATATAGCAGTGAGAAGTCCTTCGTTAGCACAGAGAAGCAATGGTTAAGACATAATCCATACTGGCCAAACCAGGGTTCCTGTGAACCATGCTGCTGTCTGCTTCTATCCCTGTCTCAGTCCCAGATGAGAGCTGCTGTTTCTCTCCCAAAGCCTGCTCCTACCCTAACCTCCTGTCACCTTTTGGTCCATAGTTGTCCTTCTGCAGATGCAGGCTGAGTTCACATGTTCTGCCCAATAGAGTTTCCTGTGGATAGGTAGCAACTATTCAGTCCTTGGGGTTCCCATTGTCTTTCTGGATCCTCCATTGACATGGGTCAGTTTCAGTCAGTCCTTTAAGGACGCATTCATGACAGCCCAGTTACATGACCCAACGCCCCATGTCTCCTGCTCTGTCTCAAGAGCAGCTTTTTAACCCTTTACATTCCATGTAGTAATACAAAACAGGGGGAAACTGAGGCACACACAGGAATCATAACTATTACCAAAGTCCCCACTTTTTAAACGGAAGGTATTATTCTATTTTGAAGGTGGGAAAATTGAAGCAAACAGTTTAAATGATTTTTTCCAAGCTCACACAAGAAGCCAATGGCAGAATTAGAAACAGAACCCAAGTATCCTAAATACCAGCCTCATGGCCTAATCACGAGACAACAGTCCTACCATCCTGGGGTAAAAACCCTCATTGTTCACTCTTGGGTCACACAGCACAGACAATTAGTATAGAAATCTGAAAATTAATGGAAAATGGTACTTACAGACACACAAGACCACAAGGAAAATCATATATGTGATTAGTTCTCGTAAAACACTTTTCAGGTATCTCTCTCTGCTAGTGTTTTCTTCCATCAATCTTGTACCCCACAGACCTTTAAAGAGAAATATTTACATAAATGCACGTAAGGCATCACATATTAGCCACATTACTGATATAACTGAGGCAGAGTGTGCATCAGTTTTGTCGTGACACAAACCATGACACAATTTTTGCTGCATATTCTTCTATAAGATTTTAAACTGGAGAAATGCGGGTTCAGTATGTACATAAGTGGATACATAATTGGTTAAACAAGGGCAAACAAAGAGTAACTATTAATGGAATGATGTCAGATTGGAAGGAGGTGTCAAGTGGGGTTCCACTGGGATCTGTTCTGGATACCAGTGTAATTTAACATCTTTATTAATGACCTGGATATTGGAATAGAGAGCATAGTGATCAAATGTGCAGATAACACAAAGCTAGGGGGGTTGCAAACACTTTTGAAGGATAGAACTAAAATTCAAAGGGATCTTGACAAATTGGAGAACTGGACTATAGACAACAAAATAAAATTCAACAAAGACAAATGTAACGCGCTACACTTAGGGAAGAAAAGTCAAATGCACAAATAGAAAATGGGGGATAACTGGCTTGGCAGCAGCACTGCTGAGAAGAATCTGGGAGTTGTGGTGGATCACAAACTCAACATGAGTCAACAATGCAATGTTGCAAAAAAACCCAAATGCAGTTTTGGGCTGCATTAACAGAAATATAGCATGCAAGTCATGGGAGGCGATAGTACCGCTCTACTCGGCACTGATGAGGCCTCAGCTGGAGTACAGTAACTCCTCACTTAACGTTGTTGTTATGTTCCTGAAAAATGCGACTTTAAGCGAAACGATGTGAAGCGAATCCAATTTCCCCATCAGAATTAATGTAAATAGGGGGGGTTAGGTTCCAGGGAAATTTTTTTTTTTTGCCAGACAAAAGGCATCATACACATTTTAAACAATGTTAAACAAGCAATTTAATACAGGTATTAAACAGGCTGGCAGCCCCCCATCAGCTCCCCTGCCTGCCCCCCCCACCATCTCCCACCCGCCAGTGGACCCCGTGGATCAGTGCCTCCCCCCTCCTTCCCCTGCCTCCTGCGCGTGGCAAACAGCTGGTTTGCGGCCTTTAGGAGGCAGGGGAGGGAGGGGGAGCCTGTGTGCTGCATCCTTGCTCCTCTCCACTTCTCCCAGCCTCCTGAACGTGGCAAACCAACTGGAGGCAGGGGAGCAGGGGGAAGGCGCTGATCTACGGGGTCTGCCAGCGGGCAGGAGACACTGGGGGAGGAGAGGCGTAGGGGAGCTGATAGGGGGGCTGCCAGCCTTGGACAAAGCAGGCGGCCAAAAGACGTTCTAGCGAAGCATTGCACAACTTTAAACGAGCATGTTTTGTAATGCAGCAGGGACACAAGATCAAAACAATGTTAAGTGAGAGGACGTTAAGTGGGGAGTTACTGTACTGTGTCCAATTTTGGTCACTGCTATATAGAAAGGATGTAGAGAAACTGGAAAGCCGGTGTAAGGGGGCGTGTGAAGAAAAAAGTTTGGGGAACACTGCAGTAGAGGCTTTAATAAGGCTTTCTACATTTCTTATTTTTCAGTGCAAGAAGGAACTGTAGTCAGGACATCCATTAACGTTTTACACCCTGTCGTTCCACTTTTCCAGAGCCAAAAATCTTCTCTATATCTACAGTTTCCATGGGAATCTGGGCATTTTACTAGCTGAAGAATCGAGGTCCAATATTGGGTTTATGACACTAGCTTGCTTGAGAAGCTTCAACATTCCATGCAAGAGCCCCTAACTGAGAGCTAGTCTACACTGGCAACTCGGCTGCGCTTTAACATGGCTTGGGTGGTCGCTTTTTTAGAGAGCTCCCCCTGCATTCTAAAAAACCCACCTCCACGAGGGGCGCGGCTCCCAGCGCTGGTGCACTGTCTATACTGGCGCTTTACAGCGCTGAAACTTGCTGTGCTCAGGGGGGTGTTTTTTCACACCTCTGAGTGAGAAAGTTGCAGTGCTGTAAATTGCCAGTGTAGACAAGCCCTCAGCCTTGCTATACTGTCCCGAAGGGGATGAGAAAATAAAGGAAACTTTTTTTTAAAGTGTCACCAAAAGGTCAATTGTTGAATGTTATCAAGACAGAATGCATTAGCAATCATAATAATAACAGGAATGCAATAAGGAACAGAGAGAAACTTGGACCAGCTGTTGATGTTCAATTCAGAATTGTTACCTCCAGCCAACTGTTGTTTAACCTAAAAGCAAGCCAATATGACCTAAGTGTAAAGGAGGACAGAGAGAAAAAGATGGGGGAAAAAAACAACCCAATTTATTCCTGCAAAGCCAAACTGTCATCACTCTCAGTTTTCAGGTATTTTAAGTAACCAGCCTTAAAAATTCCCTTTAGATCACTAGTGGATGTAAATAAAATTATCTGAAAATCCCTGAGAAAAAAAAATTAATGTTCAAGATATCACAGTAATTTGGAGTCAAATTTAACAGCAACAATGGAAAATTAAAATAAATGTAAACTGGACTATGAAGCAAAAATGTAATCCCAGCTGTTGCAAAGAATAAAGTCTGAAAGATCCAGCTGTTGAATGGGAGCTTCACCCAACAAAGAGAAAGACGATAAAAGCTACAATCTTCCATCTGCATGCAATGCTAAGGTTCATTCCAAAAGCATTAACAGAGCAAATATTTTTAGAAACCATTAAAGCACACCAATTCAAGACATTACTTAGCAACAAAGCCAGCACAGGGAGTAATAACTTTAGCATAAGCTTTCCTCTCAGTTTTCAGTCTTTAACAACCCTTCATTAATATACATTAATAAAAGGGTGGAATTAGTTCTACCATAAGGAAACTAGGTTTTTGGTTTTGTTTTTTACTTTGTTCTTCAAAGCCAAGGCTGAAAAATTTACAGATAAGTGCTGTTGCAGTTTACCATATAAAACGCCCAAGAATGCTAAGTACTAGTTGTCAGTACATTAGTCACCAATAAGAAATGTAGCAAGCAAAATATTTGCTAACTGAAATTCTGTCATATTAGAGAATTATTGTAAATCAGCATGGAGCGGAAAATTACAGCTTTGAAAAATCCAGCTCAGAAGTTCACGGAGTAGGCTTACCAATAAAGTAAATCTAGATTCTATTGGCCATTATATTTCTTTTTCGGCCTGAAATGTTAGGACTGATGTAGCCACTTTACCATTTTACTAGTATATTAGTTTAAATCAGTGTTTCTCAAACTTTTTGTGCTGGCGACCCACTTTGGACTTACAAAAAAAATTGTGACCCCCCTCACACTAGAAAAAATTGCAACTCCCGTCCCTACCTTAAGCTCAGGGCTGAAACATGTAAGTTAATTTTGCAGGGCCGCAGGCAATTGGCCTGCTTCCTACCCCTTAACACTGGCCCTGCTTGCGACCCCCCTAAACTTGTCCCTCAACCAACCCAAGGTTGAGAAACATTATTCTAGATAATCAAGAATACTGCAGGTTCAAGGAGTCATTTTAATGTAAAGATTTGATTGGAATCATCTCTGAACCATCAAAATTATCTCAATTCTAGCTATAATTTACCATTTTCAGCATCCCATTTCTGACATATAAAGTTATTCATGAACTTTTGATCCATGCTGAAGTGACCTACCATTCACTTTATCAAATGTTTATCAAATCCATAAACTAACATTTCTCTTTCCCTCTCTCTTTTACTGCCTGAAAGGCATATCCTTAGATTACACAAATTCAGATGAGGTGTCACACTGTAGTGATTAGAGGGAACTACAAAACAAAGTAAACTTCATCTCATAGTAAAAATCTGTCCACAGAATACATTTAATTTGTTTGAGCCACACAGGTTTTGCTACATTTCCTTTCATTTTTAAATAGCTTGTATATATTTGGATTTATAAACAAAAAGGTACCTCCAAAGCTGTAAGTGCCCTTAAGATGTTTTAAAACAATTAAAAAAACAAAACAAGCCAAAAGCAAGCTTATAATATATAGCAGCAAACAGTTAAGCTATACAGCAAATCAGAAACATAAAACCTCACCCTCCCTAAATTTGCCAATCTCAAGCATCACCTCCTCCCAAAACAAACATAAAAGAGGAACCTTATACATGTCCTGAAGTTCACATTGCTTAGTGAAGCATCAACTTCATGACTACTGTGACCCAATAAGTGTCAAATGTAGCAGCCTCCTTGTTAAAAAAAAAAAAAAAAAAGATTAAGAATGTGAAATTCAAATAAGAAAAACATTAAAGGAAAATGCTAGGTAGATGCATTTAGTATTCATGAAAGCAACAGAAAAACAGCAATGACTGAAGCAAGGTCTAGCGCAGAAGAGGAAGATTGTGATCTTCCCAACCTGGCTCTACAAATATACCTCAGTCCTAACCAGCAAAATATCTCCTTACTCAGTATTGGCCCTCTCTGTAACAGACAATTGCCGTCATGCAAAGATCATGTGGTGGTTTGTAATACAAAGATCAGGATAAATTCAAAATACTGTGTTTTGACTCAAGTTCAGCCCTGGGCAGCGGGGCTCAGGCTTCAGCTTCAGCCCTGGGTGGTGGGGCTCAGGCTACAGGCTTCCTGCTTGGGACTGAAGCCTTTGGGCTTCAGCTTTTCCCCCCTACATCCTCCCCTGCCCCGGGCTCGAGTTTCTGCCACCCTGCCCAGGGTCATGTAGTAATTATTTTTTTGGTCAGAAGGGGGTCGGGGTGCAATGAAGTTTGAGAACCCCTGGCCTAGACAAATCATTGGTTTGAGCCAGCATGGTCATTATGTTCTTAACCCATTATGACTACTACTTATCATTAGGGCCCTACCAAATTCACGGTCCACTTTTGTCAATTTCATGATTTCAGCTTTTTAAATCTAAATTTTCATGGTGTTGTAATTGTAGGGGTCCTGACCCATAAAGGAGTTGGGGAGGGGGGTACAAGGTATTGCCACCCTTACTTCTGTACTGCTGCTGGCAGGGCACTGCCTTCAGAGCTGAGCGCCTAGCCAACAGCCTCCGCTCTCCAACCACCCAGCTCTGAAGTCAACACAGAAGTAAGGGTGGCAATTCCATGGCCCCCTAAAATAACCTTGTGACCCTTCTGCAACTTCCTTTTGGGTCAGGACCCCCAATTTGAGAAACACTGGTGTTCCCCATGATATTTGTATAGTATTGGATAAAAGAACACAAAAGACCAGATTTCATAGGGTGAGCCACCAGATTTTACAGCCCATGATGCGTTTTTCATGGCCGTGAATTTGGTAGGGCCCTACTTATCACCTTCTGTGCTTCCAGTTACCAGTTTATTTACTCTAACAATGCACCAGTTACTGCAGATAATCTTCTCAATCTAATTATCTGGTTTGCCTGTTCCAACACTTAAAACATACTGTTAAGGCTTTTGCTGCATAACTGACTCCATATTTAAACATATCGTGTGTTAAAAGATTTTGTAAGTACCATATTTTCCATTCTTCAGTGACATCCCTGTTCTCCATGAAACATCAAAAATAAGTAAGAGTGTTTCCAACTCTAGACTGAATAGTTCCTTAAATTATGCTACAGTGAATTTCACTAGGCCTTGATATAAAGGTGTTCAGTTTATCTGTAGTAAGCATCCTTCAATCTGTACCTTAACATTTCAGACTTGGAACCTCTCTCTTTCATTACTTACCCTATATCCACTATCCTCTTTAGAGAAGATTGTTGTTATAGATGTGCTAGGAAAGGACACTATCTGTCCATAACTGCTTGCAAAAATAAGTGCTATCTCTAAACTCTGAGAATTTATAGTGTATAGTAATAACATCTTTTCTTCACTCAGAAACTGAAGAGAGGCTTCTGTAGTAACTTTAGCTATACTTACATGTGATTCACACCATTTAAATACTGGGCTGAAGTCACTGGGAGTTGAGGGCGCTAAGCATCTAGCATATACAAGCCCAATATTAGTCAAACAAAACCAAGCTATTTTTCTTCCAAAAGGGACCCATACATTTAAGTAAAATATATCTGAATATGCAGAATGCCCCAAGCAACTAGAGGACATTAGTAATTTAAAATTTTATTTTCTTATCTTGCAAAACCATAAAATGTAGGCCCACCAGTTTCCACAAAGCATGCACTTTACTAGTGACATCCCACCCAATAGCATAAAGAGAACTAAATCAGTCACCAATAGACTGCATGCTAGAACATCATACCAAGAGGATCTGGTGATTCAACATGGGCCTGCACCACAAAAAAAGGTAATTTTCAATGACCGATGTGCACCACCTTCCAAATTGCTTATTTTGCCTGAGAAATTTGTGTTAGACTGATCTCCCTGACTGACAGAACCATACCTTGCAATTTATTCTCCTGGCAACGTCTTCCTCTCAGATGCTAATTCCACTTCAGGCCCAGCTCCCTGTGCTGCAAGTCAGTGGAAGGACTTGTCCGAAAAAATATTCCCACTTGTTCTAAAACCAGTTCAACTGTAGTACAGTAGGATCATTGCGTATTTTAAAAAACAGATTTCCTGAGGGCATACACTGACAAAGTTTGAACTGTACAGCAGGCAATGTCTTCCTACCCCAGCGTGGAGTGGCCAATCATTAAAAAATTATATTAAGGTAACTGGATAGTGCAGAGGAATAAAATGTCTTTTTCAGCTAGTTGGGGACAAAAGCTGGATCTACACTAAAAGATTAACTGCTGCTGAAAGTGGTGTTTTGTACAGTCAATCATCTTTATCAACAGGTTCCACAAACCAGTATTGAAAACTGTTCTAATGCTAGCACTGATCATATTAGCATAGTCATGATTGTTTTCAATACTGTTTCACAAACCACAATTGATCCAATAGTATTAAGTTATGTGATCATCACAAAGTCATGGTCAGTATTGTGCCATCTAATTCAAGTACTTGCAGTCATGTTCAGACTTTTTTTTTTAAATGTAGACAAACATGGCAAAGTATATCAGAAGGGGAATATGGGAAACTTATTACAGTTGCCTAGACTGTACCTGTTTCTTGGTTAAAAAAAAAAGGACTTCACTTTCTACATCTGTCAAACCAGCTCCTTTTCCAAGCACTAGCTATACACACAGATAACATTCAAGGAACAATGCTAAAGGCCATAAATCCATCAAACAATAATAATTATTTTTATATACTATAATCAATCACTACTGTCCACTTTTCAATCTCACACCACAAAACAGGAACTTATTTCATTGTGCAATCTTTCACAAAAATTGATGCAGAGCATGCATGCTGCATACCTGAAACAGTGCACTTTTGACTTTCACATCCAAATAAATAAATAAATACAGGGCATTTTGTTTTGACATGAGATGGCTCAATTCACAGAATATTTATATCAAAAATTTTTGGGGGATGTCATTAATAAAAGGACAAGCAACTGTCCGATTTGCAAACCTCAGGCCTGAAACTGAATGTAGTTTGATAGATCTGTTCACTTTGTGTCACCTAATATTTGCCAGCTTGCACCAGTTCAGATTATCAAAAAAAAAAGGGAGTACTCGTTCAGATTATCTATCTAGTTGCAAACTTTATGGAAAAAGGGGTTCACTCCATTCACCATTCACTTTTACAGTTACAAAGATTTTCTTTGAAATGAAGAAAAATCCTGAGTCTAAAATATAGAAGCCTTTTAATTTTTTATGAATATTGATGTTACGCAACTATAAAAAACAAAACAGAAAAACACTGTGGGGCTTTTGCCCATGACTTCTCCCCCACAAAACTGAACCCCAGCTGACTTCCTACCCCCCAGTGAGCTACTCTGCAATGTCAAAAAAAAAAAAAGGGAGTACTCGTGGTAAAAAATCCGTTACAATCTACATACCACACAGACTATTTAAATTGGTTAGTCTCTGAGGTGCCACAAGTACTCCTTTTCTTTTTGCGAATACAGACTAACACGGCTGTTACTCTGAAACGTGGCACCTTAGAGACTAACCAATTTATTTGAGCATAAGCTTTTATCGGCTGCTACTCTGAAATCTGCAATGTTAATTTTGCTTAGCAATAGGACTACAATGGGCCACCGAGACTACTGCAACAAAATAGATGATGTATGTAAGCTTTTTACTTTGGCAGCTAATGACAACACTTGGAAGCTAGGCAGCACTTCAAAGCACTGTACAAAAAGGTAATTAATCCCAACATCACCTCTGTGTGGGAAGTACCCATCAATCTGATTACATAGAGAGGGAGCCTGTGGCAGAAAGATGAAAAGACTTGGCCCAAGGTCACTCAGAGATTTGGTGTCAGGCTCGAGGGCCCTGTGCCTCCAGAAAAGGTCACACACAGGGTTGCACATTCTGGATGAAGCCTGACCTACCTTTTCTCAGTGTGCTCTCTTCCCTACAAAGCATCCCCTGCAACTGACACCCTGAGAGAAGCAGCACAAGCAAGAAAGGCAAAGAGCTTGGGGCAGCTTAAAACAAGGGGCTGAGGTTGTGAACAGATGTGTGTGGGGGGGGGGGCAGCCAACGTGGGGGTGAAAGGATCTAAAAGAGGCAAGAGCCAGAGCGCTTGCGGGAATGGAGTACTAGGTCCAAATGGCGAACACAAGGGGCAAGGGCTGAAAGCCGGGGGGGGTGTGACTTGGTGAGAGGACTCCAGGGCCTGAATGTGAGGGAAGCTGGGGGGGTCTCAGCCCATGGGGCGGGGGGGGGGCAGAACACGGGGAGCAGCCCATGGGGCAGGAAAAGGGGGGCACAACACGGGAGGGGGCAGGACCCGGGGCGGGGGGGTAGGTCGTAGAGCGGGGCTGGCTCCTACCTCGCAGGCGGCGCGCCAGCCGCTTGGCCCAGGCGGTTCGACGGGGCAGAGGGGCCCCGTCCGGGGGCAGGTGCGGGGCCAGCGGGTCCCCCCCGGCGGGGCTGGGACACGGAGCCGCCCCCACGCCGCGTTCCCCGCGCCGGCGCCGCCGCCGGCCGCTGTCAGGCTCCCCGGCCGGGCCCCGGGCGCTGCTGGCGCCGGGGGAGGGGGAGGAGGCGGCCCCGCGGCTGCCCCACTCCACGTCCATCTCCATCCGCAGCACCGGCCCCCCCGCCGCCGCCGCCGCCGCCGCCGCCTCCTCCGGCTCGAAGCCCGGGTTGTCCCGACTCCAGGCCTGCCGCGAGCAGGAGGAGGGCGGCGGCGAGTAGGGCCCGCCCGCGGGTCCCTGAATCCGCCCCAGCTCCAGCCCCAGCGGTCCCCCGCCGCCCGGGGAGGAGAGCGCGGCCCTGGCGCCTCCGGTCCCCGCCATCAGCCTGCTGCAGCCGCCCAGACGCCGCGGGGCGGGGCGAGACCGCGCGCAGACCTGCCGCCCTGGGCCCCCCCCAGAACCCCCCCCACCCGCGAGCCCCGCCCCGGGCCCGGACAGCCTCCCGCCCCCACCCGCGAGCCCCGCCCCCAGAACCCGCCCCGGGCCCGGACAGCCCCCGCCCCCACCCCCACCCGCGAGCCCCGCCCCGGGCCCGGACAGCCCCCCGCCCCCACCCGCGAGCCCCGCCCCGGGCCCGGACAGCCCCCCACCCCCACCCGCGAGCCCCGCCCCAAGTCCGGACAGCCTCCCGCCCCCACCCGCGAGCCCCGCCCCAAGTCCGGACAGCCCCCTGCACCCACCCGCGAGCCCCGCCCCAAGTCCGGACAGCCCCCCGCCCCCACCCGCGAGCCCCGCCCCAAGTCCGGACAGCCCCCTGCACCCACCCGCGAGCCCCCCCCAAGTCCGGACAGCCCCCTCACCCACCCGCGAGCCCCCCCCAAGTCCGGACAGCCCCCTGCACCCACCCGCGAGCCCCGCCCCCAGAACCCGCCCCGGGCCTGGACAGCCCCCCGCCCCCACCCGCGAACCCCGCCCCGACCGGCCCCCAGAGCCCCCCGGACACCATTCTTCGCGGCCCCGGGTGGGCGCAGGGGGGAGAGAGAAAGATCCCTCCCGCCTCAAACCCAGGCGGAACCGCGGCTGCGGAGCCAGCGCGCAGCCCCACACACCCACTGCTGGCCATCCACCGCCTCCTCCTTTCCCCCGGCCAGCCCTGACCCATTCCCTCCCCGTACACCCCGTTACACACCGACATCCTCCCTCCACAGCCACGTGCCCCCCATCTACCTTTTTACCCTCGCATCCTCCTAACTCCCCCTGCACCCGCATCCATCCAGCCCCTGTGTGCACCCCCGTGCAATGCACGCGCACAGACACATTCATCGACCCCAAACACACACATACAAGAAACCTACACACACCAAAAATCATCCCTGGCCAGCGCAGGGTCCCTGCCATTTCAGTGACCCTGTACTGTAGATCTTCTGTCAGTCGCTAATAATAAATCAAGATGATGATTTGCTTTGTCTGCCAGTGTTTCTGTGAGAGCTCCACCCAAAGCCACTCTTAGCATTTGGGGTGAGCCGACAATACAATTCTTTACCACAGTTCAAAGGTGCAGACGGACTCCTGGTCATTATGATCACATACACAGGGCCAGTCTGAGGGTTTGGGGAAAGGTTAGTGTGCTTATTCATTGGCATATACCCCAAATGGAACTGGCTATTTCACTCACTTCCTCCACCCCACCAAAGATTTAGTCTGTGTGTGCGTGTCCCCTCTTCTTCCACAACTGTCTTTGCATTTTTTTTCCATGCTGCCCTTAGGCATGGACAGGGCCCTATCAAATTCACAACCATGAAAAATGCATCATGAACTGTGAAATCTGGTCTCCACCCATGAAATTTGGTCTTTTCTGTGCTTGTATAGGTTTCATAGGGGAGACCAGCGTTTCTCAAATTATGGCAGGTTTCAGGGTTCTGACTCAAAAGGGAGTTGCAGGGGGGTCATGGTATTGCCACCCATACTTCTATGCTGACTTCAGAGTTGGGTGGCTGGAGGGCAGCGGCTGTGGACCAGGCAATCACTTCTGAAGGCAGCACCATACCATGCCACCCTTACTTTTTTGGGTCAGGACCCCTACAATTACAGTACTGTGAAATTTCAGATTTAAATAGCTGAAATTATGAAATTTACAATTTTTAAAATCCTATGACCATGAAATTGACCAAAATGGACCGGGAATTTGGCAAAGCCCTGTGCATGGAACGCCCTTGCTAAACAAATCTCTCTTCACAACTAATTTCTATGGTGATGCTTACAAGAAATGAGCCAAGTTAGGGAATAGTTAATCTGTAACTGACACCATTGTTGCTGTGAGTGGTGTTACACAGCCGCCGCATTCTACGTGTACCACCTGTGTGGAGGCAAGCGCTGTAAGCACGCTGAGCCCTAAATTCTACGGGATCTACCTCTCAGTGAGTTCCCATAAACACTATCACACTTTGTGTAACTGAGGACTCTTTTAGTTAGGCTGCTGGAGTCAAAAGGTGCAAATATCCTAGGCCACACTAGTAAACGACTCCCTAACCCACCCAGCCCTTAGGGTTATGAAGGCCATCCAGGCTAAGATCATGAAGATAGCAGAGTGTCCTTGTAAACCTTGTGCAACGTCCCAGTATTGCCTTGGCCTCCTGCAGCAAATGCCAAAATCACCTTATTCAATTATATTGGGCAACGTTAACTGTCACACACATTGCAGCTGGGGAGGGGGCATTAAAAAATCAAAAGACTGACTAAAAACACAGCCTACTATTTTCTTAGAAAAAAAATCTCATGATATTTTTGGGTCTGACCTGTGGGGGTGGCAATACTGCTGTGCTACTGCCTACTGCTGGCTGCTATTAGCTACCTGCCAAGAGCAAGAACTCTACCTGCCTCTTTGCCACTTGTTGCCCAGCTGTCTCTCCCGCAGCCCAGTCAGGTTGCTGTTCTGGCTCTCAGGAAGCCTGTGGCTTTGTCCCAAGCATAATAATCCCCTTTGATCTGAGAATATTATTTCCTTTTTTCTGAACACTGGCGACTGGACAGGGCAATACAGTGTTCTACAGTCTCCACTGCTTTCCCCCCAGCTCAGCAGAGAGCAAGGGGGGAAAAAGATCTAGGAATGAGCCAGCAGGTTTATTTAATTACAGGTCTTTATAGTAAAAACAAACATTTTTGTGAGCATAGTTCCTATGCTTTTGCCTTTTATTATAAGGTTTTTTCCCCCTTCTCCGCCATTCTTCATTTGTTGTTTTCATTTTAGACTTTGTTTCTCTAGACCAGTGGTCTCCAACCTTTTTACGCACAGGATCACTTTTTGAATTTAAGTGCAAGCCAGGATCTACCCTGTCCCTTCCCTGAGGCCCCACCCCTTCTCCAAGGCCCCGCCCTGCTCATTCCATTCCTCCCCTCCCTCCATCACTCACTGTCCCCCACTCTCACTCACTTTCACCAGGCTGGGGCAGGGGGGTGAGGATGAGGGCTCTGGGCTGGGGCCTAGGCATTCAGAGTGTGGGAGGGGGCTCCAGGCTGAGTCTGGGGCAGGGGTTCAGGAGGGGGTCAAGCTGTGAGAGGGAGTTTGAGTGCAGGTGGGGGCTCCGGGCTGGGGCAGACTGTTGGAGTATAGGGTGTTGGCTCTGGGAGGGAGTTTGGGTGCAGGAGGAAGCTCCGGGCTGGGGCAGAAGGGCTTCTGGGAGCAGCATGTGGCCAGGGCAGGCAGGGACCCTGCCTTAGCCCCATTGCACCGCTGGACTTTTAGCGGCCGGAGATCACGATCAACTGGCAGAGGCTCCAGGATCGACCAGTCGATCAACCAGGATTGACCAGTTGATCGTGATCAACCAGTTGGTGACCTCTGCTCTAGACTATGATTTAAAGGTTTTAGAACGTCATTTTCTTGTCACAGAGTAAATATTCCGTATGGACACAAATTCTTTTAGCAGTTGATTAAATGTACTCCATAATTGGATTAAATTTACTCATTCTGTACTTTTTTCAAAACTGAGATTCAACACAGAAGTAATTTTCACTGTATTGCTATTGAGAGAAATTAACATTTTTTAGCTTTAGAATCATGCCACTAGAGGTAATACTTGCAAGCTACTGATTTAGTTAAAAAATTCAAATACTTGTCAGACTTTTAAGTTTAAAACGTGAAATGCAAAACAAAAACAAGGCCCCTTTTGAAATCATTTATAGACTCACTAAAGTGAAAATTTATTGCAGCTTCATGGAGAGTTTTTAGATCCAAAAATCTCTACTGTCTTTCATATTCTGTCCTGGTTTAGCCATTGTTACGAAGCAAAAATATGTCGAATTGTTGTTTAGTGGCTGCTGAATACAAAAGGAGAATATTAGTATGTGGATCCAAAATGTGAATTTTACAAAGTCCTTGTATAAATAGTTTGAGAAAATCTTTGGGGGAACACGTTTGTTTGTTTGTTTGTGTTACTAGGTAACGTTACACATGACAAACTCCTTTTTGGATTTCTATCGGGAGGTGGAGACTGCCACATAAATCACCAATCACTGACTTGGGTAGGATTAAAACCGGAGTAACTCACTACTTTGGCAACTGAAATGCCGCAGTTTAGCATGCAAGACCAAAAAAGTAGAAATGGTAGTTTAAATATAGAAGGGATAGACAGAAGGAAAGAGCTTGATTGTGCTCCCACTGAAGCAGATAAAAGTTTTTGATGGTGCATTCTTTGGGAGCAGAACTGGGCCCATAGTGGGCAGCATGGTATTTAATTTTAACAATATGTTAAATAATATTTTGAGGGTACAGTTAAATTATTTTGCAGTCAATTTGTGTGTGTATTGTAGGGACGGGATAAATCTGAAGTCGTGACATTAGCAGCCAATGTGAGTGTAAATAAATAGTGATTATAAGATTCCATTTCTTTAAAAGAACAATTTGTTGTTAAAGTAAGGATAACTCTTTGTGATAACGGAAGAAGTCCCTGTTAATTTTGAATGCATTTGTATACTCCTAAAACTTTTGTGACTAAATATCGTTCATATTTTAGGAAATTAAAGTGGTAATGTTCATCAAAACAAATAGCTCATTTTTTCTGAGCAAGAATTGGTGAGATCAGTATGATGTGTAGTCTCCAATAATTACATTGACACTAAGTACAGGGTTTTGTAGTTTTATTGAACTCACAAAATACAACAAAATATACACTGGAATTCTAAAACCATTAAAATACAGTATCATAACAGGTAACATTTGCTCTGTGTGTAAAACTATATTTCTCTTGCTTCTCTATATTTCTCTTCATAACAGAATCACAAACACATAACAGAATCACATAACAGAAGCACAGTAAAATACGCAGTAGGAGGGCTTACATTTCTGTAATGGAAAGGAGAGCTAATACAACATACTTGAGTTTGCCTGGTTAATAAAGTTGCCACTAACCACTGCTACAGCTAGAGATCAAAATCACAATGTGTTTACATTTGCAAACAATTCTTGAAATGAATGTTTCCTCTTAACTAAAAAAAAAAAAATGATTTTTTTTTTTCTGTTTTAAAGAATGACTTCATTGTCTTCAATGCTGCTATGGTCTTGAGTGTCTTCAGTGCTCTCAGCAGTTTGACGGCTGTCATTGACTTCAGCGACAACATCAACCTGCTGCAGGTCCTCAGTTTGGGCCTGCTGCTGTTCTGTGCTTTCATTGCTCATGTGACTGTCTTCTGTGACATCAGGTTTGCTGTTGTCGCTGTCTGCCTCCACACTGTCAAGCTGCTGTTGGCTGTCATTTTCCATGCTCTTATCATGTGACCTTCTGTTGACTTCATTTCTGTCCTGAATGTTACTTCTGTCATCCAGTTCCACGCTCATGTCAAATTTCCCTGGAAAGCGGCATGCAGCACATGGGGCTTTGGAGGAATCCACCTGCTGGCTTTCTGCGTCTGGTGTGCTGTCATCCTCCTCTGTGACATCATGTACGATGAACTGTGCCAAACATAAAGGTAAAGCATAATGAACAGGCATCCTAGATTATGAGGAGCCAATGAATCACTGAACACTGCAATACTTCACTGAAACAGGGCATGCCTTTTGAGTTAAAAAAAGGAAAAGGAGTACCTGTGGCACCTTAGAGACTAACAGGTGATCTTCAAAACCTATAGGTTATTGGACGGAGGGCATGAGATCAGAGGGGGAGCAAGGGGAGGTACTGAGACTTGGCTGAGGGCAGCCTGCTCCAGGCTGGGAAGGAGGGTCCTGGGGGTTCCTACCTGCTCTTGGGCACATTCCACCCCTCCCATTTCCTGCTCCCCATCATGATTCCAGCCCTTCTTCCTCCTGCTTTCACCACTGCACCCCACCCCACACCCACTCACAAGATGTGCACAAGTTTAGGCAGTGGTCAAGCTCCCACAATATTTCCAGTGCGAGGGCACTTGCCCTCCTGGTTCCACCGCCCCCGAGGTTATCCATGCTCTTCAAAGCACCGAGTACATTTACAGAGCTATAACAAATGTTTTATAGTACTATATGAAACATCAGTTCAGTACGGGCCTCAGGTCTCACACATGATTATACTGTGTGGCTGCTGGCCACCTGGAACAGTGGGACTATTTTCCTGTCTCAGTGCATATAGGAATATAATACTTATTAACTTTAATGAGTTATGTATCCATAACAAGTGGAAATACACCCCTCTAATTTTGCCTGTGACTTGTCAATCCCCTCCACAGCTAATGCCCACAAAGAAATTTCCGTTTTGAACATCATCCTCCATTTATGGTAACCCAGGAACCATTGCCAAATGGTATTTACCTTTCCCAAAGCTTTGTAGAGCTTGCTAGACTTGTCCTTATGGTATACGTCTACCAGCTTTGCTTTTGCCCTCATTCTATAGGCCACACTGTCTCCTCTGCCTGAATTATCTCCTCTTGTGGGGACGGCAGGAGTTAAAGGCGTAGTTACTGGGGCTTCAGTGGGAAAATAGGTGACAATATCCTCATCTGATTCATCCGTGTCATTGGAATCATTATCATCATGATCACCGTCATCTTCGTTACTTACACTTGCTCGTTTGGGAAGGCTCTGAAAAGCATAGAAACAATTTAATAGTGCAGCATGCAATTGCGTTGTTATAGATGTGAGGTTATTACAGTGTCTCTTTGCGGCTCCCTCAAAGTATATGACACTGTTGTACATTCTAAAGCTGAGGCAGGCAGATAAGATCTTACCATGGCATGGTAAATGTGGTAGCAGCTCCAGGCTACTCCCATGATGAGACACATTCCTTGAGCAAAGAGACTATGATTTGTCCTAAGATTTGTCCTTCAGGTTTATGTATGTTTGAGTAGGTTTGTTCATTAATTGAGGTTTTGTCATAAATGGTTTCGCTACAGATGCAGAATTTGTTTAGAGGCTGACGTCCATCAAATACGCACTTGTGGATCCCTCTGGTTTAACACTATGTAGATTGTTTGGGGATCTACTATGCTGATTTCTTCAATATAATTTGTTATTCAGATCCCATTCTCCCAACCCTTCAGTGGAAGCTAATTACATTTTGCAGCAGGAGACTAGAGCCTCAGGTTCTGTAAGCTGCTGTGCAAATTTTAGAAACCTGGTTGCTTTATGTTTCATCGATCCTGCCAGGAGTTCTGTTTTACTTAGAAATAGATGTCTGAAGAACTAGTTTGGAGGAGGCTGTTGTTAGAAAAAATAGATATTGTGATAGGGTTGCTGCTGTGCTGTACACAATAAGGCTTGAGGTGTCAGTGAAAACTTACCTGCTGCACCGTGTCCTCAACACTTTCTTCTGAAGAAAAATGGCTCTGAAAAAGAATATGAAAAGTACATGTAAATGTGGAGAAACATACCTAATAAAGCTGGTAAAAAAAATTATGACAAGTTTCCCACAAAAATTGTGGAAACAATTCAGATTTTTTCGACTTTGAGAAATTTTGACCAGCTGGTCTAAAAATGGCAACAACAAGAATTGTGATGCATTTTTGTAGGAAATTAGAAAAATTCCACCTGCTCTAATTTTAACCTTCTTCTAGGTCTGTTATTCTGGGAGATGATAGAAGCTCCATGCTTGCATTAGTTACCATTGTGGCTATCAGTAAGGGTCTTATATGCTACCTTTCTTACTGTACAAAATTTTCCTACCAAAGCAGGGTTTCTATAAATTTCTCTTCTAACCATTTCTGCAGGTAGCTGTATAGTGTGGCTTTAGATACCTGCTGAGGTGGCACCAGAAGTTCTTGTGTTTGTGCTGGTCTCATACGTGATTGTGTATGCACCTGCTGGTGGTGATGTCTGTGAGAATGATGGCTCCCGGAATCCTGGAAAATAATAAGAACCAAGGTCACAATTCAAGATGAAGCATATAGGAGCATATGACTTGAGGAGAACGCAAATGGTGAATCTGCTTTAATCAGAGGAACTCATTTTCACACAGATATGGCATGTGAAATACCTGCTCCTTTTGGAGCTCATTTGTTTTTAATCATTTACTCAGATGGGAATAAAGTGCAGAAGAAGTCCACAATCCAAATATACATTTAGATGTGAAAGGACATAATATTAGAGGTGTGCCTGTACCAAACTCCTGGAGGTAAACATTCCTGAGCCTTGTGAAGGTTCAGATCAGAATTTTGCAGCTGGTTCCTGTGTCAGTAATAGTCAGAACACTCTCTCCTCCTCCACCCGCAGAACCAAACACCTCCTAGTTTTGGGGAAGTTTGGATTTGGATCCAAATGTTGTGGGTTGCACCACTCTCTACATAAAATACATAAAATCAAATAAGGGGCTTAATTCTCCTCTCATTTACACTGACATAAATCAAAGTTTCAGAGTAGCAGCCGTGTTAGTTTGTATTCGCAAAAAGAAAAGGAGTACTTGTGGCACCTTAGAGACTAACCAATTTATTTGAGCATGAGCTTTCGTGAGCTACAGTTCACTTCATCGGATGCAATACTTTCCACTTTATGCATCCGATGAAGTGAGCTGTAGCTCACGAAAGCTTGTGCTCAAATAAATTGGTTAGTCTCTAAGGTGCCACAAGTACTCCTTTTCTTTTTATAAATCAAAGTAACTCCATTGAAGTCAATGTCGTTACAGCAGTGTAAAACCAATGTAAATGAGAGGAGAATCAGGTCCAGTGCCTTTATTAGCTTACTCATTGCAACCCTGCAGGCATGCTATCACTATTGCAGTCATTGGTCTGAGCCTGTATTGGTGTGTGACCTGATTACCTGTGGTTACTAGGCAATCATTGTATGTGAGGCACAAGGGGTAAGCATTAACTGGCACCTGGACCAATTATGTCATTTATTTTCTAAAGAAAAAAACAGAAGAGTCCCTTGCCCAAACAGGGTTTCTCTCTCAAGGTAAGAAACGAGAATGTCATTGACTGATATAGCTCTAAGAAAGGAACTGTGTGGAGTGGCAATGTCCCAGTGTGATCATTAGGAGGCACAATCTCCTTCAGGGTATGTCTACCCAGCAAAGAAAAACCTACAGCTGGCCTGTGCCAGGGCTCACAGGGAATGAGCTGAAGGGCTGTTTCACTGCGTTTGGGCTCAGGCTGGAGCTCAGGGATCCAGGTTGCAGGGTGAGCATGCTTTCTGCCACACCACATAAGGGGTGCCACATACTCCCCATTGGGCACCTGCGGAGCTGCATGGAGGGAGAGAAATTATGTCCCCACTTCCTCATTACCACTCTGTGCTCATTTGGGGTGGCCAATGCTTCAGATGCAGTAGGAGGGAGCCCTTACTATGCAAGGACTGTGATTGCCCTGGCTTCTTCCCCTCTTTGAACACTTCTGCTGTGGCTAGTCATTTTCTGGCCTGTCGGAGCCCAACTCTCTCTTGACTAACATATCTGGTCGCGTCTCAGTGACTTCACTGGGGCGGCACAGAGTATAAGTGCAAAGTGTGGTGTGTGCTTATTAAATCAGCAGTATGTGATTTAGAACTATTTGACAAATACATGCAGGCACACACATCCAAATACACCATAAATTAACCTTTCCTTTGACACTATCCTACGTTGTGCAGAGCACCTCCTGTCAGGTGCTGAGCACCTTCGAATCCATTCAAGCTGAGGAGGTGGAGTACTTCACAGGATCAGGCCTTTGGATAGTGGGCTGTTCTATACATTTATCAGAGTGTTCTGTCCATGCATTTAATGCGGATCTATCTATTTTTGAATATGAAACTCATCCTTAAATATATTGTGACTTTTGCAAAATATTCTGCAATACATTTAATAGCATCCTGTGGAGTAGTGCATATAAATATACAAGTGAAACGTATCAAAACATGTTTGTGTTATAATGAGGTGTCCTTGATTTTTAAATCTCATTAGTTCCACTTCTACGGTAACTTGTGAGATTTGGGGGTGAGCTTACAGCACCGGATTCTGATACCCTTCTTGACCTTGAGTAGTACCATTCCCGGAGAACAGTCCCATTGAAATTAGTGGGTCCATTCATGGAGTAATGTGCTACTCAAGATGAATAAAAGTATCAGAATCTGGCTCACAGTGATTGGTGTGAATCATCAAGACTATGCCATACTGTAACTCCTTTTAAAAAAAAAAAAAAAAAAAAAAAAAAAAAAGCTTGAGTTTAAAAGTTTGTGATTAAACAAATGGATCTATAAAGATACGCAAGGGCACATCTTTTAAAAGTATTAGGCCAGATACCCAGATGGTGTAAATTGGCACAGTTCCACAGAAGTCAATGAAGCTATACTGATTTACACTAGATGAGAATCTGGCCATAAAATTCAAGTTAGATAAAGTTTTGTGAACAGCTATAGTTACAATGAATCAGAAAGTGCAATTTAACATAGCTGACGTGGTGATGATTAAATAAGTAGTAAGTGAATGATAGAGAAGATGAATTGTAAAAGAAGCTTACATGGTTTTCTTCAGAGCTCTCTGAGATGGCATGACGCTTTGATTTACTCACCTTGCGGGGAGAAGAGAGGAAAGAAATTTTCAGTATACATTCACTATTAATATTTGAAGGAAATATACAACTTTCTTCTTGTTGTTACATGTCTGATATACTTACTGGTAATGCAAAGGCAATGCTGATGAAGCACAAACAAAACACTGCAATCTTCATTGTGATATTATACCTGGAAAAGATATTGTCACTGTGAGCTGACAATATGAAAAAATTGCAAACATTCTATAGGCTTTTTGATTCTCTCCTTGTGTTTCACTGTGCTCAGCTGAAATTTCCACTGAGGATTCAAACTCTCCATGCCAACCTCTCTCTCTCTCTCTCTGTCTCTACACCCTCTGCCCCATTCTGCAGCGAATCAGAGGAGGGGAGCAGAATCTCAATAATCCCACACCAGAAGGGGTGTAAAGAATTTAAAACCTGACACTTCAAAGTGCTAAGCTAGGAGCTGACGATGTTCAGTTCCTCACAAAATGTAGTCCTGGTGATTTGAGCTAATGAGGGAAAAGCATTAGGAATAAAAAAAAATGCTGATAAAGGACAGATTTAGTTTCATACAAACAGAGAAAGCAAGACAAATTATTTTTTGTCCCCCTTACAGTTAGTATAGATCTAGTTTTCAGAACAGAATTTGAATTAAAGTTGCAATAAAATGAATACAAAAATCAATTCATATGAACAAAAGCTGCTTTTTGGTAGATCAAGTCTTTCCAGAAACTTGAACCCAAGAGGCCATGTATCTGATTAGGTATTGAAGTTAAAAAAACAAAACAGAACACGAAACCAAAACAAAAAAGCCCATGCAGAGTCTATGAGAATCGGAAGTTTGAGGCAGAGATATTTGCTTTTAAGTAAAGAATACATTAGGTGTCCCTAAATCTCTCACTGCGAGAAGGTGGGACTGGACAACGGCAGGTGGATCGCTCAATAAATTGTCCTGTTTTGTTCATCCCTCTGAAGCATCTGGTACCTGCCACTGTCAGAAGACAGTATACTGAGCTAGATGGACCATTGGGCTGAACCACTTATGACTGTTCTTATGTTCTAAACAATGCATTAAACAGATACTGTATAGAAGTAATGAAATTTCAATTGTTATAAAAGAAAAGTAAAATATCCCATCCAGGGCGCTCATTCAAAGCCCTGCAAGTCTGCCAGAAGAAGTGGCATGTGACACGACAATGATTACATTTTGTCAGTACACTCTTTTGTTTTCAAATGGCAGCTTCAAATTTCCAGCACTTGACTCAGTGGCAGGAATTTAAACCACCTCTTTCCTCCATCCCTAAATGTACGAACAGATCTAAAATCATAATTTAACAAAGTGTGCTGCAGCCCTCTTTAAGACAACTTTACGGCTCTGACGGTTCACCCTTCAGCAGAGGAACTAGAATGTTTTTAAAGTTGAACTAAAAACTAGACTATTCAAAATTCTACTGTCTGAGGTTCATGTGAATAAAAACTTAATGCAGCACCAAATGGTAGGTAATGAAATGTGCATTTACCTTTCGTGGTGTCTGGATCAGAAGGGTAGAATCTAACAGGGTTGTTGTTAGCTTTCACTGTGCAGCAGCTCAAGCTAATTTGCTCTGAAAGGATTCAGACTTCCCTTTCTCTCCTCTTCTACTGCTTGACATCTGCAGCCTTCTGGAATTTAAATGCTGTTCCAGACATCAGCCAGCCAATCCCCTGGAGGCGGAAAGGATGAGGTCATGAGGTTTCTTGCCACTGTCCTGCCCACATTCTCCTACACTTCCTCTTTGGTTTTGTGGCTTTCAAAGCAAACAAAGCTACTCCATGGTTAAAATGTTACTTATGTTCAATATCATTTAGTTCAGTACAGTTAGAATACACAGCATTCAGTATCACGTAGGAGGACTTCAGGGCACATACGTGTTCTACTTTTGTTTAAGGTAGAATCAACAGCTGTCCAGAAGTCTTTCATTCCTCCTTCCAAGCTTGGGAGAGAAAAGCTCTTAGTTAATGTGTCACGGAGGATAAAAAACTGCCCTTAAAAAAGAATGGGTCAACTTCTGCTCTCAGTGATGTGTGTGTGTTACCCTGTTGGTTTCAATGGGATTGCACATTGGGCACTGGGAGCAGAACAGGCTTACTAGCTTTTGCATATAAATGATTAGGATGTTGATTTTTATGCAAATCTCCCAGTCGGTGTTCTGCTTCCAGAAAGCAGGGTTGGCCATAGAGTCACTGGAGCCCTAGGTAAAAACAAGATTTTGCCTTATGTCCCATATTTCTCCCTGTTCTCTTCTAGCCACTCCTCTGGCTCCTTCCCAGTTTCATTTCTGCCTTCAGGGATGTTTCCTGATGTCAATTCAATCATTTACATTGGGTACCTTTGGTGCCAAATACACCCCAGAGTACTCTGATGTAGTTAAGTTTTAAAGCAGGTGCAGTCAGATTCTTGGACGTGTTTAGGACTAAAGGCACCCACTGCTCAAGAGTGAACTATAGTAGTGGTGGCCTTTGGAAGTGAGGGACAGCGAGGATTGAAACTCCATAGTTGTAAAAGAGTGAAGTGGTACAAGCCAGTTGATGGTCTCAATACTATTCCAGCAAAGCCTTCCTTAAATGTATTGCCCTAGACAGACCAGGCTTAGTTTGTTGGGTGTTGAAGAATCGCTAAGCACCCACCTTGATTTCCTCAACACAATAACTAACTTTAATTTGACACAGAAAGAAAAGTCCAAGTAGTATTTTAGAAAGCAAAACAGCATTCTAATTTCTAACCTGTTGGGAAAAGGGCATCTTTCTCTTTCTCTCTGATCTCAGACAAAGCCAGATTGCTTAATTAAACATAGGTGCATACTAGAACATCGGTTGTGACAAGGTATCATCTTTTGTCTGTTACCCAGCACTTCTAGTTAATAGGAATTTAACAGGCACCCATTATTCTAATCTAGTTAGCCCATGTACAGTAGACTGGGGATAATGAACTCTTCTGCCGGATGATTAGAAATACTGTGCAAAGCACAGTTTGAACATCAGGGAGGGATTTTCAAAAATACTCAGCACTAGCCTAACTCTAATCATTGACCTTAGTAGGAAAAACGTTAGATCAATGCAGAGAGCTTTTGAAAATCCCACACCGAATTTATGCATATGGCTGCTGCTGATAGCAATATATGGACCTTTGAAATATTGCTGTAGATTCCTAATTCACAAGGATGTTGTGAAAATTAATTCTTGTTTGTAAAGTGCTTTGATATCCATGGAGGAAAGATGCATTATAAGCGTGACCTAAGTGTTACCTGAGTAATAGTTCTAAAAGTGTATAATCAAACTCTGAACCTATATGTCTAGAATGAATCATTTAAACGCTTTGTAAGAATCTCCATTTTTGAAGTCAAGTTGCTGTAGTTTATTACTAATGTTTTCAATTCTGTGCATTCATGAACTCTTTAGTATAAGTACCTAAAAATATAAATGAAGGATTACACGTAAAAAAGAAGTAAAGGGAACTATATTGTTTAGTCCGAGATTTTCAAAAATAGGAGCCTAAAGTTAGGCTCTGAGGGGCCTGGTTTTCAAATATGCTGATCACTTTGTGTCTCCCGGTGATTTAGGACTTTTGAAAACCAGCCCAGTTATTTAGGTACTTAAATATGGATTTAGGAGTCGACCTTTAGATACTAATTTTTGAAAGTTTTGGCCTGAATATTAATTATAGTGATGCTGGAAGAACTAAGTATTTATACATAATAATTAATATTTCTTTGCACTTAGGGACTGATCCAAAGACCACTGTGGTCAACAGAAATACTCCCATTGACTTCATTGGACCTTTAGTGGGTCAAGCCCTTAAATAGCATAGCACCTTTAGTCCAAGAATATCAAAACTCTCTAGGCAAGTATTACCTCTATTTGAACAGAGCGAGAAACTGAGGCACAGAGAGATTAAGTGACTTGCACATAATGCAGAGCAAATCAATGTGTAATCCTGTTTTAACCTCTAGTATGCTGCCTTCCATACTGAGCTCAGTGAAACCCACATTTTCTAGCTCATCCATTAATCAAGCACTGGAGAAATGAATACTACGTTGCATAGAAAAAATAAATCATGATGTTTTGTCCTTCAAAACGTACGTTTTCCCCTTTGTGAGAGCCAATCTTTGACCTAAGGGGTACCACCTTATTATGCAAATTGCTCCAATATCTCTAAGCACACGAACTAACTTTTAAACCTGCTAAACGCATTGTTATTTGGGTGATTATGAATGATTTTATTTATTTCTCTGAAATATCTGCTCTAGGAATGATTCTGGGGAAGTTCTCTGGCCTGTGCTATATGGGAGGTCAGAACAGATCGTCACAGTGTCCCTTCTGGCCTTGGAACCTATGAATTTCACAAGCACAACAGCATAAATTGTTTGGTGAAGCTCAGACTCTTTACAACTTTATTCACACTACAGTTTATTCAGTAACCACCCGTTTGCATAAATGACGATTTGGTTACTTATGGTAATGATTTCTGGGGTATTTGTTAGAACCCTGTCTTCCAAGGGTTAACCCTATGACCCCCCTCCCCCTCCCCGCCCAGGGTACTCATAGTAAGTAGGTTATATTTCCAAACTACCACCAGAGGGCAGTGCTTCTGAACACTGCTGTGACGGCTGACCAGGCTGCCTGTTTCTGTTGTTTATGCAGTGCTCGGGGTTATAGAAGTATTGATTTCATAAGAGCTAAGGATCGACAGTGATGTTTTGCTATAATTCAGGGACAGGACGTAAAGTGACTGTCAGTAAACTGCTATATATTTTCATGCAACATCAGCTGATGTAAATTTAGCACTTGTCTCATGTCTGTCAGTTGTGGTTACCCACCAGCAAGAAACATCGTACAGTAATAGTAAAGGTCTCCCTCCTACGGATGGTGCTGTGTAGTAAGTGGGTGCTTACCGAAAGCCGAAGCAAACTGGCTGATAGAATGGAACGGAAGGATCAGTGTGCTATTTTTATTTACCATTTTAAAATGCTTAAATCTGGAGAGCATGAGAGGGTATACACGGGGCAACATAAATAGTTCTCTGGAATCTGCATAGGGTGGACTTTCCACAAAGAAACTGGGACTATGCAAAATGCAATTGTGTAGGGATGTAATTCATTGCATGCAGGCAAGATCTGCTATTCACTTGTCTTGACACATGATCTTTTAACAACACTTAGTTCCATTTTGGATAACATCAGGAATGTGGTGTTAGACTATTAAAACATGGTTATTTTTCATTGTAGAAATCCACTACTAATGCTTCAAAATGCAACCTGCTATCTTTTTCTAAAATCATGGGCTAGGTCTTCAGTATAGCGACAGGAGCTGACAATAGTTCCTCTGACCTCTGTAGGAAATTCCAATCTGCCTATACATGTGGCCATTATCCGTCTCCCCCCCGACCCCCGCATCTTCCTCTCTCCTGCCGCAGCATGACTTCCTTCTTTCGATGGAGTATTTCCCATCAGAACTTTGTCTTAGCTGTTGTAGGTGGCTTGTCTGATACTGTATTGTGCAGATGCTCTGACCATGGATTGGAGTAGTAATCGGTGTTAGTATCAATGTCATTCTTTTTTATATACCATTAAACTAGACGTGAGCCTGAACCAAAACCTGAGAGCCAAATACACCCAGACTCTGGGTAGGTTTAGATCTAGATCTTGAGCTGAACTTTTCATCTTGAGCTGAACTTTTCATCTTGAGCCCATCTCTCCTTGGGGTGGTTTATATATACATTGAAGCCTCTCTGAAATGACTATTCCTAGAAGCGACCACATGTGGTTGTTTAGTGGAAGTCATCTCCTAATAAAGCTGGAGCAGAACTTATTCACTAGGTTTGGGGTCACTTTGCAGTGGTCTCTGAAGGTAGGAGATTGCCTCATGATGATTTTTTGGTGTAGGTTTCACTGTACTTCCATCACATAAACACACAGCACATCTCCAGACTCACTCTGGACACCTTTACTATCCGATAGTCCTCACACAGGCCAACTCCCATTAACTCAGTGGGAGTTTGCTTGTATGAGGACTATAAGATCACACCCCTAATGTTCTTACGATGTCAGTAAAAGGTATCACTTGTAGTGAAAGTTTCCAGTTGTTAGTTTAGGGGGACAGCTCCAAATTTTCCACACTATAAACTATTATAAACTAGCCATCTGAGATAAAGATAATAGAAATCAGTTCTTCTTGCTTCCAGGTGCAAGTTCATCCCCCAGGAGGCTCAGGAGTGATTCTTCTGTCCTTTGTAAAGTATTGCATTCGTTTGTAAGTGCCATGTGGTTTGTTTTCCTCTGAAGCATCAGCTACTGGCAACTGAAAGAGACAAGACACCACATCAGATGGACCAGCAGTCTGATTGTATATGGCATACCTTTTAATTTCTACGATGCCATCTAATAATTTTAAAATTAAAGCTCTGTTAACCACAAAGTAAAACTGCAGCCATTGTTACTTCATGATCCCGGTTGTGCTACTGCCTGGGGGAAATCACCCAGCCACCAGAGGGTGCTAAATTTAACTAGCAAAGCCACGTGCCAGACACCGCACTGACTTCATTGGTGACATCTTCACTTGATGGTAGACAAGATAACAACAGAACAAAAACAATGTGAAGCCCTGTTGGCTTGTGCCCCATAAT